ATAAGTTTAAATAATGAAAAATGTTCTTCAAAAATACACTAAATGCATTCTGTTATTTTTCTGTATTGTATGTATGTATTTAAAATACATTGATAGTTTTTTGCTCTGGAAATATTACACCTTTCTTTAATACTGATTTCCGACACCAATAAAATCGTAAATATTTTTAATTTCAGACCTCTTGCTTACTGTGAAAAATTGTACAATGTTGTGCCAAGTAAATTTCCAAAAAATCCAGCTTAGTAATGTCCATCATGCAAGCTCATCCAAACTTCGTTGCTGAAATGTAGACTTTATTTCCCTTTCAGTTTCCTCTTTTTCACTTCAAAATTGTTTTGGCCCAAAGAAGCGTCGCGTCATGTGTTTGTGTGGCGTTTGTGTTTGCGTTTTTATGTATTTGTGAGTATCTGTGTGTGGCGTGCGGTTATGCCCGCTTGCTAAACAATGAAACTTTATTTGCGATATTTCTCCGCACATCCTTCTCCTCCCTTTGCCTTTGTTTCCATTTGGTCCCTCTGTTGTTATTGCATTTCTATTGTTTGTTATTTACTTTGGCACTTTTGCTCTGTTACAATTTTAAGTTGAGCGACCGACAGACGACGCTGATGTTATTTATTGCCCGGCAACAACATCAGGAGCACAAGCAAAGTGCCGGAGAATCCGCTCACGTTTCAAATAAATTGATTAAATTTCATGACACTTCATCATGCCACAGCAGCCGCAGCCGACAACAACAATCAAATTTCCACGCTTTTTGAGCGCTTTTTTGGAGCTGGAACTATGTTACATAAAGCACTCTTTTGAGGGTTGAATGGGGTCGATGCACAGCGAAAAAATATTACCCCAAAATTGGGCTATAAACATGGAAATTCTTTTGTTGAGATGGCTTACGCAAATATAGGAAACTTTGGGCTAGGGGATCATTTGAAATGTTTCCATTATTTTATTAATAAATAATCCAAACATTTGGAATCGGAATTTCTGAATAAAATACATTTTAAAACCTCTTATTTTTTTGAAAAATTTTTTGATATATATAATTAAGTTTTAGTTCTATAAAGATTCCAAAAGTTTATGTTAAAACTTAAAACGAAACTATTTCAAAGGGTCTCCAATGTATTATATGTATATATGTATGTGCGTGGCATGCATGTCCTGCTCCTCTCGACATGATTATTATTATTATTATGCAAGCAGGCGAACCTGCGGCCTTTTTGCGCCTAAAAAACAGAAATGAAGGCACAAAACCCAGCATACTTTCAGGCGCTAATTAACCAAATTTCCCATACATCCGCAAACCGCCCACCATCAGCAACGCCCCCAGGCGTAATGAATATTTGAAAAGCGTTTTTTAATTGAATTTACACTCGTGTCAGTTCTGCGCCTTTTTTCACTTATTCCCTCAACATTTGTCTTTTGCCTTGTGAAACAACAAAAACCATATGCCGAAAGGAAAATACATACATAATAAAAACAGAAGCGCAAACATATAATCAAATTAAAAAGGCAGCATTCCACGTACACAAACATACGTACATATATTTATTTGATTTAATTAAAATTTTTCCTTCCTTGCCATTTATTTTGTTAGCCCCCCTTTACGCGCTCAGTTGGCAAATGAACTGCATAAAAGAAAAACCCCAAAAAAAAAACGAAACCGAAATAAAAATAAATACTCTTGTCAATAGGGAAAAGCCGAAGGAGTATTTCTAAATAAGTGAAAAAAATGTATTTGGGTTATTTGAACCTTTTGCCGGATCTTTGTGGGCAGCGTTGGCATTTGAACTTTGGACTGAAATTCCAGACAGCGGGTGAACGAGGGCGGCTTTCATATCAGGTCAGTCATTTGGTGTCTGCTGCTAACGACTGAAATTAATTGGGCGCAAGTATTTTGTAAATAAACTTATTTTTGAATACACTGTTACATCAAATCTTCATAATACTCCCAATTTTGAAAAAATATACATTAAAACTATTGAAAGGTGCCAACACGTAATTGTATCTTTGTTTTTCGTTTTTATATTGTGAAAACAACATTTCTATTCCATAAAAATTTAAATAAAAAGCAACAAAAGTTAATCGGATTTGACTTAGCCACAGAACTTTGCATTAACTTTAAAAACCATTCAAGTTTTGTAATGGCCACTTTCAAATACCAAATCTGCCACTGGAATTCTCGCTTTTTTTGCTTTTCTCCCACTCAAATCTCTATGCCATCCACCTCGAGGCGAAAATCTCTTCAAAGTTAGCTTCATTTTAGCACTTGATGTTCACTTCTGGACCGTTCGCATTTCTAACATATTTCCACTTTTATTCCACTGTTAATGTAATTTCATTTCACGCTTTTTCTCTCCACCATCTTTTCGCGTTGCCCCATGGAATTTGTGAAGGACTTTTCATGTGGATAATTAAGCAAAATACCAACAAAAGAAGGCAGCAAATGCCATAAAAGGGCAAAAATGGGAAATAAGCCAGCGCAAAAAGAGCAGAAGCGCAAATTGTTGATGTATGTTTTTCCCCTTTTTTATTTCTTTCATATTAAATTGCATTTTATTTATTTTGTTTCATACTCAAAGAACTTTATTTGCGGTTGAGCATCTGTACCCTTTTCATATTTTATTTATTTTCTGTTCTTATTTGTTCCTTTCTTTTGATGGCACAGCGATTGAGATTTGGCAGCTTATTAAATCTAAAATACTTTGCTTCAAGAATAAAGTAAAAGAGGTCAAAAAAGTCAAACTAGCAAAGTTTCATTTCAAAAATCAAATTCAACTCATAACTTTTCATTTGTATAGTTATTTACCCATTTTTTTAATATTATTTTATTTTCTTTAAATATTAAATGCTGCCTTGAAGAATTTGAATGTCCTGTTTTATCAAACAAGTGCTTCCCATGTTAACATTACAATATGATTTCCTTTAAAAATGTGAATAATAAGCTTTTATTGTTCTTTCTTAAAGGACTCATTTTTTGTATGTAAAGTACGTTCTAGGCCTTAATCTGGTTTTCCACTACATATAAACTTGAACAAATTCAGCCGTTCAATTTCGGAATATAAAAGTACCAATATTTATCAATTGGTTGCATTATATTGGTTCTCGCTACAAAGAAGTTTCGATTAGGCCAACAAATTGCAGTTCTTTCGACGGTTAATTGAAAGTCTGGCTCTTGCTGTTCGCTTTAAATCTCTTTTTCGGTTTCGCCCAGGGGGGGTTAAGGGGTTGTGAAGACCATTCAATTGCGGCAGCTGCCACATCCTGCCACACGGCCAGGATATGGAGTTTGGCTCTGCTCGACTACTGGCTGCTGGCTGCAATCGACAAAATGTGCTTCAATAGTTTTCTAATGGACTTCATCCGCCATTTAATGCACACACTCACACTCGCCAGGCAATTGAGGTCCGAAAAAGGCGAACACGTTGGCAGCTTGCAAAGATTAATGATCAATGCAGGCGCAGGACATGGCAGGATACGCCCCAGACCCACATATCCCCCACACACAAGACGCGATAATATGCGATTTGGAGCCTGGCATCGGGGCGTATCAATAAAAAAAATCCCCCTGCCACGCCCCCCTAGAACCACTCCAGCCGCCCAGATGCTACGACTGCTATTGACATAGCCATCGAGCAGCGACAGGATGGCATCCACATCCACATTCACATCCTCATCCTCGCATCAACTAGAGAACCGAATCCTTTCGCAGCAAAGCACTTGCCATGCATGAAGTTATTTAATAAAAATTGAATGACTCTCCCTCCATCGCCCAGGAAACTTTCTGTTTGTGTTTGGTTATCGATATGAGCAGCCATCCAATCGGTACTGCTGGATAAACTCCTTTTTCCGTATTTCGAGGCTATTAAAATCAATGCATTCACATAAGGAGAAAAGGTGAATGAAATTTCCAGATTTTGCTAATAGTTGGCTGGCATATGATCATATTCTATACTTTTAAAAGCACCAGATTTTTATTATTATTTATTATAATTTCAGGGATATAAAACTATAAGATCTATAAATATAAATGATGGTCTGTTTTCTCGTCCTCTTGGCAAGCTAAAAATAGGTTTTCGACTGCCAAATTTTAAATTTTAACTCAACGCCCAAACCAAATTTATTCCAAAAAATACAAGCTCTCAACAAAAATAAAGTTTTGCTTCATCGTGGCTCATCTTAGGGCTTTTATTTCTGCTTTATTAAATACATTCATTTTAACTCAACTCCCCGACCGAATTCAACGCCAAGAGTACAAGCTCTCTACAAAAATATGTTATGGTTTGCTAAAAGTTTAGCTACATCGTGGTTTTAATGAGCCAATAACCATTGAAAACCCCAATCAATTGCAATATTAAAAGTTTGCCATGAATTCATGAAGCTCCACCCTCAATATTTCCACCTGATGGATCCATTTCCGTGAGGGCGAAACTGGTGCAGCTGGATGTATTTTTTTTTAGAAATAGGAACTCAATTCGTGACGCGAAATGTAATATTCATTAAAATAATAATGCGCACACTTTAAACCAGAATCTAGTTCTACTCCCAGGAAGAAATTCCCAAAGGCAGGGGCGAATGCACTGATGTGAGTGGTTTATGCCCATATTCCTCCTCGGCGTTTTAGCAGTTTGCTCCAAATCCGCTCAGTGCAGTTTGGCAAATTGCGCTGCGTTATCCTCCGCCAACTTTTATGCCTACGCGGTAAAGAAGGGCAAAAATGTGAGGGGGTTTTCAGCCAGGACTACTCCCACCCATACAAGTGTCTGCCGTAATTGCCGCCGTGCTGTTGATTACACTTCAACGGCGAGCACACACACACACACACATACCACCCACTATGCCACCCTCGCATAAACTTGGCAACACACACACACACATCTTCATACTGGTGGCACTCGCCCGCTGGGCTTTTAACTGCACTAGTTTCAGCCATAAACTCGAGCTGCAGAACCGTGGAGCTGCTGAACTGCAGTTGTATCTGAAGCTGGAGCGCAAGTTGGGATGGAAGCTGTACTTGCACATGATTGCCAGCCGACAAAGTTGACGTTAACGTTTTGCTCTACTAAGAATGAACTCATTAAGATGGCTGTTTATTCAGTTGGGTTGGTATTTATAAATATATTGATTTTGAAATAAATAAGGTTAATTGCAAGACCCAAACGAGATCTTAAGGTCGTAAACACTTTAGGCATCTTTGGTAATTATTGCGCTTACTTTCAAACAAAAAACAAGAACAGGTTAATAGCAATTTACGATTCATTAGTACCGAATAAGTTTTCTGCAAGATCGACTTTTTTGATTTCCCATTAATGTTTTAAGTGATTTAAGAAGAAGTCGTTAAAAGCCTATTTTTTCCATCAATATATTTTCAAACTGTGTTTCGGCCTCCGTTTCCTTGCACTCACTCATAATGCTGTTTAAAAGGAGTCAAGAAAAAACACTTGGGTATTGCAATTATTTTACAAAATTGGTAATAACTTACCGCTTCTTTGAAAGTTTAAGCGTACTGCCCTTTAAAACGAAAACCACGAATATGATTGTACCGTGGCTCCAATTGAGATAATCGGTTACCAGAAAAATGTTGCTCCAAAATTTGTTATCTATGACCAAGTAGGAAATTATCTCGAAGCTCCACAAAAGTCCCATAATGACAAAAAGGCGCAGTAAAAATATGAAACTGTATAGGGAATATGGAAGGAATTAAAGACATCTATATATATATCTTTTATAACTTTATCTACGTTGATTTTTTCAAGTTTTTCTCGTTCATCTTCCGACTCTCCTTTTGATTTGAATAGTAGTCCTTCAAGTCCCTATATATTTGCAGCGTACGAATAGCCGTCAGGATAAACATGGTACAGTTAAAAGCAACCAGCAATAGCATCGGTCCAAAGAAGTAGATTATGGCAGACCAATCTCGAGCTGTGGGTGCAAAAAGAAGCTGCACAAGTGCTTACAAAAAAATTGGATCCCGGAACCCACTTTTTATCCAGCACCGGCCTAAACCGCACACACGTGGCTTCCAATCCTCGTTCTCTACGAACAGATCTGCCAAATAGGTAATTCCGGTTAAAACTACCGCCATGGCCCAGGCGTAAGTGCTGTAAGCCAGAAAGCTGTCGTTCGTCTTCGAGCCGTGAAACTTCCTCCAGAGGTGCAGACTCAAGACAGAAAGCCAAAGGAACGCGGCCATGACGAAAAAGTAGCCCATGAAACCTTGTGAAGATATCAAGAAGTGGTATTCATTGTTACAGTGTATTTACGAACTCGAAATCGATGAGCAAACCTGCTGTAGTGCAAAAGCCCTTCGATAAGTTCCACAGGTCAAGCAAAAGGAGGAGATAGGCCATTAGAAGACAGATCATGTGGCACATAAAGCACTTGCCCAGCAAGTTCCTTAGTTTTTTTAAAAAGCTGTACACGCCGATCGTTAGAATTAAACATATCATAGATATCATCATCACTGCGTAAATAGAGAAAAAATATAGAAAAGTCAGAAAGCACTTAAGCTGGTAATGCATTTTAGCTTACCGACGGTCTGTCCTGTTTTTGAGGGTTCTGGAGGTAAACAATTGTTAGGGACAATTCGAATGGTTGTTGAATTGCCGTCTGGTAAAAAAACATACTGGAAGCAATATTCCCGCTTGCTTACGAGCAAGTTATCAATGTGGCGTAGAAGGGTTCCATTCTATGGAAAGACAAAGTCCGTTAGTCTGCAAACATAAGGCACAATTATTCAGAACAACCTTGAACAGTGTGTACTCATCCTCTTTATCCCTGTTGTCCAAGTAAAAGATACTGTCACAACTAAGGGGCAAATCCCACTGAACCATTATGTCTGTCCTAACGTTCTTACTAACCAACGACTTGTCGTCGAGGGTCACATTTAAATGGGGATCGAGTTCGTCCAGCTCCTTCTTTGTCATGTCAAAACACTCGCCATTTTGCATTATTTGGTTTGGAGGGCAGCAAAACCTGACGCACGAAGTAAGTTGGCAAACACATCCTCTTGTGTGGACTGGCACCTTTTCCTTTGAGCCGTCTGGCAGAAGCTGGAAGTCATATTCACCCGTTAAGTTTTTGGGAATGCGTAGATCCTTATATAGGTATGAACCAGTCGAAAGCCACTGGCCTGCCGATACATCCACAGTGTCTAAGAAATCACAGCCTTCAATCTCCGCATTAGTTTTTTCCAACATCAACAGAAAAGGTATAACGAACAATCCCAAAAGTAGTCGCATTTTTCCGAAAAATATCTTAAAATAGAGGAAAGAAAATTTTTTTTAATGACTGGCTGTCATAATGTCTTAAATCATTAAAACATTGAAGAATCAAGTTGCAGGAATAACCGAAAAAGATTGATCAGAACCCTATTTTCTATAAATTTATTTTTATCTACAACCATTTAAAATAAAAAAACATTTTTTTTTTTCACGCGACTTTAACATTGCTAAGGGTTATTCCGGTATTACGACTCTATAAGGTATGCAACTAGTTAATGAACTTGAAGATTTTGGCGCACTTTAACAAAAAAATTGGCAAACGCTAGTGCCTTGACTTCATGTGTCTCCGACAACGGTTTTTAAATGACTGACTACTCCAAAAATATGGTGTGACAGTCCGCATAGAATAAATGTTAATGAGTCAGAGTTTTGCCTATCTAAGTTTCGGTTGTAAATTACGCATCTAAAAAACAAAAAAATTGTAATATGACAAATTCTGTTTAAGAGTTCGAACTCAAGCTAAGCAGGATGTGACGTTCCGGAAAGTCACAGAAATATATTCTTTTCTATCTTGTTTGGCTGCTGCTAAAGAATTAGGCTTCGCATCTTTTAGAAATATGAACCCATTTGAACTGGAACACTTTTGTCGCCTCCTCCGTATGCATATGGATGTGTGCAACTGCTCGTGTCCCTCTTTAGTTCGAGAGCCCTGGATCCCAAACTAAACGGCTCCTTTTCCGCCCCGCTCCTTTGCTCCTTTTTGCTTTTCCCCCCCATTTCTGGGTTATCCCTGTGAGCTGTGGAAACAGCTATATTTGAATATTTAATTTTTTAGCGAGCTGGGAACATTTCGCACTTCGAAACCTGACACTAAACGATGCCAGAGAGCTATCGTTGTTACCCAACCCAACCACCCCCTTAATTTCTGGCTGTGTATGTGGGGGTTTCGAGAAAGCAAACAAAATGTTTTCGGCGCCAAATGAATCAGCTCTTGCTGCCATCCTATATATGCTGGCTTCGTTGATTGCGAGTTCAATGCTCGCTGTGAGGACACAGCCCAATTGGCTTCAGCCAAGTTGTCCGAATTCATAATTAATATAATTTCGACACGATTCAGTTTGAGGTGCACCGCCACTCCCGTCCACAAAAACTGTCCATTTTTCACCTGTCACGTTTTTAATTAAAAGAATTTCGCTTTAATAAATTCAACTTTGACAGCAGCGGGTCGCCAGAAGGTGCGAGGCAAATTAATGAACGAGTGGCGCATGCATCCAGCCCACGCTTAACTGTTTCACCAGTTAACCAAGCAACAATTTAAACGTTCTTTCAATATTTAATTGACTTGGTCGACTGCGCCGTAAAAGAATCCCCGCAAAATTCCGTTTCAAAAAGAATGGCCGTAAGGATTGTCGTTCGTAGTCGACTTGCGTAATCGATTTGCGTTCTGTTTGTCATACCCTTAATTAACAATGTGTTACAATGGGCTTATTGTAGAGTTTGTGGTCTTTGAAATTTCTTCAAACATCCAGTAAGTAAACTTTATTTACAATTTAATTTAGTATTTTACGGATAAGGGTGTTAGTGTCAATAATTATAAATACATCAAAAAGCAAAAACGTGTGTTTCATTAGTACAGGGTTCAACCTGTTTGACATTAAATAAATTCCTGTTAATTGAAAACTTTTTTCCGAGGACATTTATTTAATTTTTTTATTTTATTTTTGAAATGCAACTTCCAGGTTAAAGTCCATTAATCTCTTTGAATTCTCTCAGTGAGTATGTATTTAACTTAATTTATACCATTGATCATTTTCAATTCCCGTTTTCTTATTTCAACATTGGCTCCACTTTTCCGAAATATTTCGTTGGGAAATTCCATTAATCCGTTTGACATTTCGCTGTTTTCGCCGTTGAATTGAAGCGACCCAGTTTGACATCGCCTTTAGTGCAGAAATCTCGAAACTTTTTTCTTACTCTATTTTCTGTTTCCATGAAATACCCCAAAAGAGCACGTTGAAGAAGAAGCAAAGTTGGGTGAAAAGTCGGAGGAGGTAAAAGTGGCAGAAAGTACGCGCCAAACTGTATGACATTATGGCCAATGCAAGGAGTTGTTGTTGATGTTGCTGGCCCACGCGCTCTACGTGCAATGTCACCCCAAATGTCGTCCTCACATATACTCTACTCACTGCACTGACAAAAATTAGCAGCTAAAACTTAAAAAAAAAACTTTTATTTTACATCTTAAATCAATTTCATTATGTCCCATAACAAAACATATTCCATGATACAAGTTATAAATAGTTTAGAAAATTATAAATATTCTTAGCAAATGGCAAAGATTTTTCGCAGTGTATTCAGCTCATACCCACTAATACCCGCACACTTTTATAGAAATCCACTCACACTCGCAGAAACTTCCGCTCTGGTTGCATTGTTCATTTAAATTCTAATTTGTATTTGGTGCACTCGACAGTGGGACAGCCTGCAGGGCGGGATTAGGGGGCGTGGCTGAGGAGGACAATGGGCGTGGGGTGGCAGGAACACGTTTCCTGCCAGCGGACAGGTGTACGGGTCGACATGAGGCCTGACTTCGAACCCACTCTTAGAAATGCACAAAAAGAAGCCAGCCAGCACAGCCATGTCCCAATAATGTCCTTGAAAAAAGGCAAATTCAAGTTGCAAACTTTCGTTGCCGTTTTCGTGGGCGTAGGTGAGACCTTGCCTGGGGCGTGGCCCACAATACACACAATTTGTTATTGTTTGATGCTCACCTGCTCTCCAGGTGAATATATCTTGATTTCGCTTTTCGCTGGCAAAATTTGAATATCCTGTAGACTTGCATTCATATTTTTAGGAAAGAAAATTGTATTTTCTGCAAAAATCTTTCGCAAGTATTGAAAGACTATAAAGCATCTAATTTCTTGATAGCTGAAAGTTTGATAAAGTTTTTGGCAAAGAAAAAGTGCTAAATAAAGAAGAAAACTTTTGTAAGCTTCGCTTTTTATTTCGAGAAAATAATTTTAAAGGTTTTTAAGAGATTCATTTGTGGCTTTGCAAGTTATCAATTTATGTTTAATTATGTCGACAAACAATTTAAAAATCAAAGATAATAATATTTCAATATTTTATTAAATAATAACAGTCATTAGCCAAAAAATAACTTAAAACTAATTTGGTGCATTAAACTATATTTTAAATAAAAGTGAAACTAAACTAATTTTAAATTAAATATTGTATCGATGTTGTCTTTATGTTCAAAGGTATATCTTCTGCAAAATATATCTCTGTAAGTTAAACTCGGATAATTCCTTTCCCACTTCGTTTTCCGCCAGCCCATTCCACAATCTAGAATTCTCTTATCTTATTTTCATTGCATTGTTGGCTATCGGCAATTCCAATCTGTAGGCTCCCCAGTTTTCCGGCGTTTCCCTGCATTTCCCTTGCCAGTTAAGCCGACATGTCGTTTCATTTAAAGTTTATTCGCGTTTTCTCTTTTTTTTCCTTTCATCCCCTTTCTCTTTCCTTGGGTTTTAGTGGGCATTCTGAGTTTTTTAATTCCGTTGCAGTTGCTGTTGTTGTTGGCGCTGCTTTAGTTGATTAAAAACCGCACTCAAAGTGGAAATGCGCCTTTCTTTGTTCGCCCCTCCATCTGGCTGGCTATCTCTTTCGTTTGCCCTATCCCTGCCTCTGTCGCACAGTGTGTCTTATGGCTTTTGTTCTGGAATTTATAGCAGGTTTAACCCACTTCGCCGCAATGCTCTCGATTTCAGACCGACCCCAAGGCTGTCGGCCATGTAAACTTTTTAAATTAGTTGTCAAATGCAGGCTGCTAAGCGGAATGCGATAACACACACAAACGTCCAAGGGAAAATCGCTAACTGGCATTAATTAAAAGTCAAAATATTTCCAGAGTTTTATGTCCGTTGCGGCATGCTGCATTTTATTGCGTGCCATGGGTGCATTGACTCCGAACCCGAACCCGCGAATGAAATGCAACTCGATGGGAAATTGCTGTTCAAATGTTTCGCCTGGCTTTTACTTGTCGAAAAACGCTAATCTTAAATCTTAGATAATCTAATTAAACATAGTTCAAATGAAAGTTCAAATAAAATCCGATTGTTAAATAATATTTTTATAAACTCTGCTTACCTGTTATCTCTGTAAACTTTATTGAAAGTATCATTTTTTTAATTATACCACCATTAAAAAAACTCCAGTTATAAAATGTAAATAATTTTAAAATAAGTTTTCCTAGTTTATTTTGTTAGTTTACCTGTTATGTACTAGTTTTAAATATAACTTGTTACAATTTTGACTTGTACGTTTTTGTACTAAATAAAAAGTTTGTTTTGTCATAAATTAAATTAAATAAAAGCCAAAAGTTGCATTGCTTGTTAAATAGGCAAGTTTTATATGTTACTGACTTTGTTAAACAAAACTACTGAATTTAGTTAATATGTTTTTTTTTGTCCGTGATGCTTAACTGCAGCTCTTGGCTCTTTGGTAGCTTGACTTCGAGTACCCCTCAGACTTCATCGTAGTTGGGTTTATCGCCAAACTTGACGGATCCCCGTTGCCGAATATTATCGCGCGTCTGTCGCTTGTACTGACCCCGTGGCGCCTTGGCCAGCGGCTGCTCGAAGGCCACGGCACTGGGCCCAATGGGACTGGCCAGCTGGAAGCCACTGTGGGCCACCTCCGAGGGCCACTTCTCGCCGTGCATCGCATCCACGAGGGCGGCCTCCAGTTCCTCCTCCTCCAGCTGCTGCTTGTGCTGCTGCTTCTGGGGGCGCTGCTGGTCCTGGAGGCGAGCCCTCAAACTGCTCATCGCAAAGGAGGGCGGTGTGGTGCTGCCCTCCGAGCTGTCCTCGTTCTCGCGGATCAGATATATCTCTTTGTGGTGCTGTTTACGGGGTCTTCGGGTGGTGGTCAGTTCCCTCTCGCGGAATTTCTTGAGGAACGAAGCGGGATAATTGGGTGCCTCTGTAGTGGTTGTGGTGGAAGATGTGCTACTAGGCGGGCTGCGATGTCTGGGCCTTGGAGCGTGTTGTGGTGGTGGTGGGGGATGTGGTGCTGGTTGGGACCTAAAAGTCAAGCCCTGACTGGGCACAAATCCACTCTCCATGGAGGCCACTGCCTCCACCGCCTCCACTTCACCACTGGCTTCACCAGTATGCTCGGTGACCTCGTACCGATGACCCATTTGCTTGGCCACCTCGTTCTCCGCCTCCTCCTCCTCTTCCCTGTCATACTCGAAGCTCACCAGCTTCTCGGGCTTGGGCAACAGTTCATGATCGCCACTGGATATATCGGTGTGCAAACGGGTTAGGGGTTGCGGTCTTAGTGTAACAAAAGAGGAGGGCGATTCACCCGTCTTGTAGACGGGTTTCCAGCTCTGGTACTCCATGATCTTGCCAGAGATCACTTCGTTGGAGGATCCGCCTCGAGGACGCTTCTTGAAGTACTTCTCCATAATCGCCTCATCGCTGGTCATGGGCGCCTTTCCCTCGGCTATCAATTCCTGCTCCTTTTCCAACTGCCGCATGCGATGATCGCCGTGGACCGTGTGAGTGATCATCATCGAGGACTCTGTGACTGTGGCCTTCGGTATGGGTCTCCTTAGTTTGATCACCTTCTTTGGCGATGGCCGCATCTTGATGATCTTCATTGGCTTGTTGTTGTGCGGATTCCTGATGATGTATTTCACTCGCGTCATCTCCGTGGGCAAGAAGTCCATGGTGGACTTCTGTCCATAGCCCGCCGTGCTCGGCATGAGATCCGTTAACATCGACTTCATCGCCCGGGCCCCGTTGAACATCCGTCCCAGCACTCCGCCCATTACGGAGTTATTCATCTCTTGCCACATAAATCGCCGCTGGATTCTGCGGAGAAAGTGAAAGTAAAAGTTTGTGTGGATTTTTATTAGACTTTTATGACGGTCATTAAATAAGTAACAAAGGATTAGAGGTTCATTAAAAGCTTTTGAAAGTAATAGTCTAAGTGTAGCAAACAGCATGTTGATTTTTTTTTGCTGAACTTTTAATACCAGAAAATATGTAAATAAATTTTGGGGTTTGATTTGCGGTGAGAGAGGTATATATAATTCCAAATGTCGAGTGTCTCTTTAAAGACTTTACTTCTTTCTGGGTAAAATCACTCAAATCACTTTAAATGTTCGCATCAAACATTTTAATTGGCAATCAATGAATGATTTTGTTTATATTTAATTTGTAACTGCACATTATGCTTACTTTGGGTTTTCGAATATTATTTTTTTATCCCATTACTTCGTTTTTTCTATTGTTTCTTTTTTCTACGGCTTCCGACTCACCTGTGATCTTCTGCCTGCTGTTCGCCTCTAATCAAAATCAGCTTCAGCAGCAACAGCAGCCAAATCCAATTGATCTACGAGAGTTGAAGTAATCCCAATTCAACCGGATGTAAATCGGTTGACAATGTCAATTAACTGATGTGTTACACTTCCTCGGTTATCCATTTCTGGCTTACTTACGCAATGCTTCCTCATATCGGCAAATACACTTGAATATTCCCACCGCTCGATTTGAATATTTCAGCAATTGGAGGATGCAAATTTCTCAAATTAAGAGCTCGTTTCGTGGCTGCTGGTGAATTTCAACTGTCAGCGCCTGCGCGCCAAGCACTTGCTTTTATATACTAGCAGTTGCCACTTGGTGGTTGCAAGTTGCTAGTTGCAGGTTGCAAGTTGCAGTTGCTCCAATTATTGGAGCTCGTTGGCTTTGAGCTTGGCATTGGCATTTTCACTTTCGTGGGGAACAATGGGCTTGACTGATAGGCTGGCCTGGCCGCCTTTCGTCGAGCAATTAGTTCCATTACTTTTTGGTATCTTTAGTGCCTGTGGTTTTGTCTGACTGCTTGGTTTTTCCTTCCTTTATTTTGCATTTTTTGTTGCGATTTTTTTGTTTTTTTTTTTTAACTACCCCCCTGGCTTCTACTCTTCATTTCTATTCGGTTTTTAGTTTCCGTGTGCATTTTCTTGCTGCTTGATTTCGCCTGCATTTTGCAGCTGCCTACCGGGTGGCGTGAAGGCTTTAAATAAGTTTTAAATATTTTTTAAATCTCATCAAGAGCTTCGATTTGCACCAGGCACCAGTGCAACTGTTTAATTATGACTTAATATTTATTAATGAGGGTTTTCAGCTTCTGCTTTGTTGCCAGCACTTCAATTTATCGATGCCAGGCGTTCGCTCACAATATATGGCATCCTCATCATCATCCTCATGCGATATATACATGTATACTAACCATCATCATCATCATCATCATCAATACGCCATCTGTGGGCCGAAACGTGCCAAACAATTGGGTTTGGTAAATGACTTTGTGGCGTGTATGCACTTTTCTGCTCATCATCATCAATTTAATGATGGCCATGGTAATGCTGTTGATGTTTATTGAGATATTTTTTCTGTTTGATCAAAGTGCTGCACTCGAATGCATATATATATCTGTGCGGCAGGTGGAGCCACTTCAAAGTCAAATGCCTCATTATCAAGGAACGTGTGTCAACTGCAAAAATATTTATTGAAATATCTTTTTGAAGGAGCCGAGTGGTAATAAGAGATATTTATTCAGTTTCCAGGAATTTGTTTGCGGTTTAAATTTATATTCGTAAAGGTAGAATAGGTCATTCTAACTATAGGCAACCGTTTCTAGTTAATAATAAATATATTCTAGCTTTGACCCTCTTTTTGTTTGAGCTAAATACATATTGATAAAACATCTATTAATGCTGCATACAAATATTTATTTATGAAATTTAACGGACTACTAATTAAAAAGAGCTCCGAAAATTGAATTAAAATTCTCTGATAAATATCTAAACTTGTTTCCATTTATCTTTATTTCAATTAACACTTTGTTAAAACGGAGAAATAATTAAATCGCTATCAATAGACTTCAACAATGTTAAATTAAAGGACGTGTAATCTGAGCTCTAACACTGCTAGTTATTACTATATCAACCTTCAAATAAAAGTAAGTCAATGTCTTAAGTCATTTTAAGCCGCTTTGGTTTGCCCTTTACGAGCTTATCAAGTTGCAATAATTGCATTTGTGCACTAATTGAACATCTGTTAAATAGAAAGAGGCGGTGGGACATGAATACGTATATATATTACCGCCCACAACACATCAATAGCGTTTGCTCGACTCTTTGGTTGCTGGCACATTACGCATACGCATCGTTGAGCGAGCTGAAGCCTTGTTTAATACGCGCTCCACGCTTCAGTCAATAATGTATTTAAAATGCCATTTGTGTAAATGGATTATGTAATCGATGCAACATTGTGGCAGTGGCTGCTAATGCAATATGCCCCTTGCCTTCTCCACATGAACGTTATACATGCTCCACATGCACACTTATATAGACATATTTGTGTTATTGCTGCCTAGCCTGACTTTGCTGATAATGCTAGCTTACAGTCGGAGTCCTGAACTCCTTGTCGTTGTAGTCGTCCTTGCATAAAAGCAAATTGATGCCCTAAGCCAAATATAAACACAATAAAACCAAACAAGCCGCAACAACAATGAACCAGCACACACGCACACAAAGAGAAAAATTGTCCATTGAAATGTATACATTGATAATAAGGTAAACAACATTGTGTTAATTTTAAATCTTGTAGAATGTGATAAAGTGTTGAAAACTATGTTTTTATTTATAAAAGTAAATAAAATTTGATGTCGAAGTTATCCAAAATATTACTTAATTATAAGACACTAATTGCTTAAAATTACATTTTTAAATGTATTCATACTGTTCCCCTATTGTTCAGCTTTCATTTTCTTTAAAACCATCTTTAATAATGGGTGGTATTCGGATTTAAGTGTACCCAGATACACTTTGGGTTAGCCAAGTTTATTATTCTTTAATGCTAAATTGCTAAATTGAAATGCCTATGAAAACACACCAAAATCTTTGACCATTTTTGCAAAATATTTTTCAATGTGCAGACAAATGCCTGCAGGGAATATGAGGATGTGAAGGGAGTGCGGTGTTGCTACTGCCTGTATCCTGTATCAGTTGGCCAAGCATAAGGCAACAGCTAACTGCAAATTGTATGAGCTCGAATTTCGCCTCTATGCCACAGATTTTTCCATCTCACCCCCTCGACTTGTTTCTCAAACGTTGATAACATTCGCATTTCGGCTCTCAGGATAGACACTCTTTTGGGCAGATAACCACAGCTCGAGGGATAACAAAGGCATCGCCTGCTGCAATAACTTTGACGAGCAATGGAAACAGGCCTGAGAATCGGACCCAGATTGATACGGATCGATGGTCGCTTACATTAGACATCCAACAGTGGACAAAAGGGAGCCAGGAAAGTGGTCAGATTTGCAGATAGCACAAAAGAGCTGACGTTGGAACAGGAAAAGTCAATTTAAAATAGTTACAAAGAGATGTACGAGGAATCTTGTTTAATACTTTTATCAAATTTAATACGTATAAAAATAAATATATTACCTCATAAGCCCATAGGTATTCCACCAAAAACTATAGATCTTTATATCTTAAAAGTTAATGTTTTCTTGATGGCTTATATTTTCATAAAGCTGTCCATGTGCTTGACTTATTTCCCATTAAAAATATATTTATTTTTATGTCCTACCCATTTTCTGTTTTTATTTTTCTTCTGTAAACCAATTTGTTGATATTGATGCTGTTGTTGATGCTGCTGCTGCTGCTGCTGTTGCTGCCGTTGCTGCACTTAATATTATATTTACATTTATTTTGCGAGAGTAAAAATGCATTTACCTGACGTCCGCTAGTCGAAAACCCTTCAACTTTTCGTCCTTTTTCCGCATTTTGCTGGAGTCTCAGCAGCATTCTGATGTCCTTCTTGTTGTTGTTGCCTGCACTGATTTAAAGCCAGGGGCGCTTCTGTTGTTCCGGTTATTCAATTTTTTCTCTTTTTATTTGGTGCTCCGAACTGCTCTACTTTGCTCTCGTTGCAGTTTTGCGACACCATTTTATGCTCGAAACACAAAAGACTGGAGCTGGAGATATTGCGCATACGCCACGTTTTCTCAGCTCACCATCCATGGATTGTGAGCTCATGTGAATGTGACGGGGCCATCACAAAAGCTTTGAAGTTGCATAGATAAGCTTCGGTTGGAGCAAATGCTGCATAGCCCCGGGCGATTTGGCCGCGAAGGCGACAACTGGCAGAGGGTCTGTGCTGTGGAGAAAACATAAACTTATGTCATAAGCCATAGCCTCTTGGCAACGCACAAGGGTCCCGTTCCAGGCATTAACCCATGTAAGCCGAAGTGTGGCAGACAATGGCCCCGGGCCACACAGATAGCCCAACTCTATTCGCACACTAAAAGAAAAAGCATAGCCCGCACACATTTTAAGCTTATTTAATGTGCGCATAAATTATTCAGAGCGGACGGGCGGCGGGGTGGGCGAAAAAAGCTTCGCGTCCTGGGCATACTCAATTATTTTAGATTATGTTTGGATTAGTGGTCAGGAGCAGGACTCCACTAGGACCCGGTTCATTGGTCCCTCTGTCTGGTTATTGCACTTTATTGTCATTGGAGCCGCTCTGGCGATGACAGCCCTCCGAATGGCTTTTGGGTCCTTCGCCCGACCGGCTTCCTTTTTTTTGGTTGTGGCCTGCAGCCCAACCCAATCAATATTTAATTGACCCATTTCAAGGCATTCTTTTCCTATGAATGGGGAGTTTTTTCCCCGGTGAAAACCATTTTATCAATTGCTGCGAATAAAGGGCGGCAGATTAAAGTAAAACCATAAGTCAATATGGAAAGTGTTAAATACTTCAATTTTATAGAGATATTTTTTTTATTAATTGTCGTGATTCCTGTTTTTAAAGCACATTGAGACTATATGAATTTTTTTCTTCAGTTATTTTTTTCAAGAGATTTATAAAAGCTTTCAATTAATAGAGTTTTTTTCATGATTTACCAAAGTTAACTTTTTGTGGACATTTTTTTGTCATATTAACCTTTTATTTTGTTATAATTTGGAACCATAAACCATTTGATATTTTATTTATTTATTTTATTTATTTTTCCTTGAACTTTTTTAGAGGCTTTTGAATGTATTTTAGTAGTATGTTGTACTGGCTTTTTCTATTTTTGTTTCTACAATTTTTATATATTAGTCTTAAATTCCTCCCAGTTTGCTCAACGCAATGTGTTCCTTTAAATTAACTTTGAATAAGACCTTTACCACATCCAGATACTCGGATACTCCAGGCCAGTGAGCCATTTAGGGCATAAATTAGATTAGAACAGACCATAGCCGGTTCGTAATGGGCGCTGAAAGCATTTTTTTTTAGCCGCTTTTGCCAGGCCATGTACTTAATTTATATTAATGTGGCCGCCATCTCTCTCTGTCTCTTCGCTTTGTACATCTGCCAGCGTCCTAAATTAATTTACACGACGCACGACAAAAAGCGAGTATCTGCAGATTCCCTGATGCCTCATAAAATCCTCATCCTCGTCCCTTGCTATTTTTTTTGGGCCTTCAAATTACTTGCATGGCCATTGATGGTGGATTGTTGTTGCTGCCACGGACGGCTGTCATATTCAATCAAATTTGTTATGGAAATAAATTGACAAATAAATTGTTGGATCCATTTATTCGTATCATTAGCGTGTCCCATAGCGGCAAATTGGTTTTCAATTTGATTTTCAAATGAATTGATGGAATTCTAAAAGATTTATGTTTTTTTTTACTGTTAAAATGCAATTCTTTGTGGGATTATTTGGAGTTATTGTAACAAAAAAAAATTTAGTGGGCTTACATATATTTTAGAAATAAAGATAAAATTAACATTTTGTAGTTTTGCTTTTGATCGCCAGAAAATTCTGTTTTGTATTTTTTGTCAACCATTTTTCTAATTGACAGCCTATGCATGTTTTACCTTTTTTTTGCTAGCAGTTTTTTTGCAATAGGCGGTTACTCTCCTTAATTTAAATTTCCGAATTATTTCAATTTAATCGAGCTTATCCAGATTTTTGTCCCAAAAATATATATGTATTGGTTTACATTTATATAAATGAATTTTTATCGATACGCTTTAAGCAAATAAATCTATTCCAATCGAAGTGACGCAATTTTTTGTTGTGGCTTTTATTGGCGTAGCTTTTGGTTTAATACGCACACATTTTGTTTCATTTCGATTCTGGAGCCGTAACCTCAGAATTCGCCGGCGGCAACGACACGCTGATTAAATCAAATAACTTATGGCTTAGCTGCCACTTTTCCTTGTCCTCCTTTCGTCCTTGGAGTCCAGGACCAGTGGCAGACGTTCCCTTGCCTTTTGCAAGGAGTAAGAATACTCCCAGTTGTCGGACAACGGAAATCAGCGCTGCCCAATCTGCTGTGTGGCCGAGTTTGGTTTGGTTTGGCTTGGTTTAGTTTTTTGGCTGGATGGATGGTGCTCGGTGGTGCAGAGGTGAAGTGGAGCAACTGCCGTGGCTCATTGTGTATGAAATTTGCTCAACTGCAAGCCAAGCAGAAGGAAATTGCACATACACACAACCACACAGCGTTATCCTGCTCACTGGATTCTCCTCATTCTTTTTTCTTTCTCCACCAGAAGCTTTTTCTTTTCTGCTCGACTGCTGATGCGAAAGCTTCCTTAAACACACACAAAAAAAATATTAGTATAGTATAAAAGTATTTTAGGTAATATTTATAACCTAATTTTAGCTTATTTTTATTGTCCATATTTTAAACTTGTGTGATCTTTTAAAAACTGGACAATTATTTCCAAATTAAGATTCCCAAACACGAAATATATTTGCTGCAATTTAACATTCAATTGGTTTAACAAAAAAACTATGAAATAAATGTTTGATTTTCTAATTGCTATCTCAAATTTAAGGTACGTTTAATGGGTTCGTACCTTTTTTTTATGATTTTTTCTATAGTGTACAGCCATTTTGCTAAGCCATACACTCGAAAGCGTTTACTGTCCGTGGTCGAGTGTGTTTGTGAGGGTGTATGTATTCTGTATGTGGTTATGCGTGTGTGCACATGTGTGCCTGCCATTGTTAGTGTCGCTGTCGCAAAGTTCATCTTTTGTTTCAATTGCCGCTCTGCTGACGGTCAGTTCAGATTTCTGGCCGTATCTAAGCGGAATGATCCCATCGTACTCTCCTTCCCTGCGGTTGGTTTATTGCAATTGATTTTGACGCCGCTGTTTATGCCAACTGAACAATCGGAGCAGTTTAATCCAACTGCCACTGCCACATTCGCGTTTGTGTTTGTGTAAGCATTTCCCGATTGCGATTGCGATTGCGATGTAAGACAACAACGCCAAGCACTCGAATAAAATCGAAGCTTAGGTGAAGCGGTTGACGAGTGGGAAACGCTGTGGCAATCTTTGTTAAAGACGGCTATAAAGCATGACTAGAATACTGACAGACACAACATTTTTCAGATACATATATACGTATATATATATATGTACTTTAAACGAAATCAATACAAGTTTTATTTTAAATGTTAATTTACTTCTGATTATACTTTTATGTTATATTGCGAATTCAAAACAATAATTTGAAATTCAATAAATAATTGGCAACATATTCTAAAATTGTTTTCAGTATGTTAGTCGACCCGAAATCAATCTAAAAATCTTTGTTAGCAAAGATTCCAAAATGTTTTGTGCTATTGGGACTCCTAATAATATTTAAGTCAAATATGGTTGATCCAAAAAATAAAGCAAATTTTATATCAATAAAAGTGCAGAACTTTTCCATTGCAAAAAAGCTAGTTTTAAAATTTTTTGATCTTTTACCAATAAGAACACCGTTCTCCTTGATTTTTCAGCTACGTGCACGGAATTGGTTCGGAGACGCGGAACTCGCTCTTCCATTTGCACAACGGACGCGACATGGTCCTGGTCACCACCTGTCGCCACGGGAAGAGTTGGCGGGAGCTGCAGGATAATCGTTGCGACGAGGACAACCGCGAGTACGACAGGTAAGTGAAGATGGCGCCCCCAATGTCTCCGTCCAACATAGTCGCAGATGACGATGATTGTCGCCGGCGAAGTGGCCAGAAATTGTTTCTAGCTGTCATTGGGTCCGCAAGTAATTTGTTTAGCCTCCGCCATCGTGCTAATAGCTGCCACGCCCCATCCTTTTGACCATTAACCGGAGACTCGGGCCCGCCCCCATTGGCCCTCTTTATGTATATCTTCTATATACGTATCTGTCGGATGTTCGTGGTGATTAATGTGCTGAAATCCGACTTGACAAGCTCATTTAAATGGCACGACACTCGGGCCAAAAGCATTTGCAATGCCAATGGATTTCGTTTAATGCCGGAGTCGAAAAATTCAGGGATGAGCACACAGAGCGGTGACTTTTCAATCATGGTCAGATGATTTGAAATGTTCCTCGGTCATTTACGTTGGTCAAATTAATGGTGGAAATGAAGTTATAGAAATGGCTGACAGAAATAAACTCATCACTTTCTTGTATGTTGATAAAGCTGTGAAAAAAAGTGTCATAGAAAGTAAAACCGGCCATGGTTTAATCGCAATATTCTTATCACTCAGAATGCTTGTTATACCTTTTTTCCTTCGTCAATACATATTGTTAAATGTTAAGCCGCAAGCGGTCAATGAAGTAAATGAGACAATGAAAGTTAAGCACCCATTTGATATTGTTGTGATTTTCACTTAAATTTTAAGAAAAACATGACAAAATGATGTATATATTAATGATACGAAATCAAGGATTACTTTGATCGCAACATCGAAATTTTCATGAAGAACGACAATGCAGCCATTGCCTTTTACCTTTAATTGAATGTAATTTTTCTCAGATTTTGCGCCACTTCTGGCGGCAAACCTTCCCCTTCGCCCGCCTTCTGTCTGCCTTCTTTACTTTCTCGTAATTTGACATGACCTATGCGACAAATCTGCTTTGGCGTCAAGCGTCAGCGATTTATGCCCCCCACTTTTGCCGACTTCATCCTGTTCTTCCTTCAACTCTCTGCACTGTTCTACATAATCAAGCAAATTGCTTTCCCACTCACATCATTTTTTATCAAGGGGCCTTCGCTGTCTGGGAACTTCGTTAATGCACCTGTCAGATATATCTTTCGCTTTCTTCCTTCCGCTCTCCATCTCCCTGCATGTGTTGGATCTAACTATGTTTGTATATGTATATATTTAGAGAAAATTGCATAATACCCCTGAATAGCATCAGCGATTTTTTGCAAACAATCTCTAAAAGCTCATGAATGCGCGTGGGCGCCAAAGTTCTTTTGGGTGAGTTGAGCTTCTGTATTTTTGATGAGTTTTCCCAGCATTAATATGCAAAATGCGCATTGTTGTTGTAGCTGCCGCCGTTAATATACATAGTGATGAGGGTATTGCAGAAGAAAACCCCTAGAAAATTTTAAGTCTGAATCCAAAATCCATTTAGTTTGACAATGACTTAAGAAACTTTTCTCGTTTTCGATGGACGCCAAGCAAAATGAGTAGGGGAGATTATGGTCAGCGAAGCATTAAATTGATGTTATTTGTGAAATGAACCATTAACGTACGGAGGCAAGGTTATTAATTATTTAAATCAATTACGGTTTTCTTAAGTTTGCAATAAAAAGCTATAAAAAAGAGTTTTAAAGTTTAGAACCATACAACTTTTATATGAATTTACGAATTATTTATGGTGACTCATACGTATGTTTTGTTATATTTTTGCTACTACATCATTGCTTATACTAATTTAAAGGACAAAAAAAACTTTGACTTAATTTCTCAAATTCCCTATTCATGTTCATGTAAAAATATATATATTAAGAATACAGCCATATTCCCCAACGCAAAATCCATTAAAAAGTTTTGTTATTACTTCAACTCATCCTACACCACAGTCTGCCTGCGAAAAAAAAAACTTTTCCAACTGCATTCAAAAACCTTGAGCTGCTTTTAATGAAATTTTTTGTTGTTGTCGCTGCCGCTGTCGTTTTGCGGCCGATTTTCGGGTCCGCCCTTTGTTGCTGTTGTAATGAGCCTAAGGCGTCAATGGCTTTTGCCGCCGATGACGATGTCATGCACCATATGCAGCCGCGGGAAATGGAGGACGTAGGTTGATGGGCCGCCGCCGATGATGATAATGGTGATGGTGATGATGATGGGCAAAAACAAGCCACACAACGCCAGTTCTACTTTATTTTTTTACTTAGTAATTTCTGATACGAGGTCAACGATTTTATCCAACTTTGGCTTCTTTTTTAGCTTTGCGGTTGGCACTTCTCAAGGGACTTTTTGAGTCGCCAAAAAATAAAAAACAAAAATTCAGCGGAATATGTAAAAAAAAAAAGTTGTTTTTCTGTGTTAAAATTAAAGTTTAGAAACTAAATAAAATACTTTTTTTTGTTTATGAGGATTTTATCAATCTTTATTTGTTTGTTATTTATTTTATTTTTAGAACATAATTTTATGACTTACAATTTTTCACCATTTAATTTCTGTACTTGCATTTTATTTTATCAGTGTACAAACATGCGGTTTTTGCTAGTTTGTCAGACTTTGCCTATTTTTGAAGTCAGCCCAAAGTAGCAACTGTGGCTAATAATGAGACGCCATGTAAATGTCCTTGGGAGTAAAACTTGTTCCTCATTTGCTTTTTGGCTGTGTAATTTTGTATGTGTTTCTTTTTTATTTTTTGCCGCTAACAGCAGACGCGACGAAATAACGTATACGCCATGTTGCTGCCAGGCCACACCAACTGTTGCAGCCACACGTAACCACCCCAGAGCTTCAAGGTTGTCCGGAGGCAACTTTCAACTTTTTGTGGGCCTTTAATTTGAGCGTAACAATTTATAAAGTTTTCTTTTTGGTTGGCCATTTTTCAATACGCAATTTTCGAAACTATTTTGTCGGTGTGTTAATGTGCATAGTTGCGTGCGAGTGTGTGTAATGGGTACTTTACAGGATTTCAAGGTCTCTGGGGAAACTCAATTTTGGCTTGTCATCACCAAATATTTATATTGACATCTGTTCGTAGCATGAGGAAAATTTTAAAGAATGTTGATGGGAAAAAAATGTTAAGAGCAGTTCTGTATCGTGTAAAGCTTGATCATCACTCTATAAACAAATTGCCACGTTTAAAGTCAGATACTCAATTAAAATTTATTTATGTAAACATATTGTATATATCAGGTAAAGAAGAAAGTCCTGGGGTTACTGAAATCAGCAATTGGCAGACTTAAGAACATCCCCTTTACCTCATTAAAGTTAATTTGAAAGGCAGCCCCTCGTCGAACATGCAAACTAATTTAAGCATATGAAAACGAAGAATTCCAACTCATTAAAGGACCCCAATGTCTGTTTGCCCCCCTTTTTCATCTCCCCCTGGATCCGGCTTATGCATTTTTCATAATGTAATTTCCCAAGTAATAAATTTTCATGCCAGCATCATCATTATCAACAACATGCAGGACGAAAGGAGGGCGGCGAGTGAAAACTTCGGTTCGGTGCAAGGTGCAGCTGCCGTTGCACCTGTTCGAGAAGCCTCCCGCTTCCTCATTCCACCTCCCCTGGTTGCCACTTTCCACGTTAATCTCAGATTTCCACATAAATCACTTTAAAAAGGCGACACACTTGCAGGCGCAGAAGCAGGAAAAGGAGCAGTAGCAGGAGCAATGCGAACCCAAGGCGCCGGCTCCCGAGGAAGAGCAAGTAACCAGTGAACGCTGCTCAGTCCTGCAATGGCAATTTCTTTGAGTACTTTCTTCTATTTCCCCTTTGCTACTACATCGCTGTGTGTGTCGCTGTGAGTTGCCCCAAAAAACGTGCCAAGTAATTGCCGGTCATTGCTGTAATGTCCTGAACATAAGGAGCTGCCATGAGCCCAGAAAATAATAACCAGACTTTGCTCTAAGGTACTTTTAATTTAAGCGACGATATGGCGTTGATGAAAAGAAATATTCAGTTAATTTTTATTTATTTCATAAGCTGTATTAGTTATAAATTATAAGATGAATTTGTATCATACAAAACAACAAAATTCCTTGGTTTTAGAAAAAATTACCTTTAGGAATAATTGCCTTTCATTTGATCATTCCCTACTAAATTTAGGATAATAAACGACACTTAAGGCAATTATTGTCTTAATTTTGTTTTTTGAGTGTAAAGACTGTTTGTTTAAAGACCATACAGTATTCGCATGTCCATAACAAGAAAATACTTCTATTATACGTGAAATTAATTATTTATTTTTAAATACATATTTTTCTAAACAAAGATGCTTAACATATTTTCCTAAATGGAATATTCTTGCAAAAATTTGTACATTTAGCTTTTTAAATTTAAACCAATGTGGGATGTTTTAAAACCATCATGTAACAATGTCTTAGAGTTTTTGTAATAATCGTAAATGCATATGTTTTTTTTATATATTTTGACCGACACACCCTGAACATAGAAAAGAGAAAACCTTTTCCTTTGCACAATTCCCACACGCATTTGTGTGAGCTGCATTTGCAATTGCACGGCGTCCTTATGCGGTTATGCTCCTTTGCCGCTGCTGTTGCTGCTGCTTTCATTATGAGCCATTATCACAAGCTGGCGACAAGCGACTACCACGATGGCCACAAAGAAAGCTGGGGAAACGGCCAGGAGAATGGCCAACAGAAGGGGGGATGGAACGAGGACGTCAGTTGGTCTCTCGACAACGCTTGACGCGAGCTTTGCACTTGTAACTAATGCGCCATGTTTAATGTTTCTCTGCCGTATCCACTTATTTTTTTATGCTTATGCCGCCGCTGCTTGGCAGAGAGCAAAAAGTATTTTTAAAGCAAAATATTTAGGTTGTATGACATAAAATAAATATATATATTTGCTGTTTTAAAACGTTCCTGTTACTTAAAATTTCCCCTCCTTTTTTTTAATCTATAGCGAGATTAATTTAAATTTAGAAAAACATTATACCAAATGTCCTTACAAATAAAGCATCACAAATTCTTGCAAAACAAAACCAAAAACAACCTATTATTTGTATAGTTAACGGGTAGAAACTTGGATTAACTACAAGTGTTGATTAAATTAAAAATGTATTTATAAAATAATATTGGTATTGTTATTGTTATTGTTTATTCAAAATAAACTAGATTTTCCTTATTTTAATTTTTTCTCTGTGTCTATTCCTGCTCTACTGTTTCTTATCATCTTCTACTGCTTTTCGACCAAACAATGGAAATGGCAACTTTTACAGCTGCATTTTCCTGCCCACTTTTTACCCATTTTGGTGCGTGTGGGCGGATGCCTTTTTCTCGCTGCCTCTTCAGTTTGATTTTTTGTTTGTGCTGCACTTTGTTCTTTGCTTTCTGGGGACTTGCAGCGCATTCGAAATGCGTTCCAAATTGTCTTTATTTCAAATGCTGTTTTTGAAAAATTTAATTTTCATTGAAATTCATCGCCATTCCTCTCCTTTTTTTCGCGAAAACTTCTTTGCCAACTTGGGTTCTGTCCTGACATTTTGCCCACATCTTTTTACTCAATTGTAGTTGTATTTTTTTCTCTTCAGTGCCGTTTTTTGCTTTGACTTCTGCTGTTTTTAGGATATTTTTAATTAGTTTTGCATTTTGCTGCAGCTGACAGGCAATTCCAGCCAAAGGCGAAACGTTGCTTATAGTTCACTTACAGCAATTAACTAAATGTTGCGCATACACCACTGAGGTCAAATTATAGGAGTTCTTGGCAAAAAGCAAAGATGACAAGACGGAATCTGGAATACAAAAGAACGATACATAAGTACTTGGCAGAAAGAAAAAAAAAAAAAAACCACAAGAGCTCACGAACCGATATGCGGAAAACTACAAAAGGTGGATTACATTCCTGGGGCAGGGAAAAACCAAAGGTAGATGCTCTACCTGTCAAAGGCAAAGCCCAAATGATGAGACTTAATGTGAAATCACAACCTCATTTCGACTCTCCCGTCGTCAGTCAGTTTGTCAGTCACTCAATCAGCCCTAGAAGCTGAATTCCCCGAACAACACACAGCTACCGGGAAAAAATCCACAAAGCACGGGAAAATGAAACCACCGGCGGCAGGAGGGCAACCTAACCTTTGACAGCTGGAAACCACTTAAATTATATGCCTGCTGTGTGCTTGTGGGGTTACCACCTCCTGCCAGTTGCTTATGTTAATTTTCTGCTGGCCTAGGCTCAAGCAATTGACATGAACTGAAGTGACTTACTTTGTGGCTTTCCTCCGCCCCCCGGAAAAAGTCCATCTCAGTCAGGGTGGTGGCAACAGGTGGGAAATTCGAACGATTTACCTCTGACTAAGTAATTGCCGGGTATGTGCTGGCATTCTTATTAAGCAAAGTTTTCCAAAGCTTTGAAACAAGCAATAAATTCATAACTTGTTGCTTTCTCGAAATGGTTCATAAATTTGCAAACAAAATTTGATTCCTTGGAAAAGAAGACCAATTATAAGTGAGAAACTTTTTTCAAGAAAAAATTAAAGTCTATTAAAAAAAAACTATAACCTATCCTTTAAATCAAGAAACTATGCTACACCCAGAGGAAAACGGCATACAAAAATTAAACATTAATATATTTGAATGAAACATTGTTTTTCAAATTATAAACTTACTTAAAATAAACTAGAAGCATGGTAATGTAATTATTAACATATTCAATTGGTTTATCCAATAGGATTTCAATTTGTTTTAATTTTAAATCTAAATTTTTCCATACTCAAAAATAAAAATTATAGTGTAACACACTTTGGTTTAAACAAAACACCCCTCGTTGCTTAATCAGCACCCAAAAAAATGTATTTTAAAGTGAAAATAATTGGATTTGTCTTCTTTTTTCTGTAAAAACATTATTGGGGAAAGTTTTAAAACAATATTAATTACTGCTGCATTCTTATCGTTGAAAAAACATGAATAAAAGTTTTTCAAGGCGTTGAGAAAACGCATAGTAATACCTCTTCTAACTTGCTGCTTAAGTAGTAAAACACGCCAGTTATAGAGGAAAGTTAAAAAATAAATTACTTTTCAACAAGGCACGCAAATAGTAAACTTTTACTCAGAACGCTCGCTTGGAAAATAGGAAGAGCCTTTAAAAATGCAAATGAGGAAAAATCAAAAGCCATATTAATTATTGCTGCATTTTGCCTGCTCATTTCTAAACCATCTGTATAATGCCTAATGAAGTGGCCGAGCTTTTTGCTTTACCAGCTTAAACATCTCTGTTTTGGAAACAGAAATGGCAGTGGCAACAACTTTTGACAACAAACGCGTGTAAATAGCAAAACTTTTGCTCACATGATGTTGGGGTGCCCGGAACTCAGAGCCCAACACAACCGAACTTAACTGAACCGAACAGAACTGTTCGCCCAACTTGGCTGAAAGCTAAAAATCATTTAATTAAAGTCGGGGCGGGAAGAAGCGTTTGGAGGGCGAACTAAGCTGCTGTCTAAACAACAACAACGTTGCATGTTGGTGGCTCTTAATTGCTTAAACAAGTAGCTAACAAGCGAGCAGAAAACGCGGGGAAGAACACCCTTCCTCGCAGGATAATGTATATAAGCCAGTGCAGTGACCTGCATAAGGAGCTGCAAATGTTCCGACACATGTACACGAATGTAAACCCAAGTCTGTATGCATAATGTTGTCTAATTAGTTAGGCCAAAAACCACGCCCCACTCAACGCGAAAGTGCAAAGAAAAAGAAACTGTTCACATAAATTAAATGCCATATAAAATTCAGACTATCTTTTTTCTTTCAGAGCAGGCAAACTCAAGCAAATGACCCATTCAACCCAAATAGCCTTAGGAACATAAACTGAACAAACCACATTTAAGAGTATTTTCTGCATGAAATGGCTTTATATATTTATTTTAGCTGTTTTTGGAACCAGTTTGAATGGACTTTAAGTAGGGGGAACTATTCTATGCTCTATGCTTTATTTTTCTTGTAGTTCTTACTTGTTCTTATAAAGTATATCAGATCAATTTTAATTAAAGACATTTCTTAAACTTGCTCTACAAATTTAATATGGTGTAAAAAATAACATTCTCTTTTATTTGTACGAAAATAATTACTGTCAAAAATGTTTCTGAATCAAGAGAACTAAAATAAATTGAAAGTTTAGAACTATTGAAGCCATTAAAGTTTTGTAGTTTAAATTTGAGTTCTATTAAATCTACTTGAATATTTGCAGCGTTTTATGTTAAATATTATGCTTAGGTGAATTCCGCAATCCTATATATTTTCGGATCTTAATCGTCCCAATTCCCCTCGTTTGCCTTCTCTGCTCCCTTCTAACTCTTCCAAGTCCATGGCTGAAGTTGCGCCTGCCTATGCATTTGGCAGTATAATTTTTCAACTCTCACCAAAATGTCAGAAGCAAGCCAACATGCAATTTATGTTGTTTGCTCAAGATTATTCATACCGAAGTCTACGACTGTTGCAGGCCGACTCTCTCTCCCGCTCTCGCTCTAATGCTAGCTAGCTTACTCTCTCTAGCCTTCGGTGCGTTGTCAATGTCCAAAAAGCTGCGCATGCAGTTTCCTAATAAATTTTTTTGCTGATTCTGCTTTTAAAACGCGAATGTACCGAGCTCAAATTGCTGACCATTTAGAAGGGGGTTCCATGAGGAGGAAGTGGCAGGAATGAGGACGGTTTGGAGGATTATAGGGATGCTTGTGTGTGAGTTGCCTGGAGGGCAGAACATGCCCAACTACATGTAATTTTACGCGCAACTTAACTTGTAAACTGCCAGCACACCAATGCCGCTGCCCAACCTCAAAAGCACCTCCTAATTCCCACCATTCTAAAACCACCAGTCTTCCTGCGGACAATACACAGCCACAGCCACAGCCACATCCACCTGAATCAATGTTTGGCGTACATGGCGTATACGTATTATGGCAGTTTAATGCATTTCGTGGCTTTGATTTTGGAATTAAAGATTAAAGTGGCCACACAAAACGCGCACTGTGGTCACAGCTCAAAATCACCCCCTTTTGCGACTCCTGCTTTTCAACACTTTGCGTAGTCGGATAACACGGCGTATGAGAAATGTGAGCAAATGCTAAGCATACGCCCTGTTGAGCATTAAGCTTGAATTACAGGAATTTCGCCAAATATCAAAGAGCAAAGCAGAAGGAGTTGAACGGATTCAATTGCTAGGCAACAAATTATTACAAGTGAGAGAAAGAGCAAAAATGTTTCTTGCTACTAAAAGAATTGTAATCTGGGAAATTAATCACCAAAACGGAAAGATAATTACTTTAAAGTACCGTAAATGCAACTAAGTCGTAGTGAATTGTTATTGTGGTTTAATTAGAAGAACAAGAACAAAATCTTGAATGAATGTGTACAAAATCAAGATAGTTACGTAAAACTAATACCTTGTCTTAATAGATAAACGTTACATAAAATATGTAGGCAAAGAACGTTTCTACATATATGTCTCTATTCACAATCAAATTTATGTATTCATCTAGAAAACAATAGATTGTTAAATTATATTTGTCTGTTTTTGATAAGCTACTGAACAGTAAAATCGAAATATAACCTTTTTATATAACCCAATACCTGAACTATGCCCTTTTTCAACCCATTTGAATAATTAGCAAGACTTTATTTCTTTGTGCACCAAATTCGTTTATTCACCTCCACTCGCCACCCATTATCATATTGTAATGTCGATATGTTCACAGCCAAGGGCGGATCCACAGGGGGTATTTGTTGTGAAAACCCCCCACCAGCCAAATTGTCGATCCGCCACTACGTGCACAACGAATACATCTGCATCTCCTTGGGGTCGCATTTTCGTCGCATGGCGCCTTTGTTCGATTAATTGCTCCAGAATCCCATTATGCAATGCCATGGCTCTCACTAATTTACATGTTCTGCGCGCTCTGTCTCACTCATTTCCTTTCCCTGTTCCACCTCCATTGCAGGTACGACTACGAGACCTTACTGCAAAATTCCACTTTCTGCTTGGTGCCGCGCGGACGTCGTTTGGGTTCCTTTAGGTAAGCACAAACAAAAAACCCACAAAAACAACAGCAAAAATACGAAGAGTAATCAAAAAAAAAATGGATAGAAAACATAAAAAACAATTCTTATTTTACATTTCACAATGCCATTTTTTTTCATCATCGTTGTTTTTTTTGGGTGTTCGTCCCTTTTTCTCTTATTTTTATTATCTTGCAGATTCCTCGAAGCCTTGCAGGCTGGTTGCATTCCCGTACTATTGTCCAATGCCTGGGTGTTGCCGTTTGAATCGAAAATCGATTGGAAGCAGGCTGCCATTTGGGCCGATGAGCGCCTCCTGCTGCAGGTGAGCCGGGGCATACATATTTATTGATATCTGCGGATGGGCATACCATGTATATATATAGTTGGGATATGGCCTCTGTATGAAAAATTGAACGCACAGCGTTCTGTGGCAGTTCGTGTGCCACTTTTAGAGTCGTTTGGCCAAAGCGATTTCATTTGCCCCCTTGCCTAAAAAGTGAAAAGTTTTCATTGTTCATGTGAGCAGAGTGGTTGGGTTGGGCGCCGAACCATATAAATACAACCCAGAAAGCTGTCACTTTAGAGCGTCGCAAATATTTGTTGCACCTTTTTATTAGCCTCTCCAAATGTCCGGCCATTTGCCATTGATGAATATTCTGCAAGAGACTTGGCTAGATTTGTGCACCTGTTAGCCAGTGCTCAGAGGTCCGACATGCCAGGACCTTGGCCTGCAAGTTGATTGCGTAAGAACGTAATTTATCAGGAAAAAGCATTTCGAATTGATAAATTTTAAAGAAAAACATTTTTTATATAATACATGGGTTAGTTTTAAAGTTTTGTCCTTCGTAAACCCGAATATTTTTTATCAATTTCAAGTTTCAAATAGTGTTAGCATAGAATCGTATGCTTAAATACAGATCAATTTGTTGACGGTCTAAATAAAACCCGAAACTCGGTAATACTGTAACCAGAACTACGGCAAATTCCCAGTTAATTCCCTGTAAAAGGAATCGAAAAGCAACAGCACCAAGAATCCCACTTAAGGCTTATCGGACTTTGGCTCCTCCATTAGGACTGTCCACATTCTTGCGCTTAACCCACTACTTGCCTCTGTGGCGAAGATTTTCCAATCAGAGGCAGGTGAGCGGTTCGCAGCTCTTTGTGCAAGTGTCCGCACCTTTTCGTGTTCCGCCGAAGAGAAGGCTCTTGGTCACTTCTTCTGTGTGTGCGTGTCCTGCTCCAATTGTTTGCCTGCCTGCCTGCCAGTGTCCCTTTCTCCACGCTCTGGCGCCTGATTTTGCACTGGCAAAAAATATTACCTAAATTTGTGTAACAAAAATTTTAATATTGTATTCCATTCACTAAAAATATAATTAAAAAACTAATTTTAATTCATTATTTAATAATATAAGTTCAGAAAAACTTACATTTATTTTATTATGAAATCACAGCTTAAAGTTTACTAAATTTGAATGAAAACGCAGAAGAGATAATCATTATTTAAAGACTTTCTTGTGACTTAAAATCTCCCGATAAATTTTTGTTATATTTGTTTTCTGTGAACTTTCTGCTACTGTCGCATTTCATTCGCGACAAAGTCCTAGCGCAATGTTTGCCAATTGCCCTGCCCTTGGTATTTCCAGGTCCTCCTACTACTTTTTCCTCCTGCACTTCCTGTCCCCGTCCCCATTGGTATGTTTGCCTTTGTAGTTTATTGGCAGGAAATGCAATTAATTAAGTTAACTTGAGCAGGAAACTTGAGCACGGACTCAAAACTTGACTCGACTGGCTGGTTGGCAAACTCTTTAAACTGTTTGAATTTAGTGGGCTGGGCCCCCATTCCTGCCCCATTCTGCCCCGGCCAAGCAGCCACTTTGGCCCTGCAGTTTTGATGGATGGCACCCGTGGGTGGCTGAAATCCTTTAACCAATTAAGCTGTGCATTGTGAATTAATGCATTGTGGCTCAGGTGCCGGGATGAGCTTTATCTATTAAGCTGGGATTACGTATGCGCCGGGTATAACCATCAACAACGCCATCTCTTATCCCCCTTCTCCATCTCTGTTTCTCCCCCATCCAGGTGCCCGATATCGTGCGCTCCATATCGGCAGAACGCATCTTCGCCCTGCGCCAGCAGACACAGGTCCTGTGGGAACGCTACTTCGGCTCCATCGAGAAAATCGTCTTCACAACATTCGAGGTGAGTCCTGAGTTTCCCCCGGGGAACATTTGCATATGTAGACGCCGCCTATTTGCGGCTGATAACTTGGGTGGGTAGCACAAACTTTGCGGCGTTTGCAAGGGTTTCAAAATAGCGACTCGAACTTAGTTCGCAAGTTGTTGCGGCTTTTGTTGGTTCGCTCAATCGACAAGAAACAAGTAACGAGAATGTTCTTTGCTCTACTTAGCGACCTGAAGTGGGGTTTCGGGCAGGGGATTCGGATTCCCAGGAACTTGGTCGAAGCAACTATGCAACAACTTGTTCTCGTGTCCTGGAGTTCGGCACAGTGCGTGCTGTAATTAGGTGTACCGAACTTTACTCTTTTTTTGGTATTTACAATGTGTGAATCAATTTCACAAAACTATATACTGTAGAAGAAAATCAGAACTATTGTTGTTTTAGAATTATCAACATAAATTCATTATCTGTTAACAATTTTTTTTTTAAACCAATAATATTGATGATCATCTTTTAAATTTTTTTAGGTTCAAGTGGTTATAATTTGTAGGAAGAGTTTTATATAATCAACTAAACTTCAATATAAGCTGCCATTCCTAAATGTTCCGAAAATGTTGAAAATTGTATCATGCAAAAGAGGCTTATAAAAGCTTTTCGATAACTTTCTGCACAGACTGTGTTTAACTTTTGATTGGAAAAATAAAACTACAGTCCAAGCCTCTTACGTGTATCTGCCAGATACTTTTGCTTTTAGGTAGCACAACTTCTCAGTCAACTATTGAAATTGAATTTGGGTTGCATTTTGACGAAACGCTCACTGAAAGTTTAGGGTTGGTTTGGTAAAATGAGAGGGCTGGCGATGTGGGAGTGCATAAATAAAACACACGCATTCCCCAGAAATTCTGGCACATGCAAACGAAAACCAACAAACAGCGAACAACAAAGTTATCTGCACACAAATGGCAAGCAGAAATTCGCGAATCTCCATAGAGTTAGAGGACCTGTGGAGAAATTGCGAAATGGCGAATGGGCGAGATCGGGAGACGCGAAAGGCAAACTAAACCGCCGCCACTGGAGACCACTTTTCAACACTCAAATTGACACACAGTCAGGGACGGAGAATCGTGCCGAGATGTAGACACATCCATTGAAAGGAGGATGCAAGGGCATTCAATTTTGTGTAATCATCTGGGGCAGAAGCGGGAAAATTAAGGGAACAGGGGTCTTGAAAGCTGAAGCTGCCAACTGAAACAGGAGACTCCCTGCTCGCATCGAGATTCGCGTTTTGCGGCGAAACTTTCGCATACTCTGTTACTGAGCGAAACAGTACTGCACTCAAAACTTGATTTTCGAATCCCTACTTTACATGCGTTATTTAAACTTTAAAGATTTTTGAGAATTTCAAACTAACATATTTAAAGAGGTTTTTAAAAGACTCAAAAATATATATATTTTTTAAGTCATGCAAATAATTAAACTTAACAAATTATTGAATTTTCTCAATGAAAATGTATATTTCTTTTGTTAAATTGCTAATATTATAGAGTTAAGCTCCCACAAGACGAACTTCCTTAACTCGAATCTTTGGAAGTCGAAAACTGGGAGAATAATGCTTATGATTATAAACTCGATTTACTTTGGTGGCATATTGCAGTATATATTAAACCATTGCTAAACCAATGCAAGTATGTCAAAATTTAAAAAATGTTTTGTTTTTTTTTTGAGTGTTTTCTCTCTGTGTACACACACCCTTGTAGAAAACCAAGCTACGTTAACCCATGACGACCGACAACATTGCATTGTCGACGGGACTGTCGCTCCGCTCGGTGACAAAAACCGCAGCCCAATGGAGCGGCAAGGAAAATGGGGAGTCGAGAGTTGTGCAGATTGCGGCTCCATTGCCACGATTCTCGGGTTGCTGCCCTCATAACCCCGCCGTCCAACCAACCGACCTCGTACATTTCCGTGCGTTTTAGCTAGTAATAATCAATTTGCAGTTACAGCAACCAAAATGTGTGTAACCAAATTAAACACAAATATTTTTCCTGTACCTTGTGAGCGCCTCGAAAGGACGAAAGGCGATGGCAGTTTGCCGAGGCAATTAACGACTTGGTCCACAATCGACCAGAGCATGGTCAACAATGGACATGCATGGGGAGTTTAGTTTGATTTATGTGACGGAAGTGAAAGGAGTCCCTTTCTCCGCCTCTCGCTCTTGGTCAACTAATTTGACCAGCTCTGTAATTATTATTATTGGCTGGTGTGTGGGGCAGATGCTGGTTCGTTTAACACTCAATCTTAATTGGGTTTTGATCGACCTGCAAACACACAATGGTCAAAACAATGGGGGTAGGACTTCAGGTTTAAGATTTATGACAAATTCCTCAATTAACAGAATGCAAATGCATTTAGTAAAAAACTTAATGTGTTTCAATATATTATATTTAAATCTAGTTAGATTATTTGACATACACATTGGCCTAACAAGAGAATAATAATTTTATAGCTTATCAATTACGTCTCATTGCACTTTTAGATATCAAAAGCGTTTTTCAAATCTCTTGAGTGCAATTATTGCATAGACATCTATGACTGTTTTGCCCATTCTCTACATCATTTTCCTATCACACTTAAAGCGCGCAACGAAGTATGCAACACGATTTTTTTGCGCAAGAATTTTCCTTTTGGCCTGCATTTTTGTGGCACACATTTGATTTATGAGTCGCGATTAAAAAGATGAATTGTGGCAGTTTCGACAGGGGAGGGAGGAAAAAGAGGCAGTCAGAGACATTGGACCACGCCCACCTGCTGAGGTGTGGCACGTGCATCACGTAATAGCTCTGCGCGCAATCCTTTCTGGTTTATTTGACCCACATTTTGCATATGGCCAAGAATGCACCTCCAGAAGGGTCAACATCATGCTTGTCCTCCCCTCTTTTTCCCTTTAAAACCTCTGCCCTTGCGGCTTTAATATGTGAAAGGGTTCCTGGTCTGGGCCAAATACTTGATGTGTGGATGCCGCAGGCAAAAACAATTCCAGAATATTTATAAACAGCATAAATTCCTGTTTTGCAGGGCTCTGTAGAAATTCCTTTATAATTTGTTTTTATTAATTTTCAACATTTTTTCCGCCCTGCCTCAAGCGAACAGGCCTGCAGACCTCTAACTAAGCAGGCCACTCACGTCTCACTTTTGGAGTGGAAAGTTCCTAATAATCCTTTAGTCCGGGACACGTATGAATATGAATGGGTCAGTTCAGTGTGTTGGATAGGGGTCTTTGGGGGAATCCTTTTCCCCTCGCTTACGCTTAAGACCCGTTCATGCAGCAAATTGGTTTAGGCATAAACAAGCCCAGAACGCTCTTAACCCGCCCACCAAAGCCAAAGGCTACGAAAAAGTGGCAAATAATTTCTGCTGCCTCAACTGGCCTTGTTGGAAAATCTCCTTAGTCTGGGCGTTGAACCGCATGTGACCAGGCGGTGTCAGTTTTTCCAAGAGTATCCTTTTGGCATCCTCCTCTGTCTCCACACTCTCTCTCTCTCCATCCCTGCTCCTGTAAAACTGGTCCATTAAAGTCAACAAACTAACAGCCAGCTGACGGTTTTAGGGGTTTTTGGGGTTTTAGGTTCGAGTTTGAGTTTGGGTTTGGGTTCAGGTTAGCCTTTGTTTACCCTCATCGCACGATGTTGCTTTTGTTGCCGTTATTGTTGCTGCTGTGCAAGCAAACAGCAAAGGTGAATTTTAGGAAGGCTTTCCAGAGGGCGGGTCGGGGGAAAAACAAATTAAGCAGTTATTTGGGTTGTTAGACGCTTCAGCCAAGTTTTCTCTTCCTTTCGCCACGCACAACACATCCTGTTTCTGTGATTTGGATGACAATACCCTTTATTTAAGAGTGAATAGCATAATTTTGGATTTTAAATAAGTCATAAAACATAAATTTTTTATCAGCTTGTTCAAATCGATTAAGCTTTATCGGAAACTTAAGAATATTGTTATGTTATTTTTAAAGATTTTATTTTTCTGATAAAGAAAAAAAAAATAATTGGCTAAAAAAATTTTTTCAAATATTAAAATGTCTTTCGTTGAATAGTAATTTTGATAAAATTGTACTATTACTCTGCCATTCCATCTTCAATAACAAAGTCCTTAAATGTCGACCCACAAGAACTAGAATATTCAACCATTTTTATTTTTTTTTTTAAGCACAAATCAATTCCATCGGCAATTTACCACTCATCGCAACCCTTGCCAGTTTCCCCAATTATTTCAATTAATAAATCAAAAATTGAACCCGGAGTAAGACCGCAACCAAACTTTTGCCACATCCTTCGAAAGGAAACTAAGTGCGTAGGCCGCAGAGTGTGTCTGTATGTGAATGAGTGGAACTCGTATGCGGCTTATCCAAAGATTTGCATAATTTTATTGTGTGTTGAACTTTCGACTAACCATCCGGTAGCAGCCCAATCTGTGTGGGCCAGGCCGAAAACCGAATGGCCACAGGATCCCCACAAAAAGGTCACTCAAAGTCCACTTACCAAACTTAGTGCCGGCCCAGAGTTGGTCTAAAATCTTGGCCTAAGCCCCAAAAGTCTTTTGCTGTGTGCTCGAGTGTGTGTGTGCTTTGGGGCGAATGGATGTGACCGATAAGCGTGTGCCATGCACTTAAGTTGCACGGGGAGGCGAGAAGCGGAAGTAAGGAAAAGTTTGAAAATGGTCGCAAAAATTCACAGAACAACAAAATAAACCACAATAAGCCACAAGTTTGGGCTGGGCTCGAAATGTTCTGCATATGAGTGTGCACAGAGGGAAAAGAAAGAAATAATAACTTAATTGAAAAAGCTTTGTTGAACAATTCACAAAATTAAGATTTTCAGATTTTTCAAAAAATTTTACCATTATTAAAAGTAAAATCAAATTAAGTTTTTCTATTAAGTTCTGCGACTTGGCTTTTAAATGATTTAAACCAAATTGGTTAATGACTAATATATCATAGTATTTTAATGATAACACGAAACACAAATTGTCTTTTTTCCGTGTAATGTAAAGTATGCCCATTTTGTTTATGATATTTTATTTATTTCTTGGGCATTTAAGGTTTTGGATTTGATGCAGCAAATTGTGTTGCATACGCGCAGGCAGCTGTTGGAAAAAAAAAACTTTCCTTTCACCTGGCTGTCTTTTCTTTGTTTGACGAGATTTGCATTTCAAAGCTCCGGCCACGCCCACTCACCTGGCCGAAGAAAACAGCAACAACCCTGCTCCTGCGAGCAGCAGGCATCTAGGTAGCATCAGCAGCTCAAAGTAGAGAAGGAAAAACAACTTATTACTTTGACTAATCCTATTATGCGCATGCAAACGTGCGCCAAGGAGGAAAAAACTTTTCCCAGGCAAACTACTTTGAAGTCAACTGTCTGCCCGCCTACGCTTCTCTGTCTCCTCGCCGTCGCTTTCTCCTTTCTCCGCCGCCTTTCTCCCGCATTTATTCCATTGAATCGTGCACTCACTCAAGCGCCACTAAGTTGCCTTAGTGGCTGCTCATGCACTGCGAGAAATAGCTGAGCAATAGATAACCCTATTTGGCTTTGGCGACGGCAAGTGAAAGGATCTTCTTCCTGCTGATGTTAATTCCTGTGGAGTTAGTCTCGAGATGCAGAAAGCACAGTGGAATGAATGAGGATTGCAGTCCTTAAAAAACATTCTTCAAAAAGAAAGTATCCGAGCTTTGTAATTCAACTCATCAGAAAATATTTCTATTTGTAAAACATTTGCCTTAATATAGAAAAAAAATATATTTTAAATGACAAAGTAACTTTGATGTATTTTTTACGACACAAATATTGTATTTTAACAAATAACACATTTTTTGAGCACAATACTAATATTTATTACGGTTCTTAAAAGATTTACAATCTTAACTTTCTATTAAAAAGCCGAGTCATTTATTAGTTTAGATGCAAATGCCTTCGGCTGTATATTTGCTGCATTGAAAACTTTAGCTTCAGTTTGTCCGACCTTCCTGGTGATCCAACCTAATTTATTTTCAAGTTGTAAAGTTGCGAAACTTTTTCGTTGACCTCGTTCGGTTTTAGCCCATAGTTCTGCTCCCAGCTGCACCTGTCCCCCGACTTGTTGTAGTTAATTTCCTCCACTTACCTGTCCATTATGGCCTGGTCTCGGACCAGAGATAGTGCAAAATGCCGCGACAGCAACTCAAGAAGTTTTCCACGCGCAAATCCCCCTTTGGTTTAAGCTGATTTGGCTTCCCATGGCCAACAGAACCAACACAACCAACAACACAACCAACAAAACCGAGCTGTGAAAACTTGCTCATTAATTGATTTTCATGCCACTTACTTGCAAGTTTCAACATATATATTTGTGTTCTTTTTTTTATTTTTACCAAAATGCATGTTCTCATCATAAATTACAGAAAGTTTAGAGTGAAAAAATCTTACTTAAGCATAGGAGACGCATAGAGTCGAAGACATGAACTAAGGGCACTTAAACATTTAACATTAAGAGTTGAACAAAGGTTGTTTGTTGTACATAATTCACATGTTGATTGATATGTGATAGGCATCTCTATATCAGATCCGTGTGTGATTTGTGAATGTGCAGCTCGGAGTCTGTGAGTCTCTGCGGTGAGTTGGGTGCTGGCTGGCTGGCTGACTTGGCTGGCTTGGCTGGGCTGCTTGTCTTGAAGAGGGGCTTCAATCCACTTCAATCAAATCAAATCCAATCCAACGCGATTCGAATTTAGAAGAGCAGGGAGAAGAGACTCCTCACGCCAGTGGAGCCAGCTCCGGAACCGAGGGTAAAGCCCGTGCTGGGCGTTCCGCTGCTGCGGTGCCGCGAGGTGTGGCTGGAAACGTTAGCACGGACACGGTCGTAGCTGGCAACATCCTAAGAACAGAAGACATTTGTAAATTAAAAGCCCGATTGGGTCAGAGGGGGGGCATAGCGTACTGGTCGAGCACAAACTCGAGGTGTCTGCAGGGGCGGCAGATGTCGCAAGTGCCGCACGTGTTGTATATGGACAAGATTCTCACCTCTTTGTCGGCATTGGCCAGCACCGAGCGCATCGAGTTGGCCACCGGCCACTTCTTCTTCATAACCAGGTTGTTGGGGGGATCGTGGGCGGCTCCGGCATCCACCGACCAAATGGTGACACTGGCACCTCCCAGCACCTTGGAGCCGCGCGAGAACTTGAAGGCCAACTCCTCGTCGCCGGCAATGCGGGTTAGCTGCCAGCCGGTCAGGTTGATTTCCTCGGTGCCCTTGTTGTGCAGCTTGATGAAGCGTCCTTCCACGTCCGCCTCGATGATCTCCAGGTCGCCCTTGGCGGCGGCATTCACCGAATACTCCGACAGAGTGCGGTCCTCGCTCTCATCGATCACCGTGCGGCGTCGCTTCACGGCACTGGATCCCGAGATTCCGGGCGTGGCCGAGCGACGACCACTGGGCGTGACCCTACCGGACCGAGAACTGGCACTGGCGCTCAAGTGGGTGCCATTGCTGGAGACCCCAGAGTCGGCAGTGGGACGTCCGGGCGACTCGATGTTCAGGCGACGCTCCTCACCGCACAGCAACTTGTCGTAGGCGGCGATCTCGAGGTCCAGCGACACCTTGATGTCCATCAGATCCTGGTACTCCTGCAACTGGTGGGCCATCTCGTCGCGCATGCGTTGCAGCTCGGCCTCCAAGGAGGCAATGTACTGGTTGTGACGCTGGCGTTCGGTGTCCAAAAGGTTCTCCAGCTCCCGAATGCGAGACTAACCAAATGGGGGGGAAATAGAAATAAAATTATTAAGGTGATTTCGAACTATTTTTCCAATGCTCACATTCAATCCAGCATTGGTGTTTTCCAGATCCTGCAGCTTGGCGTTCAGACCATCGATCTTGGTGCGCATGAGACGCACTTCCTCGGTGGCATGAGCAGATCCCTGAGCGGCCCTGTTGGCAGCAGCCTTCAGGTTCTGGATCTCATTGTCGTACAGCAGTTCGATCTCCTCGCGATTGGCGCGCATTTGACCCTCGTACTGATCGCGCAGTTCCTGGAGCGACTGCTGCAACTTTGCCTCATACTGGCGAGAAAGTCGGCCATCGATCTCACTGATCTCGATCTGGCGACGGGAGCGGGTCTCTGTGAGCTCCTGGGTGTGAACCTGATCCTTGAAGGCCAGCTCCTCGCGCAGGCTCTGGTTCTGGTTCTCCAAGTCCACGCGGGCCAAGGTCTCCGCCTCCAGCTGCTTGCGAAGATCATCCAGTTGGCGACGCAAGCGGTCGTTCTCCAAGGCCAGTTCCTTGGACTGATCCTCGAACTTCTTGCGATCGGCCAGAGCCTGGTTGTACTTGCCGTTGACCTCATTGTAGCGAGATTCATACAGGCGGGCATTGTTTTCGGCCACTGTTGCCTCCTTTGTCTTCTTTTCGAGTCTGAAAATTAAATTTATAAAATTTAATAATGCAGAATTTGAATTACAATAACAAGTTAAGCACAAGAGATTCTTATTTTATAAAAACGCCTATTTTATTTGTACAAATTTAAAATAACTCATCACTATGACGCTAAAATTCCCAATTGGTTTTAACACTGCACTTTTATATAGATATATTAAATATATTAATTTTTTGACTCAGTGTAATGCCTTTTATCCACATGTGCTTGATAAATGACGTCACTTTTCTAGATAATTTGAACTGAGTCACATTTCGCCTCATATATTTTTCCGAAAGCTAAACTGCCGCTCTTTGTATCTCGCAAATGTATTATTCATTTTATTTATTTAAATTCGTATCGCCGCTTGGAAACTCGTTCAACGATCCTCCATAGGAGAATCAAATATTTAAACATTTCGAGGTTTTGGTTTGCCTTGAGAGAAGTCGTCACATGCCATTAGCATAAAGTAGCCCGGCTATTTCTGAACACTTCCCCTCTGCCCCCTTCCCTGTGATTTATGGCCACCTAACAGTTCAAAGCGTTTTTTTTTCTATTTGGAATTCTATTTAGCTGAAAACAAACTCGTTATAAAAAAATAGCTATGAAAATTCCGTAAATAATAATTTTCTCAAAACAATTTGGATTGTCAATCGGCGCCTCGCGTGGTGGGCACGTTTTAAATAGTTCTCTATATTGAGTAACAACAAAAAAGGTCATGATTGGCGTAATTGACTTTGCATGCTTTGACTTTGAATTACAAAAAAAAAAAATTTTAATTATGGATATAGTTTCCCGCCTTTAACGTTAAATGATTTTACCTTTTTTGAAAGCTAATTTTTATAGAAACTGAAACACACATTCTGTTTTAGCGGTTTTCTTTCCGTTTTAGCTGTTCCGCCGAGTGAATGTAAACAGTTCTCGTAGCTAATCAAGGAAAGTTGTGTAAAAATGGGGGAATAAAAACCGAAAACGAAATAGATTCAAGGTTGTTTTTTGTTTGTGTTCTAGTTTTTCCCTTTTCTCCATCTTTTTACGTTTTGCTTTTTGGTGTGCGTGCTGAAGTCCCATTTCTTTTTCCCCAATTCCTTCCGCTGACCTAATTTAATTGAATGTATTTTGTATTGTCAACTTAAAGGCTTTTCGAAAACCATTTTGTACAAAATATCCTCAGGGCGAACTTAATGGGATATGTTTGCTTAATTTTAAAAAGATATTCATATTTATTTCATCTGTTTTCAATCACCTAGCTAACTGACTGCAGTATTTTGTATATTTTATCTAAGCCATTTTGCTTTTGTTGTTAATAATACGAATTCCATCTATCTGGCGCAATCTTATCGTACCTATTCATATAGCTTCTTTTGTTGTTGTTTTGTTCCATTTCTTAACTCTTTATACACACCTTAAAAAGCTGAAAATTCAAGTTTGCCCAACATCTAGGCATCTACCTTTTAACCAAACTCTTAACTTCGTTAACACGTTGCAAAATACAAACAACAATCTGTGGCTATTATGAATTAAAAAAGCTTTAGGCCGCAACGCGCAATAAATACCAAAAATAAATATTGCCTGATAACGCAAACGACGCGAAACGGAAATCTCGAAAATGGAAAAACTAAGCACCCAACATTTGTTGACATCACACAAGAAACTAGTATTACAAATGTATCTGTAACTGCGTGCTATGACATCATTGTCTTGTAACCTTCATTGAGATTTAAGGCGCTATTTTTGTTATTGTTTTTTTTTTTTTTTTTGGTTACTCATTAACTGAGAACCTTAACATTTGCATACAAATGTCTAGAGAATTCTGGAAGTGTAAATGCAAAAAATAAACAAGAGCGATAAAAATATGAAGAGAGAGTTCCCATGTGCGTGGCTTTCGAAATGTGCTTTTGGCATGACATCACCGGCCTCGCTCGCTCTCAGTCTCTCACATTCAGTATCTTTCTCTGTCTCTCTCTACATATAAAGAAAATAATCCTAAGTTCGATTACACTTGAGGCAAAAAAAAATCGAATTAAAAAATGTTTTTATGTTAAGAAACCATTAAAAAATGTTTTTATATTAAAGAAAACATTTTTTTTATCTGCTATGTATATATTTTTTTGTATCTGAAAGAAGTTTGTAGTCTTAGTTGCCTATAGAAAAATTCGAACTTTACCAATAAAGCTTCTTCCAACTTCTTTACCTTACATTTCTATATAAAAGTTGTTTTGTTGCAAATAAATCAGAAAATTTCCCCTATGAACAAATACCAAATATTGTACTAAAAGTCTGTCTAGTTTTAGCTTTTTATAGATAGTTAAACTGTTCTTTTTGAAAAAAAAAAAAAAAACAAATAAGCTTTAAATTATTGTCTGACTTTCTGAACTATTTAAGCAGTTGTGACTGTACTTGTTTTTGTTTTCGTTTTTTCTCCCTGTGTTTCGATTCAGTGACGAGCTTCGGCATATGACATCACTGGCTGATAATACTCGGTTCTGTTACCAATCCGAACCCACCCGTCTTAGAACTTTACCTCGGCTTCAGGTCGTCGTTCTCCTCCCACAGACGCTTGATATCGATCTCCAGCTTGGCCTTCTCCTTGGCCGTCTCATCGAGCAGCTTTCGGGCGGCGGCCAGTTCCTTTTCATAGACCGCCTTCAGGTTGGAGGTCTCCCGGTTGACGGTGTCCTGGGCGAGATTCAGCTCCTGGGTGAGCCGGTTGTTCTCGTTCTCCAGATTGCGCATGCGATCGATGTAGCAGGCGAGACGATCGTTCAGGTGCTGCAGCTCCTCCTTCTCCTGGATGCGGGTGGTGCGGGTGGGTGAGGTGGGCGAGGTGGCGCCCAGCCTTGAGGAGGTCGATGCCCCACCCACCGGCGTGGAGGTGGAGCCGCGCGAAACGCGTGTGTTCAATGTGACGCGGCGTGCTGACATATTTGCAGTTTTTGTGTTTGTTTGGTTTTGGTAGGTGTTTTGCGAGGTGCGAGTGCTACTTCTTTAAGTACGTAATCCTCTCTAATCTCTTTTTTAATAGACGTTTCCAAACGTTTGGAGCTTGTTGTTTCCTTGTGCGACCGCTTGGCTTGACTGCTGAAAATTGACTGAAACTTTGCCTCGAACCGAACGGCCATCATCGACAAAATTAGTTGTCGTCGGCGGCAGCGGCAGCGGCGGTCATAAAAAATACAACACGAATGTGGCGCTGCTCTCTCTATTTTTTTCGCTCTCACCTTTTGGCTTTATTATTATTGTTGTTTCGCCTTCCACCACATTCGCCTTCCCTTCGTATTCGTAAGCGTTTGCTGGGCTTTCCTATATACAGCTGTTTGTGTTTCTGGAGCTCTAAATAGAAATCGCCTCAAACGCACCCAGCTAATACTTGTTTGCAAGTTTCAAAAACTCTTTGCACAGCACAACTTCCTTAACTTGGCCTTTCAAAAATGATTTTATTTTAATAGCTAAAAGCTGAGAAATAATTTTTAAAAGTTCAAAATTAGGAAAAATAACTTGCGAACGGTATCAATATCAAATGAAAAAACTGCAATTATAAAACAAACTTAAAATTCGAATTGTTTTCGGTGACTAACGTCCAATAGTTCTATGCCTACTAAGATTTCAAGGAACTGAATTGACCCCAAAAAGTTTGACAAATCTTTTGAACAATCACACTGCTTAAAGTAAAACCCTTTTATTGTATACAGAATATGTTGTTCTAGTTCAAGAAGTTCCACTGTAGCCCTATGTGGAATCCCAGCGATGCATTCCAAATCATTAATGAAGTTTTCTTTGGGTTGTCCAAGGTTAATGAACGGCATTTACTATAAAATTAGAGATTGGATTAGAAAAGGAAATGAAGTACATCTGAACACAAGAAATTAAGAATGCGTATTGTCTATAGCCAAAAAGAAACAAACAATGTTCTATTTATTATTTATTGATTCAAAGTCTTGAGATATTTCAATATATTAATATATATCTAAAGATACAATGCCTGACCTTAAAAAAATAGCATTAAATGATTTATTTAAAACGTTTCCCTGAAAAATGTGTGAAAAGTGAAAAATCATTATTTTTCTTGACTAAAGAAGAAGCTCTTTTTGTTTAACACTTTTCTGTCAGCAATAATTCGCTTTCCTGCTTGCTGGCCAAACATTTTCATTATGATTTGTTAGACTTTGGCCAGCCGCATAAATTAATGGCCCTTAATAGTGATTGCGATACATGAAAATCGACCACAATGGACGCCCACATCATCAATTCCGTTCCATTTGGCCCACAGCTCGTATGCACAATGTGTCACTCGAGTTTATCGATCAGCGGAGGGTCAATTATGGCCCAGCGGCCTGTCCAAAATTATGAAATACGGCTGGAAGCTCTGGGAGCAGTGGGTGGTGGGTATTGGAAAATGACTTGGCGCAATGTCAACTTGTCATAAGTTAAATATTTATTGACATTGACTGCTCTGGAGCGCTTTATTGGAACCCACAGTCATAATAATAAATAATCAGTTAAAAAGTGCAAGACTGCGAGAGCGTTTCTCTTTTGCTATGCCTTTTATCAAGCTTTTATTCGCAAATGCAAATAGCCGGCAAACAATTTTTTTATTTTTTCCCTGAGAATGAGAGAACAGAATTTACTCACACGCTGAGTGAAAATATGTGAACTTGTCATGCAATATTCACGACGCCCGTGACGTCATCGCCCCGGTCTCAGACAAGCGAAAACAAAAGCTAAGTAACAAAATAAAAGACGGAGAATAAATCGAGTATATGTATCACACTGACCTCCAAAACGTAGCCGCTTCTCTGTGACGTCACCAAATTATTTTTAATCATGAACGAGCATTTAAATTATTTTTTGTTTCCCCCAGCTCCCTGCTTCTCTCTTTCAAAATTATAATTATACTTATGATCCGTTTGTAAGCTTTGCGCGCTACCTAATTAGAATTAATTAATGTGCCCAATTGTGTGGACGAAAATGAGCGTTAAAGCCTAACCAGATGTTAAATGACGTTGTTATTTCCCTTACTTGGACTTTGTTTGTTTTGACTCGTATTCTGTTTTTTTGCTTTCGTAAGTATTCGAGCAGAGTTTTTTTGCCGCTTGATGAATGACTTGGGATTAAGATTACAAATTGATAAGAATTATTCCAATGCCCTTTGAGAAATTCGCTTAATGGTATGGTTGCTTATGAAAAATTATAGCTTGCATTAAATACAATATCTGAGGCTGGTTATTCCTTATTACATTTGCAGAAGCATAATTTTCTAGAGAACTGAAAGGTAGTAATTAAATTTCCTAAATAGCCCTCATTATTTACATTACATCTTAGAGCAGTTTTAAAAATTGTATTTTCTTTGAGTAAAAATTGCATATCTAACGAAAAGTCTTGTAAGATTTTCTTTAAGAAACAACTTCGTTGCCAATAGCACTTGACAGTTCTTTTATCATATCTTCAGGCTAACAAAGATTCAGGTCCTCCCCTCGAACACAATAAGTATCGATTAACCTCAAATAAAGAATGACAAGTAAACAAGCAAGTACCACCGCAGGGCACTTAATTTGAGCAAACTTTCCGAACAAATATTTATTTTGTTTTTATTTGCTTTTTGTTACATTTGTCTGCCTATATTGCCCTGCTGCGCCTATCGTTGAATAAAACATACAGATACTATATAAACCGAAATCAAACAAAATTAAAGTTAGCTTCTCTTTTTGGCCGCCGTCAAAACTTGTTTGTCTTTGCTGTATTATTTTTTTTTTTTTTTTGCGTTTTTCGTTTTGCTTGTTTTTCAAATTTGTCAAAGCAGCTTCATAACTTCAGCTGTCCGCTTGTTGTTGTTGCTTATTTTGCGTTGTAGCAACAGCTCCGAAGTTTGCCAACAATAATGACATCATCGTCAGCTTAAAGTTTGAAGTCATGGCAAATGACGTTATAAGATGAATGAACGCCAAGAGCCAAAATACTGGCGATTAAGCTAAAGAGGTGCTGAAAAAATCATTGAATATTTAAGAGTAATTGGAAGAACTTTCTACAGTTCACATTTTAAGACTATTAAATTAATTGTTTTAAGGATAATGTGTATACTAAAGAATTAAACTTTTAAAGAGCGCCATGATATAATTTATAAAATTCCAAAAAAGCTTTCAATGCTTAAATACAAAAAATACAAATTTGAATTTCAAAACATTCATTTCACAAAACTATTTAAAAATCCGTTAATTTGTTATCATTTTCACTGCACATTCTAAAAATGGTGACTTTCAAAGAATTGTACACCCGATACATTTACACATCATCAAATAGCCCCATAGAATCCCAAACCAAAACCCCTTTCACCCCTGAAGTCGCACTTAATTAACATTGGTCAACAAGTTTAGATCGATACATTTTTGTGCAAAAACACGTCCGACCGGCGTATATAAAACAACGCAAAAACCAAAAAAAAAAGTAATATAAAATGAATTTAGTTTGAAATTGGTTTAGCGATTTGTTGGTGTTTTTGTTTAATTGTCATAAGCCAAAAACCGCACCGGGTAAAATTGTTTTGCGTTTTGATGTACGTGCTTGAGTTTTTAAATATTTTTACTGGTTGGATGCAGTATTTTATTATTTTTGGTTATTCATATAATTCAAAATTGTATTTTTTTATAATTGAGTAAAGATTCGTTGTTATTTATGGAAATTAAGAGCGAAGTCGCATACGCCATGTTGTCAGGCCTAAACTTTTCGCACTCTGCTTTCAGGAAAGATTTTTTTATTTTGGCTTGCAGTTCTTATATTCTTTTGCCGGTTCGACGTTTGTTAATTTTTAAGCAAAGAAAGTTTATAAGGAAAAGTTGCTTGCAAGCATTTACATACATTTTTTTACTTCCTTGCCATTTTTATCTATGTCTTCACGACTCTTTTAGCTACTTGCATAAGTTAATTTAGTGTTTGTCTTCGGCGGAGTTCGTCTTGTTCTCTATATTTTGTACTTTCTTTTTTCCCCTTTTTTGATGTTGAGTGTTTTGGGTGTCACTGAGCGCATCTTTTTGCCTGGCCAAGGAAGGAGTACATTTTATGTATGCAGCTGCCTTTGCACAGCTTGGAACTTTTAACCCGCTTTCCACGCCCACTGTCTGACTCGCCCACACACACACAACTGCAGGAAGTTGCTGGCCCCCCGAAGTATGCCAAGAAAAATAGTATGCTGAAAGAGAAACCGACATTTTCTTATTACGCAGATGAACAGGAAGCGAAAACTTTAGCAATGGAATCACAACCAGAAGTCTATTAGTAAAAAGATATACTTAAAAGCAGGCTGCAAAAATGTGTGTTTACAAAAAATGCATGGAATTTACAAAACTTATTACAGATTAAAACAGTATGTTGTGTTGTAAAGCTTTGCCATATATCTGTATGCCTGTAAGCTGTAATCCCATTTGGCAACAAAGGTCTTAGGCAATTAAATACCACACGGGAAAACATTCCTTTTGGCCAGACCTCCGAAAATTGTCTTAGATTAATCCTATTACGTAACAAACTTATTTAAGCTACAATTAAAATTCCCTTCAAATTTGGATACCATGAAAAACCTGATCGACAAAATGTAAAGAGGCAAACAAAAAATTGTTTGAGTTGCCTAGGCCAAAGGAAATTCTTGCAATTAATTTAAGCAAATTTCGGCAGACATGCATGCTGAAAATACTGCATATATTTAATATGGGTAAATGCACCGAGTCAGCTTTTAATGGAATTCCAGCCAAGCCAAGAGAAATTTATTCGGTTTGTGGTTGACGGCAGCAGGCAAACATTTTAAATTTCGTCTTTAAGCCAAATGTTTGGAGGCCAGCAAAAATGCATTCACCTGTTTTATTTCCTTACATTATCCACTCTATTGAGTCCTGGGCCTCCAGCTACCTGCAGTTACCTCAGCCGGCAACTTAATCATCGCAAACGCACACATCTATGCTGATGCGAAACGGAAATGAAGTTCTGGTTGGCTTCCCCTTCCGACCGCCTCACTTATGCTCCCTAAGTGGTGCCAACAGCGATTGTTGCTGCTGCTTTTCGGTCCTTCTGCTGCGATAAGTCGCCTTGCTGGCTGACATCCAAATGTTGCCTGGCAGCCACGAATGATAGAAAAGAAAAACCAGCAGCTGAACAAGAGAACCTCTGACATGTGTAGCCAAGCAAATAGGATTACAGTGCGACTTCCTTAACGCACAAGTTATGCAAACGCTGAAATGGCAGTTTTAAATATTTGTTTAATAGTTTTGGAAGCTACCAATGTCTTAATTTTAATTGTCAACAAAATAGACCATTAGTTCTTAGGATCTTTACAGAGGTAATCGGTATTTAAATCAAATAAATCATTAGTTTTTAAGTTCTTTGCAGAGGAAATAGGTTTTTTAAATATTGAAACCAAAAATGCTTTGTTATTTTGAATAAAAAGAAAACAAAATAATACGGCGGTGTAGAAACAAAATACGTTTATACTTATTTTATTTTATTCGAAAGTTTTTTTTTTTTAATTTAACTGTGAATTTATATTATTTTACTTAATGCTACAGAAAAGAACCCATAATCAAGTTTTACTGTTGTTTTGTGGTACTGGTAGCAACTTAAAAATTCTGGCTGTGCAACATGGATCTAAGCCAATTAAATGCACTTTGTTGGCCAATTAAAATGTGGGCGAAGGGGCATTGAGCCGTCCGTCTGGGCCAGGCCTAAACATATATGCCAGTGTGCATTGCGCATTGTGCATAATTGAATCGCAGGCGTGGGCGAGGCCAGGCCATCTCTGTCTGTCTATCGGCCCCTGTTAGCTGCCTCTCGCTCTCAATTATGCTGGCAGCGTCAACAGCATGAGATTGACTTAATTATGTCGCAGGACCAACAAAAACCCATGGCACACACTCGCAGATACTCACGCACACAGGGGGCCCAAAGAAAGGATAAACAAACACGCTTCCCGCGTTAGTTCAGCGTTGATTATGCAAAAAGGGAGAAAGTGGGAAAGGGGGAAAGCGTTGAAGAAGGAATTATAATTACAAAATATAAAGCAGGCACTTGAGACACGTTGGGAGCGCAGACAAGGAGCCAAGGATAGGCAGGTCCTGCAGAATGCAGCCAAATCCTAGTTTGGTTAGTTTCCTCCTGCTCCTACTCCTGCTCCTACCCCTGCAGTTTGGTGCTTAACGAGCGGGGCGAAGCACCATGATGGATGTAAACAAAACGATGTCAAAAAAAATAAAATCCGAAATCCGCCAACGAAGTTAGGTTGCCCTGGCTTTAAACAAAGCTTATGAATATTGATAGTTGCACAGTGAGGAAAAGCTTAGGGAGTTTTATACTCTTGAATAATGGCCCCTGACATATTCTTGCACGTAAAACTTTTAAAAAGCTGACTTTTTTTAAGTTTAAAATCTCACTATATATAGTTTTTGAAATCCAATAAATAGCTTATAATCGAATTGTAAAATATAATATGTATTAAATGTTTAGTACATATATATTGACTACTTGACAGACTATTTAAAACCTTTTGAATATGTTTTTGAGGATATATGTGTAACAGAAGCACAACTTATTGGCAGTTAACAAATATATTAGTTTTCCAAGATTTAGGGCAAGCCAACTTCGCTCCCAAACGAATTACCGACTGTCGATGTGTCAACCGTAATTGCATCTAATTGTATGTAGGTACCGCTCCCCAAACGTCTCATTATGTCTTTTGGCCTGAATAGTAGTGGAACGGATTCCGCCGGGAGATGATCGTCCCTGCATTCAAATGCTACTACTAACCACACGCACAAAAGCGGAGCGTGCCAGACAGAAATAACACGAATGAACTGAGCGTAGGTGGTGGCGGTGGCTAAGGGGTGGTAAACGGGTGCTAAATGGGTGGCACTTGCATAATGCTCCGTCTTCTGTTTTCTGTTTTCTGTCAGGTGCACGTGGCTGCACCTGTACTTGCATAACTCAACTCGAACGCCGCCCACTTGCCGCCCACTTGCCGCCCACTTGCCGCCCCCTTAACTGAGCTCTTAGTTTGGGGTCAGGCTGTGCAATTATAATTGCATTCAACCCGAACTCAAACGCAAACTCGGAGCCAAAACAGTGCCAAATGGAAAATGGAAAATGCTGAAAGTGGGAAACTGGAAATTAGAGGAGGACCTGGCAATATAGCTGCGGTCGGGATGTCTAACTAATTTGGCATGGCATACTTTAAGGCGCGCTCACACTTTGAGCGACAAATTAACGCCGCGTTAATGGCACGCAAGCTTCACCACCTCCCCCATCTCTATGCCTTTGTCTAACACTTAGTGGGCGAGAGCGGGACAGAGGGGCACTTCCGGCCATAGAGGTTGCAGTGCGACTTCCGCCGCGCAGCGGAAACTGCGGCAAAGCCCCTCGCAATGCATGTATGCATGGATTTAGCCACAGCAAAGCCCGGATAAATAGTTTTCGCCATAGAGCTGAGTATATATTGAATATTCATATGTTTGTACACTTAAAAAATCTACTGCTCTGAAAGTAAGTCCATTATAGATTTAAAGCATGGGTTAAATAGGAAGGGACACTCTTACCATTTAACGAATATTTTAGACAGACCTAAAAACTAAAGCGGTTGGAAAAGTATATAGTATATACATATTATACATATGTCATGTGAAAATCTGATATCCCAAAAGTCAGCTATACACTTGCATTAGAGTACTTTTGTTTTAATTTATATGCACTATTCGTCGTATATTTCAAGAATATTAACTTTAAGCCCGTAAACACAAAATGCAATAACTTCTTGAGTTTACCAGATGTTTGCAACTGTTTTTTGTCAGTAGTTGTATATCTGAATATGGTTAAAGTGGTTGTGGCCAGAGGGCACCATCTGCGTCAAGCGGAAAATTAGGCAACAACTCAGGCCCATTGAATTATCACACTCAGCGGAGGACAAACCGAATAGATGGGAGGAGATGGGGGATGGAGGAAACGACGGGGGCTATTCAAAGCGCAATTTGGGCCGCTCCCTGAAATGCACTCGAAACTGAGCTCAGCAAATGTTCTGCTCCTCGCTGCCCTCCTCATTAGGCAATCAATTGGCAATCAGCACTTGAGCGTATCGACAAACCATTAAACAAGCGTTAAACCCAGGCACTTGCCACCCATCCGTATCTTGCAGATCATACGCGAACGACTGCCGGATTATCCGGTGCGGAGCAGTCTGGTGTGGAACAGCTCGCCGGGCGCCCTCCTCACGCTGCCCACCTTCGCCGACAGTTCAAGGTTGGTCCTCCCCCTCATATATAATGTTATACCTACAACCTTGTTGCTCAATCGATTACGACCGCCCGCAGGTACATGCCATTTCTGTTGAACTCGATGGGTGCGGAGCCGCGTCACAACTACACGGCGGTTATTTACGTGCAGATTGGCGCCGCCCTGGGTCCGAATGCAGCGCTCTACAAGCTAGTCAGGACCATCACAAAGAGCCAGTTCGTGGAGCGGGTGAGTTCACTTAGTCATGTTAGCCATTCGTTCCCTTTAATAACTTACATTTTTTTGTTTGTAGATCCTCGTCCTTTGGGCAGCCGATCGACCGCTGCCCTTGAAGAAACGCTGGCCCCCCACCAACCACATACCCTTGCACGTGATTTCCTTGGGGGGCAGCCAGAAGCCGAGAAGCCATGAAGCTGGACCCACAAGCCAGACGACTGAGGGACGACCGAGCATATCACAACGATTCCTGCCCTACGAAGAGATTCAAACGGACGCTGTGCTGTCGCTGGATGAAGATGCCATACTCAACACGGATGAGCTGGACTTTGCCTACACGGTGTGGAGGGATTTTCCCGAACGCATTGTTGGCTATCCGGCCAGGGCCCACTTTTGGGATGATTCCAAGGTGGCAATAGCTTAGCGGGTTAACTTCGCAGGCCTTACATTACAGCTGGTTTGTCTTTGCAGAATGCCTGGGGCTATACGTCCAAGTGGACGAACTACTATTCGATTGTGCTAACGGGGGCGGCCTTCTACCACCGCTACTACAACTACTTGTACACCAACTGGCTGTCGTTGCTGCTACTTAAGACTGTACAGCAGTCCTCCAACTGCGAGGACATCCTAATGAACCTGCTGGTCTCGCACGTGACCAGGAAGCCGCCGATCAAGGTGACGCAGCGCAAGGGCTACAAGGATCGGGAGACGGGACGCTCGCCCTGGAACGATCCCGATCACTTTATCCAGCGCCAGAGCTGCTTGAACACCTTCGCGGCGGTCTTTGGGTGAGTTTGTTTATGAGGGAAAAACAAAAAGAAATACAAAATGAATCAATAGTACGTTTTGATTGAAGTGGCATCTAAGTACGCTGAAGTAGTGTTACTACTTTGCTTTCCAGTTACGAAATACAATAACTCAGAGTGCAAACGTTGCATTCAAGTGTTTTAATTAAATTACTCAACTAAAAGTAAAAAAAATAAAAAAATTCATAGCTTTTTGAAATCACTTATAATGATATATTATATATTATGATATATTATATTAATATAAAAGTATGCCATAAACAATATACAAAACATTTTAAGTTCTCATTTACGAAATCATTAAGAATAACGAAGTTCCCATGTTTGTTGCATAATTTAAGACAAATAAATTATGTATTAACAATAGTTTGATAACTATCAACATTCTTTAACATTAATGCTTAACCAAATCCACTGACAAGTAAGAAAAAATTAAATTGCCTGTTTGTATTATAAATTAGTTCCAACAGATATCATTTTATGTTTAGTTGTTTAAATAATACCTTTATTGTCTTTATCTTTTCAGCTATATGCCGCTGATACGTTCCAATTTGCGCATGGATCCCATGCTGTATCGTGATCCAGTTTCCAATTTGCGCAAGAAATATCGCCAGATCGAGTTGGTCGGCAGCTAGCGATATGTGCAACCTGGCAATAGCTACAAGCGTTAAGAGTACTGAATACATTTACACCACACATCCACAGCAATACCAATACCAATACCAATACTAATACCAATACGAACACACACACACCCACAAACAGCCACACATAAGTTTAGATGAAATGCGGTTTTTTCGACGCTGGCCAAGCGATGCAAGAACTATGTTAATTATTATTAGTAGCGAAAGGAAGGAACTTAGTTAGGAGCCAACGGGCGTTTGTAAATGTATGTATGTGTACATCGATGTAAGCATCCGGCATCCTTTGCAATTATATATGCAGTGTGTATATATAGACTCTAAATACGATTATGTGAATTAGCCTAGTTAACTGCAAGCGAAGCGAACGATTTTGCCATCTTTTTTGCTAATTTCAAATTAGCTGCGCTTAGCAAATTTTCTATACGCATACATATGTAAATGGATATATATATATGTTTAGGGACATAAGTAGCCGATTTTTTGTACTGTGTGAGTTGAGTTTTGTATGTGTAAATGTTTGTATGTCCTTGTTGCAACTCTCCGTGTATAGTTAGTGATTTATCAATGTAAACGTGTGTGGACATGGCAAAGTCGTCTCCTTTTCATTTTTTAATTCCAATCGGAGGTTCCTCGAGTTCCGTATAGATAACTATCCGACTGTATCTTCTGATTATCCGTGGCCATTTTGGAACTGCAGCAGCAACAAGCACCGGAGACCGAATCGAACTCTTTCCAGGCCATTCAGAAATATGTGCACAAAATCCGTAGAGGAGAAGCAATTAACTAATGCTAAGTTTAACGATTAAGTAGCTTTCCATTTCCAATTTGTTATGTGCAATTTTTTATTTGGACAACTCAGCTTTTAGTTCTTAACGTGGCCATTTATTGAAGTACGTAAATCAATTACCAATAGGCAATCAACTTTTAATCACTCGCGCATATCAAAAAGAAAGTGTTTTTAGTTTAAGCAAACACAAGGAAATTCTATACATATACTAAGCTTAAAGTATATTTCTATACCTATTTTTTACAACAAATATACACGATTGCAGATGAATTGTATCCCTTCTGTTTTATTATTTGATTTTGGTTTAATTATTTTTCTTGGCAATATCAATTTCCAAGTGCAAAGGGCAATAAGAGCTGAAAGCAATAACAATGTTTCAACATATCAAATGAGTTGGGGGCTTAAATAAATAAAAAATTTCAATATTTGTGGAAACCAATTTTTTGTTAATTACTTGAATAGTTGAGTGAGTTTTAAGTTTCAGAACCAATTATTTTTTTTTAATTTACATGTTTTGTGTAGATTATTTTGCTTTCTTAAAACCGAGAATTATCGTTATATTTGATTCACTTTAAAGTATGCTATTAACTCACAAACATTTCCTTTTAAACTCCCAAGATTTCTAGAGAGTTTTGAGTTTCTCTTAATTTTTTCATGATAAACATTTCTGCAAAACTACCTAGTCTTTTAAATTACAACATATTTTGTTTATCCTTTTGTTGTTTATGTCCTCCACAGCAAACTGTTACTTAAGAACCCAACAACACACTATGGTATGGATTCGATTGATGCCAACTTAGAATGTTGCCCAAACTCTCGAAACTCTTGACTGCCAAACGCGAAATTGTTTAGCATTTATCAGTCAAATATGCTTATCGGCAATATGAATATATACGTATATGAATGGATGCTGTGCATGTCAAAACATGACTGCGCCAGCGATCAGACAGAGACGGACGATTGGACGGACAGAGACGACAAATGCAATGAAATGTTCCCTATCAGCATGCACATAAATCAAGCATTTCAAACAAACATTTTTGCCGTTGACTACGAATAATAATAATCAAAAATGCCAGATATATGGATATGCATATTCCGAATGTGTGTGGCCCAAGGCGAAGGATATGCACATCACACACACACCCACACACACAGCACACCCACATACACTGCGACATTCAGATGCGTATACATATAGGCAGCTGAAAAGTTGAAACCGAATGAGAACAAATTTTGTACAGTGCGTTTTATTTTTTGTATCTGTGTGTAAAGAATATTTGTATTATAACTCGTATATAATTGTATTTGTGAATTTGTATTTGACACAACAACAAAAACAAGGTAAACGAAAATGAAAACACAAAAACAGACAATTGCACTTTTTATACAGATTTAAAAAAAAAAGAAGGTAAACATAGAGGAAAAACTTAACCAAGACAAAAACAAACATAACAATACAAAACAACTTGACCAAAAAAATTGAAAAGGCTCCTTGATCCCGCCCCGCCCACACAAAAACGTAAAGGAAAACAAGAACGGAGAAAAAAGGCCAAACACAAATACAGAGCGATTGCAAAAGCCATTAATTAATAACAGTAAAATAATTATTGCAGCCTGCAAAACGGTAATCAAATTTATTGCATTAACATTAACAAAAAGAAGCGCAAAAACGAAAAAAAAACATGAAAAACCCAACCAATCTTAATGAAATGAGAATAACATTGAAATACGAATATGGATGTTGTGATACGATTGAAAATTGCATGTGCTCTCATTAATACATATAGACTTTTAACCCCATTTCTCCTCTGTACTTGTCCTTGTATTCATCCACTACCGTCAGATTTTTTTCCATTTATTTCATTTGCGTTATAGAGATAATTGTGCATAATCAATTATTTTGCCACATTTAACTGAACAAGCCATGTGAAAAAAATCCACAGAGAACACTTCATTCACTTATTATTCCGATGGGTTATTCAATAAAGTAAAATGCATTCCATCATGTGCAGATTTACGCTTTGCATAAATGACAGACAAAAGAATGGGCAAAAACCTAAAAGGGTGTTATATTAATGGACTTTTAAAGGGTTGAAGTAAAAATATTAATTTTCAAATGTTAAAAAACCTTTCCACTGAATTATTTCAAAAAACAAAATTAGTCTGAGTATAAGAAGCCCATTTATCTCGCAACACTTATGCTTATCAAAAACTTGCAATCCCTAAGATAATTTTCGCAGAATGGCTTGACAAAAACGACAATAAAGTGTGAAGAAAAAGTGTTTGGAAAGTGCAAAGATACAAAATCCTACCACTGATTATGTCTAATATATTCTACCCAAGTACTTGTAACGAAATATCATTTTGTAGAGCTCAACCTACTGATATCTGTGTGTTGGCTATGCTTCAATTAAAACATATCTGAGCTTAAGATTGATACTCTGAGATAGATTTACGCACCTGGCCCATCAAATCATTGCGTAATGTCCATTAACTCAATTGAAATCACATCCAACTCACGCCTGTCACTTGTCGAATATTATTATATTTCATTTTGTTTCAGTAAATTTCAATTGGCAAATATGAGATGATTGGCATTTTGCGGAAAAAAAGGAATGTAAATGCAAACCGTTCATGAAAATATTTGTTTGCACTCTCCCCTTTTGTTTTTCCACGGTAAATAATATTTTAAAAATGTACAGAAACCAAAATAAATCCATGTTGAACTGCAAGTAAATTTAAACCAATATATATAGTGAATGTGCTTAAAACTATTGCCTAGTTATGATTGTTAAAGCTTAAGGCATACACCCACACCCACACCAACACCACACCACATACCAACACACACATGAATAAATGTAAATTACATAAATAAACCCATGAAAGCGAAAACAAAGTAAGCCTAAACCATTAATTATTGGCAAAACATCGCAGCAGAAATATTATATATATGTATCTATATATATATAAAAAACAACAAATGTGATTTTTGAATAAAAATTAAACTGAAACTCAAACCAATTTCGACTTTCTCTTTTAAACTATGCTGCTAATGCATTTTCAATTAAATCCAAATACATGGGTGCAAAGTTTGCCAAAGGAAATAGCGGAAACCTCTGAACAAGCCGAAAGTTTCGTTGCCGTAAAATGCGTCGCCATGTCTCTGGTTTGCCAAACTAAAAGGAAAAAACTTATATACGTATACCTACCCTTTAGATTCTCGGGAAAATTGATAAACCGGACTGCCTCCTCAAGCCTGCAATGAAATTATGTGGTTTGCATGCCTTTTATGCATCGTGGTGACGAAGCACTTTCAAACTGGCAATTATGACATCGATATTGCAGGGTCTTTTATAATTAAGTCGATTATGGAATGCTTTTAGCGTAAATTCACATTTAAAAGTCACATTTAGCTGTTGTGCCTTTAAGAAGCTCTAAATAAATAAATACTGATCGTATCGAAGAATCCTTTCTTACACACATTTTACAAACTTAAAGATTTTATATTTTGTAAAAAAAATTGATTTTTTTGGCCAACGAAAGCAGAATGTCTCATAACAATTTAAACAGCCTGAGTATATAGAATGTCCACAATAACAGTACAATTATCTTATACCTTTGGCAACCAAAAATAAATTACCTGCAACAATATTCATACGAATAACAAATAAAAAGTTTACAGAAAAGATCAAAGGACATGATTATTTCTGAAAGCCAAAATCATTAAAAAAAACAAGCACTTCGATAAAGTAACCAATATCAAATTTTCTTTATATAAATTGGATTTGACTTTAAAAGTTTGCCGGTATTTATTTGACCATATGCAAGCTGTTCTTACACGATATGGAGGTAAACATTTTTTCAGGATTTAATTTAGCAGCACAGAGGCGACCCCTGGCGGCGGTCACTCGCTTCCGCCAGAATGCCTGCTGTTGACATTGCCAAGGTTGTTGTTGCATATTGCTGATGTCGCAGTTGCTGTTGCAGTTGCTTTTGCTGTTGCTGCAACTACCCCATTTTGCGAGTGTGTGAGTGATGCTTTTTGCAGGCAACAAAGAAACCGCCAGAGTGCCACGCCCACCCCCCCCCCAACTAACCACTCTAGCCAAAGCACCCACCTCCACAATTTGCCCTCCAAAAAAAACAGGCAGCAATCTAACATGGGACAACCTAAAAGTAGGCAGCACATATGCTAGTTTCTTTTTTGCAGCTACAATATTTTGCATTAATTAGAAAGTGGGCCATGTTCAGGCCCCCCCACCCCCTTTCACCGTTAGGCACTGCCAACTTGTGTGTGCGGTTAGGGGCATAAACAAAATGGCTGCTGCTGTTCGCAATTCGCGTTGTTTGTCTGCGGAACCGTTAAATTAGGCTTAAAGCAGCTGCCAGCACAGGCAACTTCTATGCATTGTTTTGTTAAATACTTTACGCAAATTGCCAGCCCACTCTTTGCTTCTTGTTGTTTCTGCTAATTATGTAATTACCACGGCCAAGTTGAGTGTTATTGCTGTAGCTACCGCAAAATTCCAATGCATTTCAAATATTTTCTCCTGCTATTCAAGAGTTTGAGCGCGATATTTTTCCCCAAAACAATTTCATATATTTCTAATTAATTAAAACCACAAGTAATGTTCTCCGGAAGTTAAGGAGTCAAGGCCCATATCCCATATGTACCATATATACCCCATCCTCTAAACGACCGGTTATGTTCAGATGGCCCTGAACGATTCCGGCAACAATAAAAAAAAAAAAAAAAAGGAAGTTAAGGCAAAATGTTTTGTAGAAGTTAAGTTGTTGTAGTTACTTAAGTTTTAATATCTTTTTTAAGTTAGTTAAAAATTCTTAGTGAAAATTCTTTACTTAAATAGTACATGAACTATTTTAAAAATTGTTAAAGGTCAATTAATATCATTTAAATTATCCTCTTAAATTTTATATCAAAATTGTTGCCTAAACTTACCATACAAATCGTATACCTGCCCCAAATTTGATACATGAATTTATTTAATTCGTGTCAAAAAGTCTCTGTCCCACCTAATGGGATTTAGCCATGAAACAAATTTATGCATAAATGCATTGCATAAAAGTCTGGTCGAATTCTATCACAAGTGTTTACGACTCGTTAACTAAACGATTTTGTATACGAGCATGCAACAACTATTTGCAGAGATATGCCAAAACGACGACGACTACATCTGATGCCATTGTTTAGCAAAAATATGAAAATATGAAACCGAATTTGAATTGGTGAGGCAGTCAAGCTCCTAGCATCGTATCAGCAGGAGCTGAAACAGAAGCTATGGCAATCACGGAAGCAACCCACATCCCTCAAATTTTCCATCCCGAAAAATTCGGAAGAGGGGAGTGGGTGAAATACACGCAGCTCGCTCTGACAGAAAACTAAAAACTTTGCCAGGCATTTTGTATACACAAATATATAGAAGGCATGCTGGAAAAATGAAAACAAAATCATAGCGATGGCAAGAAGAAACAATTGGCTTTTATTGAAGTAAAATTTAATAAAGAAGTTTTCAATATGCTTTGGCAATATGTAAACAATCAGCTCGGCTCCAAAAATCATAAATATTTTCATTACGGAATTGCAACAAAGGCCAAACTTTCTGCGACTTGAGGGTTTCTGCTGGAAGTGTCCTTGTTTTTGCTATTGTTTCGTTTCGAGTGCAGCTGCCAAATTTTCTCAATATGCACTCCACAAATATTTATATAAATTTCAGTAAAATTTGTGTTTCCATTTAAGGTCGTCGCTTACAAGTGTTGACGGCAAGTTTTGTGTCAAGCGTTTTTATGACGAATTTATTGGACTGAGGCAAAAAGTATTATCAACATTTAAATGTCACAACAAGCTGTAGCCCTTGGTCAGCCGACTGCTTGGACAGACAGTGGAGAAAGAACCAGATGCGAAGTCCAAGTCAATTCAAAAAGGTGAAAAGGAAGTTGGAATTTATTGCCATCAAAGAAAAGTCTGCTAATCTAAACTGATTTATGGGAAAGGTCGCAGTACTGCCTTTGTGAACTTAAATCATATTTACTTAGCAACATTTTTCTGAAGCGTGTTAATACTTTTCAGATTTGATGTTTGCATTCGAAGTAAATGTACTTGCTTGGCCATATATTCAGTTACGACCTTTGCCTTTTTTTATAAAAATCCTATGCTAAATTTATATTCTCTTTGTTTTATTTCTAATATTCATGGGTGCACAATAAACAAAATTTCACCTGCCATACCTACAGCCATCAACCTTTGCCATTATTTCCACAGCACTCGGTCAGGCTAATTTGTTTACAGCCAACTGGCCCAAACACACACACACATGAGCACGTTGACCAAACTAGGCCGCCATTGCCATTTATTATAATTGAATGGCGACCCGCACAAAACCGACCTGCAAACCGCCGACGTTCGCAGGCATAAATTGATTAACTTGCTATTGGCCAGGCTGAAAGACAAAAGCGGGACCTGGAGGGACCCTAGGGGCTGCCAGAGAGGGGAACCATGGACTCCAGTGAGGCGGGCATTTAAATGTGCACTTTGGGTTTCATAATTAACTGAAAATTATGTGCGTTGCTCTAGCAAAGACTCACAAGCCTCCACCATAACCAAAAATAAAACAAAGTACATTTAGAACAAATAATTTTCTTAATAAAAAAATCGGTTTCTAGGCAGTCATCAAGAATTAAATTAAATTAAGTCTGTTTTGTTTTAATATTTCTGGATATGTAGCTTTTTATACCCTTGCAGAGGGTATTATAATTTCAGTCAGAAGTTTGCAACGCAGTGAAGGAGACATCTCCGACCCTATAAAGTATATATATTCTTGATCAGCATCACTAGGCGAGTCGATCTAGCCATGTCCGTCTGTCCGTCTGTCCGTCCGTCTGTCCGTCCGTCTGTCCGTCTGTCCGTCTGTCCGTCTGTCCGTCCGTTTATATGCAAACTAGTCTCTCAGTTTTAAAGCTATCTGCATGAAACTTTCCCAAAAGTTGTCTTTCTATTGCAGGTAGTATATAAGTCGGAACGAGCCGGATCGGACGACTATAGCATATAGCTCCCATAGGAACAATCGGAAAATTAATGAAAAAAATTATAACTTTGCTGTTTTTTAATTTTTTGTTTAGTTCTTCGACATATAGCAATAGTTATATATTTCAGAATTATGGTTTAAATTTCATCAAAATCGGACGACTATAGCATATAGCCCCCATAGGAACAATCGGAAAATAATTGAAAAAAATTATAACTTTGCTGTTTTTTAATTTTTTTGTTTTGTTCTTCGACATAAAGCAATGGTTAAATATTTCAGAATTATGGTAAAAATTTCATCAAAATCGGACGACTATAGCATATAGCTCCCATAGGAACAATCGGAAAATAAATGAAAAAAATTATAACTTTTCTGTTTTTTAATTTTTTTGTTTAATTCTTCGACATTTAGTAATGGTTAAATATTTTCGATTTACGGTTTAAATTTCATCAAAGTCGGACGACTATATCATATAGCTCCCTTAGGAACAATCGGAGAAATAAATGAAAAAAATTATAACTTTTCTGTTTTTTAATTTTTTGTTTAGTTCTTCGACATTTAGTAATGGTTAAATATTTCCAATTTACGGTTTAAGTTTCATCAAAGTCGGACGACTATATCATATAGCTCCCATAGGAACAATAAAAATATAAAAATAACTATCAAATAATTGAGCTGCAAATCATCATAGCTTCAATGTTTTTAAACTTATACGCAAGTAAATTATAATTTTAATGTTTTCAAAAATGTTTAATTCTTGCAATAGCTGCAAGGGTATATGAACTTCGGCTTGCCGAAGTTTGCTTTCTTTCTTGTTTTTTGTATATTAACCGGTCACCGTTTTAGTTGCGATCTATCTATATAAAATGTTTTAGGTTTTAAATTAAATTATATAAACATTAAAATTATTTGAGAGGTAGCGTTCATTAACTTGATATTATTTATTTAATTTATATTATATAAAAGGTTATGTTTGAAATATCAAAAGAAAACGTTGCTTTAAACAATATGTACGTTTTGCTTTTTAAATATCAATATTAATTTTATTTAATATATGCTGATAGTTTTGGTCAGTGCTTCGCGGCTCTACCTGATTTACGGTGGGTAAAGACGACTTTGTGTTCGTTATTCACGCAGGTCAACAAACAAATTATATTTTAAATTAATTAAAATACATAAATGTGGGGACATGATGCTGGAACGTTCCTCCGACCACATGCACATCCACGTTAATTGTGGGCATTCCGCCAGTCGACAAATAGCGATCGCCCGCCGAACTTTGCAGACTCAGACCGGAACTCCGCCCCGGCGAACAGAGTCACTCGACTCGACTCTCTGGCTAACTAACAACATATTGGGCAAGTGGGGAATTACGGCAGCATTATGCTACATTATCTGCTGCAGAGCCTAAAAACCCAGCGACAACTTCATTTACCAGTGGAAGTGAGACGGAATGAGGGCGGGAAAGGGAAAGGGAAAGAGAGTTTGGAAACAGTGAAAAATTTATGTTTGACATTAACAGCAGTGCGGAATTCAATGAAAAACAAGAACGAGGGAGGTACTAGAACTTTTGTTTTCAAATAATTGGTAACTTGAAAATAAAGGATTAAAGTACAGGGTAACTAGAAATACCTAATTTTATGTATTGCACACTCATTCTCAAGCCACTTCCGTATCACCCCAGATAGTGTGTTTCTTGTAAGACTTTTTTGCAAAAGCATTTAATTGAAAGCTGTCCAATTTGAGTCTATAATATACGCTCTCTCAAGAATAATTAATTAAACTTATACATGAAAGTTGAGATCAGTCTAGATCTACGAAAAGACGAGGCACAACGTAGCTTTACCGGACTAGCATTTAATTTGATCTCATTCTTAATGAGTAATTAGAGTGATATCTTTATTAAATGAATTCCAGTTTAATGGTAAATTTAAATCAAAAATGTTTAAACTTACTTTCGGTAACCACAAATTCTGCCCTCGAAAGGGCTGACTCTTGGGTTTTAGGGTCCAGATCCACATATAGTTGAGGCCCGTTACCATAGTTCTATAAACAACTTCCCCAACGCGCCCCTGCACCGTTCTACACTCCAATCCAGCTTGCTGCTGGATGGTATGGGTATGGTTATGGTTATGGGTATGGGTATGGTATGGTATGGTATGAATGGTTGGTGGTGGTGTCGCTGGCATTTTGATCTATGGATGCATGAATGATTCGCTGCGCACCGCAGCAACAAAAGCTACAGCGACCGTAATGACACCAGAAAACAATTGAAATAATTCTAGCAGAAATTGTTGTTAGCTCAGCCAACATTTTTCGTGGTGAGTGTTTTCTTTTTTTGTGGCTCAGTTTCCATTTCAACGTCGAGCGAACGAAAAGTTGCAGCGTAAAAATACCAATTGCGGTCAAATATTCACGCATATTTCGCAATTTCTCAATTTCGAAAAACTACAAAAGATAATTAATTAATGTGCTTAAATGCGCCATGGACTATGCAAAAGTTATGTGCTAAAAAGTGAGAGTTAAAAAGTGTTGCAACAGGCAATCATGTGGAATGCATCAAGGATTCAACAGTTTTTCCGGCTACTACCGATTCTGATTCATCTGTCCCGATTTTGTTGGGCCCAACAGACGCACATCAAGCTGGAGCAGGGAGACCTTATTGGGGTAAGACCTATTTTATAATAAACTAGGTGTTAAGAAAGGAGTTTAAGGTAACGAAATTGGCTTTGTGCTTTCAGCTCAAGGTCTTTCCCGATGGAACACGTGGCGCTGTCTACGCTTTTTTGGGCATTCCCTATGCTCAGGCACCTCTCAACGAGCTCCGATTTGCTGTAAGTTTTATATAATATAAGTAAACATTTTAAAATATTTAAGGATTTTACATCTTTGAGCCATCTTTTGGTACACTCTTACTCTTAGTATTAAACATTTAGCCATACATTGTACATTTCTTATTTGATAACACGCTCTTTTTAGGAATAGGATGGGAAATGAATTTGATTGTCACAATTATTATTTTGATTTCTTTTAATTAAGCTGAAACTATTATTAAGCAAAAAAAAGATTTTAAACAAAATCTCAACAAATGTGATTTGTATTTATAGAGTGAACGAAATCAGTTTTCCATTATAATTTGAATTATTTATAATGTAATAGATAGATTAATATTAGATTTTAACAGAACCTACAGAACCTAAATTTGATTTGTTTTTATGGAAGGAGAGAAGTCTGTTTTTTTTCTTAATTATTTGAATTTTATATAACTTTAGATTTTCTTCTTAATAGGATTGCAAAATTAATAAGCTATTCTAACTTTTTTACATATATATAATTCTCTCATTTTTATGGAAAAACTATTATTAAGCCATTAAACATTTTGAAAAACGTAAACAGGTTTAAATTATTATTTAATTACAATTTTGTTTTAAATTTTATTTTATATGTATAATAACTACCTTGAATTTGAATGACCTTATAGATCACATGAAACATTTAGGCTAAAGTACTTTGAATTTAATGGATACATTGATACAGTGCAACCACTGATTTAATCCCTATTTGTCTATGACTTTATCCGCCAGCCTGCCAAGCCGAGTTCCAGCTTTAACCGCACCCTCCAGGCCACCGCCATGCAGCCCCTGTGTCCGCAGCTCTCGAACACCATCTACGACGAGAGCTCGGATGGCGGCATTCCCAGATCAGTGAGCACAGACGAGGACTGTCTGTACCTGAGCATTTGGACGCCGGAATCGGGGATGCGATATGGCAAACTGCCCATCGTTGTTATTGTCACGGGTGAGGAGTTCGCCCACGACTGGCCCAGAAATCGCATCAATGGCTTGGATTTGGCTGGCGAGGGCATTGTGGTGGTCAGTGTCCAGTACCGAAATAATATTTACGGATGGCTGAGTCTGGGCGCAGAGCATCGCCATGTGGCCGGAAACTATGGCCTAAGTGATGTCCGAATGGCCCTGCGGTGGATCCAAAGGAACGCCGACGCTTTCGGTGGCAGTCCGGAGCACATTACCCTTTTGGGTCACGGAAGTGGAGGAGCACCACTGGCCCTGGTTGCCACTCTAGAGGAACCCCAGCTGGTGAAGCAGCTGGTGCTGATGTCACCCGGTCCCATTGTGCGCACCTTGGGTCGGAATCACCAGAAGCGGATAGTGGCAACGGGTCAGGATCTGGTCAGGAAATTGGGCTGCCAGTTCGAGGAGGCCCAACGGCGCCAACTGATGGGTTGCCTGAGGCGCAAGAGTCGAGAGGACCTGCTGCGCGCCTACGAAAGTGTCTACAACCATGGCAACGGCAGCTCCCAGCTGGGAGTGCTTCTGCCGGAAGGACTCACCTTCGAGCAGCGAGTGCGGAACGAAACACTGCCGCCGCTGCTGCTGGGCATCACCTCCAATGAGGGAGCCTTCCTGCAGGACTACTGGCTGGATGTGGCCAGGGAGGGTCAGGTGGCGCTCCACAAGTACATCAATCACACGCTGCTGCCCAATGTGATGCGAGCCATGGGTTCGGCGGATGAGCAGAGCTCCTCCCAATTGGCAGCCATCAGGTGGAGGTACTTCAATGGCCAGGGAGAGGGCGTCGTCCACCTGCTGGCCGGAATGCAGCGGCTGCTCTCCGAGTCCCTCCACGAACTGCCTTTCTTCCGGCTCCTGGATCAGTTGAACGGGAGCACCAGCTATGCCTACGTGTTCGATCAATCGCACTCGATGGACATGCGTGGCAGGAGGAACCTCTTCGGCGGGGCCTCCCACAGCTCCGATCTGCCCCTGCTCCTGGGTCCCAGTCTGTTCCAGCAGATTGCGCGCCGGAGATTCAGTGGCGAGGAGGAGCAACTCTGCCGTAAACTGAGGGGAGCCTTTGCCAACTTCATAAAGAACGGAAATCCCACGCCGGGAAGGATCTTCGATGGCTGGTTGCCCCACAGCAAAGAGAACCCATTTGTCTACAGTCTGGGTGAGCAGACGAAGGCTTCGCAGGCGGGATCAGTGGACGAGGCAGAGGTGGACAAGTTGCTGCGAGGCGAGACGGGAGCCACGGGCACGGATAGGAGCTTGTCGCGTAGCAATCGCCACGATACCTACAGAGCAACTCCCTCAAATTCCTATACGGCTCGCAATCAACTGGATTCGGGCTACTCCCATCACTTGCAGCGGGTTCACGGCTTCTGGCAGGTGCTGCTCCCACTGGAAAGAGAGGAGGACCTGCGCGGAGGAGGAGGAGGAGGAGGAGGAGGAGGAGCACTTGGCCAGCGAGTGCGACTGCTGGAGGCGAGTGCCGATGCCGCACGCTATCGACAGGGATTCTACGCCATGCTGGGACTGGTGTGTCTGCTCCTGGCCTGCCTCTGTCTCTGCGTCTATCTACTCAAAAGAGACCCCAATCCGATGAGACGACGCAGTGCCTCGACGGCCTCGGACTGCTATAGCTTATGACATAAGTGGTTTCGTTGGACGACCATCTTTGGGGGCCGGACGGACGAGGGGCCATCGACCTCGGGCATTGCCAATGTCGAGTCCTGGCGCAAAGGTGGTCGTGCAACGAAACGGGCAGAGGAAGGAAACGGTGGCGCAGTCGGTGGCGGTGGCGGAGGAGCAGTATCTGCGAGTGGAGGAGACAACCTTGGGGCAGAGCGACGAGAGCAGATTCACAATAATCAGCGTGCAAGACGTCCCCGGCAATTGCAGCCGTACGATTTCAAGATTGCCCACTCTATTGGAGGAGCAGGAACTGGATCCGGACCAGGGTTCGGAGGAGTGGCAGCATCATCGGGCAGAAACGGAGGCGCAGCCAGAGCGGAAACACGATCGGGAGGTGGAGCTCCGCCTGGAACTGTTGAGGAACTCCTGGACCCTGTCGCCGGCAAATTCGAGCCGAGTGTGGCTGTTAGGAACTGGCAATACCAGTTGACTTGTGATAAGTTCTGAAAGCAACCAAAAATTGTAATTGTAGTTTCGTATGCTTATTTTAACGTTTTATGTTTACACTTGTCCGTAATTAAATAAACGAATATTTTACACATTAAATGTAAAGAGTTCAACTTGTCCAATCACTTGGACTCGATTAATTTTTCAATAATTTTCAAACATTAATCTATGTTTATTTAAACACTTTTCAACTTAACAAAAGAGCTTATTAACCAATTTTCGTGAGCAACTCAAAGGCACCAGTGCCATTTCGCACTGGAAGGCCGACCATTAGCCGACCTGACGGGGAGTTCAGCTCATCGGATCTGCCGAAACCGGTGGCGCTCCTCAGGAACTGCAGGCTGGACTCGAAGGACATCTGCTGCAGCGGCGACGAGGAGTGCTCCATGCCCTTTCTCGACAGCGGCTGGAAGGTGCCGTCGAAGGTCATGTAGTCGGCGATGAGCGAAAGATGCCGGCGGTCCACCGTGATGCCGTAGACCTTGAACACGTTGCTCACCTCCTTGACAATCACTTGGGAGGCTGCCTCGATGCCGTACGTTCGGGCAATCGCATGGATGTCGTTGGAGTACAGGCGATTCAGGTCGAGAATCTTGTTGTGCTGGAACATCTCGCCAATGTTGATGCCATCGGTCTTCAGCAGCTGCTCATCCTGGCCGCCCTTGTAAATAATGGCCCGCTTGATGTGCTGCACCTGGTGCACCACACTCTTGCCCGCCAGCTCGCGGATGATGGAGGTCAGATCGGGCTTCTGGTAGCGCACACTCAAGCTTAGCCGGACTTTGCACCACAAGTGGTTCTCCTTGTCGTAGGAATAGTCCTTGACCATTTCGTTGCTGAGCAGCCTCTCCACCGACTTGTCATCGCCATCGTTCTCATCACCGTTCTGGGCCTTTTCCTCGTCATCCTGATCCTCCGCCTCTTCGTCGTCGTCTGAAAGTCAATGAGAGCTTTAGTATCCCTCAAATATATAAATGTACTAATCTCAGTTACCATTGGCATCGTGGAGTTCTTCAACATCGTCTGGGTCATCGTAGTCCTTCTCATCGGTTTTGCGTTGCTTCAGTTTCACACCAGTAGCATCGTCATCGCCCTTTAAACAAATTACATAATTCAATTACATAAAGTTTACTTATTGTTCAAAGCTTAACCCACGTTGTCGTCCGATGAATCATCGTCATTTTCTTTTGCCTTCGCACCACCCACATCATCGGCATTGTCCAAGTCGTCATCTTCCTTATCGGCGTCCTTTTTGTCGTCTATTACAACTCTGGAAATTTAAATGTATTTTAGTACTTAAGGTAATACTGTGACGACAGCTTGGTGTTCTTACATTTTCGTTGTCTTCAAGGCGTTGGAGAACCTCAATATGGACCGAATCAGTTGCTTAATGAAGGTCTGGTGCATGTACTTGATGATTTGCTTGGGTCTGACCCCATAATCCTCCTTGTACACCTCCCTGGGCAGGAATTGGAAGCGCATCTCATACTCATAGGATCGCTCCGGTTCCAGAACTAAACTGGTGTTGATGTGCACAGCTGCATAAAGGAGTAGTCATTAAGTATAGCACACATGGAGGCAAATTTATGCACTTACACTCCAAAAGGTTGGCCAGAGTCACAGCATTCAAATTGATGCGCAGCTTCTCCGCCTGGTTCTGCTGACCAGGCTTGATGGGAATATCCATCGAGGGCGTCTTTATGTTCGAGGAGGCCAGCATGAGGATCTCCCGAAGTCGGGGAATACCCAGCGTCACGTTCATCTCACCACGACCCGCAAAATGGAAGGTGTTCAGTGTCATCTGAGTGGAGGGTTCACCAATCGATTGGGCGGCTATCAGACCCACAGGTTCGCCAGGTGATGCCAATGCTTTGATAGTCTTCACCCGCATGATGTCGGCTATGGTTTCCTTATGTGCCGGCTTCCTTCGAGCATAGTCATCGATCAGTTTTCGCGTCCTCTCCGACACACTGCCGTAGTAGACATCCTGCTTGTAGACGGCCACCGAGGGATCCGGACAGCGGGCATACTTCTTGCGATACAAAGCCTTGTCCTCGGCATCCGCCTTCTTCCACAGCTTGAGCAGACCCTCGTCAAAGCGACGGCGACCCGTCTTGGCGTTAATTTCATTGGGTCGCTTCACTTCCACCTCCTCGCGCAGCTCCTCGGAGAAGTGAGTGAAGGCGGCGCGCAACTTGGCCGGCTTCTTCTTCTGCCAATTGCGGATATGCTTCTCGTGGCGCTGCACCTTGGCCAGATTCTCCTCGTCCTTCATCAACTGCAGTTGACTGGGCCGCAGAATGGCCGTGGCATTCTGGGTAAGGAAATCGGCACAGAACTTGTCGTTGAAGAACTTGGACTTCAGGATGTCCAGACCATCTTCGCCGTAGAGGAACTGCACCACGCTGTTGTCACTGTCGCGAACTGTGAGATCATAATGGACACTCAAGCCCTCCAAATGCTTGATGAGACAGCGCTGCAGGTAACCGGAGCGAGAGGTTTTTACAGCAGTATCAATGAGACCCTAAATTGTAAGATACAGAAACATTAAATACAGATAAATCGTGACAAGTAGTCCAAACTCACTTCACGACCTGCCATGCAATGGAAGAAAAAGTCCTGCGGCTGAATGCCTGTCATGAAGCGACCATCGATAAAGCCGCCCGACTTGGGTGAGGTCTCAAAAGAAGTGAAACTGGGCAGCGATTTGCCGGATATCATCAAGGGCGGTCGCTTGCCCTCCAACTCAATCTGTCCCAGCAGACAGGAGATTTGCATAGTGTTCACCATAGATCCCTTGGCACCGGACAGAACCATCAGTTGCAGATTGTTCGAGGGGAACTTGGTAATCAAACCACCCGGCAGGCAAGTTCTAAAGAGAGAGAAGTTTAGTTTCTCATCAGTTTAGTTGGAATATAATCTTACTTGTTTATATCGTTTGTGTAGCCATCCAAAAGTGACTTGTATTTGCGATCCAACAGCACTCGGAACTTTGTGTCCTTCATATAGGCCTCCTCCATTTTCTCGACCAACTCGTCGTGTGGTGGCTCATCCTCTAGCTCCAAAGCTGCAGCCACTGCGCTGTTTCCCACATCGCGACACTCGTCGATGATCTTCCTCCGCTTTCGATCCGCCTCTCCTGTCACCAGAATATCCTTGACGCCCAAAGTAAAGCCTTCCAGTTGCAGGAAGAAGGTGAAGACTTTGGTGAAGGCAGTGAGCAGCCGGGTGGAAACTTCGCCGCCATACAGCTCGTACATGCAATGGATTAGACCAAAAGTCGTCGCTCCATACTGCTGTTTGTCCAGAACACCAACAAGCAGTTCTCCCTTTCTGATTTGCACTTGGCTCTCGCTGAGCTCGTTTTCCTGAGGATTCGTGCCACAAATTGCCGGTCGTGGACGGCTCACATTCCAGTTCTGCAAAGGATTGGAAGAAACGTAAATATGCGAACTAAATTTCAGTCCATAAAGCTTACTTACCTTACCACCAATCTTGGCAAACGAATCCAGATTAATTCTTTCATAGCCCTCGGGAATAAGGTTGATGATAATGGTGGACAAAACCTGCTTTCCGGACCAAAGCCTCGCTGGTTTGAATATAGCCGGTGGGAGTAGCTTGACGTCCTTTATGTGATGCGACAGTCCCTGGAACACCAGTTGCTGGTAGTCCTCGCGGTTGAAAAACCGCCCGCGAATCGAGAGCTTCACACCCGAAATGACGTGGTCCTGAATGAGTCCACCCAGAGGGGTACCGTCTTTGGGCACCAGATAGTTGCTGGCCACGTTCACGAGGTTGTACGCCTCTGCCCTGGCCACCTCACTCTGCGGATAGTGGGCGTTCATTTCGTCACCATCGAAATCGGCGTTGTATGCCTTGCAGTTGGAGTAGTGCAGGCGGAAGGTCTTCTCCCCCGGCAGGATGCGAGCCTTGTGGGCCATAATGGATGGCTTGTGCAGCGAGGGCTGCCGGTTGAGCAGCAGGACATCTCCATTGAGCACGTGCCTATGGACGATTTTAATGCCATCCTTAGGATTCGACAGCAGCAACTTGGCCATACTCTCCCGCTTAATCGCATTGTCGGCGGGTATGTAGGTGGTGAATCCGTTCTTATCCTGGATGTAGTTCGCTCCAGGGTGCACATCCGGCCCGTTGCACACCATTTTTCGCAGCTCAGTAACATTCCAGTCGGTCACGGGCACGGGATAAGACAATTTCCTCGCAAATATATCAGGAATACCGATCTCATCGACGTTTATATTCGGATCCGGAGTGATGACAGTGCGCGCAGCGTAGTTCACACGCTTGCCCATCATATGCTTACGGATGAGGCCATCCTTCTTTTCAATAACCTGCTTCAGACCTTCGGCAGACTTCATCTCGCGGGACATGTTCACGTCGAGGAGCACATCCACAGAAGTCTGTAGAGCCAGCCACGCGTTGTACAGCTTCTCATGGGCTGTGCCGCCCTTAAGGTTCTCAAAGGCGGCCTTGGCCTCCTCCGTGAGCTTCTCCTGGCTGCCCTTCATGTACTTAAGTACCACATTCAACACATGGTTGTTCTCGATGATGTGGATGTAGATGTCCGTCTGCGGATTGCCCTTCAGCATGTCTCCGATCATGTTCATGGGACGAGCGCGAGGCGGCGTCACCGGAATCGTTTCCATGAAGAACAGATCCACTGGTGATCGATCGCTCTGCAACGCATCCGTGTTGCTAAGCCCCAAAACAGGCACTAGAAGCTTCAAGAGCTCCGGGTAGTTGTTGTAAATCTGGCGCAGATACCGACGGCATTCGTCCGCGAAGATAACCTTGTTCTGACCACCGCTCTCAAGGGCCCCACCACCGCTTTTGAAAGAAAACATTGGTTAGTTTCAAAAGCATATTGGTAGAGGGTTTTTCATCTCACCGCTCCTTAAGATCCGCCATTGTGACGTAGAAAACCAGCCTGCGATGCATGTAGCGCACAAAACGCATGGACTTGTTGCAGTGCCTGCACTTTTTGCCCGCTCGCTGCAAAGCCAGTTGGGTAACAGCCGTGCGCAGGGAGCAGCTCGTCTTGGTGGAGTTGCCCGAGTTCTTCTCGTTTTTCTCCAGCAGCTTGTACATGGCGGCGATGTTCGGATGCACCGCGTCGCCGTTCCTCAGGGTCACCAGATCGTCGGAGTTCTGGCACACAATCTCCGACTTGAAGAGCTCCAGCTCCTGGGCCTCGATAATGTAGCCCGCGTCGATAAGGCGCAACTGCAGCATGATGATCTCACGTTCGTGGTCTGAGAAAGAGGAGATTTTAGCTACTGATTGTATTGAGAGTGATATTGTGGGTTACCCTTCATCTGCAGTTTGTAGCAGTGCAGGCAAAAGATGCACAGCAGCCGCTGCACCAGTTTGATGAAGAAGGGATTGTAGACTGGCGTGCCCAGCTCGATGTGGCCCATGTGTCCCGGACAGTCCTGCATCTTGAGGCAGGTGCCGCAGGGATCCATGCACCGGCCGTAGGAGCCCATCCGGATGTCGTAGAGACCACCGGGCATCGCGTGTCCCAGTGCATCGAACGTGATGCCCGTGATCACCTTCACCACGCTCAGCTTGTGGATCTCCTGGTCGGTGAACACGGCAAACTCCAGGTCCGAGGGGAACACGTGCACGTCCATCGCCCGCTTGGAACCCATTTTGCCCGACTAAATTCACACTTTAAGTAACAAATCAAATAAAAATCTAAGCGCAACAGGCGCGCACGTGTGTGGCTATTAGAGGTGGAACCACATCGATTGTTATAGTCAACTGCCTTATCGATAATTCTTATTGGGAGTAGAGTGCACATCTCTAGCTAAACAGCTGATCTGCTTTGTGTTGACAAAAATTGTTTTTATTGGTGTTTGGTTTTAGAAAAGCTTAAATATGCTGACTTCCATGGTTAAGGAGCACCACAAGGAGCAAGTGAAGCGAAAACAGGAGCAGGGTATAACGTTCGATTGGTACGTCAGCCAAAAAAAGTAATTATAAACTGCCATTCCAGAGGTGCGACGCAAGGAGGCCATAGAAGCCTCCAATGAGCTCACCCAATCTCTGGTGGACACCCTGAATGTGGGCGTGGCACAGGCCTACTTGAACCAAAAGCGTCTGGACGCCGAAGCGAAGCAGCTGCACATGGGAGCCACCAACTTCGCCAAGCAGACGCACCAGTGGCTGCAGCTCATCGACAACTTCAGCAGTGCCCTCAAGGAGCTGGGCGATGTGGAGAACTGGGCCCGAAGCATTGAGGGTGACATGCATGTAATAAACCAGAGCCTGGAGCTGGCCTACAAGGCCTCGCGAGCGGCCCAGGCAACTGGAGCTCCTGTGGAGGCCACAACTTCAGCCTCGGCAAATCCTAAGCCCAGTGCCACATGAGTATTTTTAGGTTTAGTCTCTAAGCATTTTGTCAGATGATTTATAGTTGGAATTATTCTACTCAGGAGAGATCCTTTATGTGTCTATAAGGGTTTCCAGGTAACAAACTATTTCCTTTAAGAGCCCTTTTATATTAAATAAAATTAAAAGTTAAGTACCAGTTATGTAAAGAATTATCGCCAATAATTTCAAAATAAGGTTTTTTGTTAAACAGCTTTTTTACGTTACACTGCTGATACTTAGTTTATTTCACGAGCAAACCCATTTTATAAAGTAAGCTAACTTTGTTAACTAAAAACGACCAATAAAATCCAACAAGCAATAGCAAATCGAAGCTCTGTACAAGTTCAATTTTATTATCTACCTGCTGCACAATTACAATTATAGTTAAAATTAGTTTAGTTTTGTTATCATTATCAGTTTTGCTGCGGTTCCTTTAAAATACATATCACAATCTATGCGGACATCTGTATGTAATGATGGTAATTGATTTGATATTTACAAACTACGTTTTTGTACAGCAACAGTAATGGTTAACGAGTAGTTATAATTTGCGTTTTGGGTGAATGATGAATTTGGAAATTAGTCTAGTTGTGAGCTGCTCGCCAACCAAATGCCATAGAAGAGAGGTATCACCAAAACACAAATTTTCAGTCGTATGCTCCTCCGCAGCCCGTTTGACACAGTCTAGCAAGGCCGTGATAGGAGCACGAGTTAAGGAAGTGGCCCCATTACCTGCTGGGCGCACTAATAGCGCGGTGATCCGCGGCCTGAATTGAAAATATATATACTGGGTAAATTCTTAATCGATGAGTATCGAAGATTATAATTACGTGGTTGGGGAGAACGCGAACGGCTATAGCTTTTGTGGCGGTAGCGACTAGAACTGGTGTGGTGACCGCGGTCATAGCGATCGTTACGGTCGTCATTGCGCTGACGAACGTAGTAGTCTTTCGGTGAGCCAGAGCGGTCCCGACGACGCCCACCTGCCCGCGGCGAACGGGAACGCCTCATTTGTCCAATGCGCGACGGACGACCCATGTAGACCCCCGGAGTGGGTGTGTGGGCCCGTTGGGTTATGGAGTAATCAACGCGGATGCGACGACCATCCACCTCAATGCCGGAACAGGCGTCCTTGGCCACACGGGCATCCTCGAGTTTATCAAAGTAAATGAAGCAGAAGCCCCGCGAACGATTTGTCTGTATGTATGGAAAGTAAAATTATTTAATTTGAGAAATGCTTTTACATAAAATAAACAAGAAAGGAAGCAGGGCGAAGTTTATATACCTTTGCAGCTTTTGCAAACATTATATGAATATTGAATACTGAATAATTTCAACAAAATAAATCGTCGTTCATATGGCAGCTGTATGACATCGTTAGCCGATTTAAATAAAAGTAAAAACGTAATTCTGAGTTATTAAACCATTAAACTATGCCCACAAGAACATAAAGAAATTGCTGATTCTTATTTCTATGGGAACTAAATTATAAAGTAATAAATAAGTATTATAAATTAGAAGACAAGGCTAGATCGACTCTCCGAGTGATGCTGATCAGGAATATATACTTTATGGGTTCGGAAATGTCTCCTTAACTGCGCTGCAAATTTCTGACTGAAATTATAATACCCTTTGCAAGGGTACACAAATAAAGCGAAACTTTGAATTGACTCTTTGAGCAAGCAACTTTGAAATGTTAACTATGCCTCGCGTACATCATTGAAAACTCGTTAATGTGTATAAGTGGATGTGACAGCAAGCCTTTAGCTAATAGTTTGGAATACACAAAAGCTCAAAATCGCTGCCTACTATAATCTAGCCGGAAATGAGAACAGAACTGCAAGGCTTCAAGCTGATTTGTATACTCAAATGCATTCCGGCAGGAGGTATGTTATTTTTGATTTTGAAAACATCTCTTACATGTGCGTCGATGACCATCTGAATGCGCTCGATGGGTCCGTACTTGTTAAATAGCTCGCGCACCTTGTGCTGGGTGGTGTTGGTGTTCAGACCGAAAACTCCAATGCAGCGACTGGCCTGGGGATGTTCCTGGTGGGAAAGAACTCTCCCGATTAGACTGTAGGAGAGGTGTAATTGGGCAGATTTACTTACGCGAGCCTTGTGCATCCTTTGGCGATCGCGGGACGTACGGCCGGAATGATGACGGGGTGCCGGAGAAGACGAACCTGACCCTGAACGCGAACGAGTGCGGCGCCGTGAGCCGGAGCGCTGGTGACGACGGCTGCCATAGTAATCGAAGTCCGACCTTGATTTGGTGTGGAATGGAGTGAAATTAGATTATCTTGCGGTTCGTTCTTGCACGTCTTGCTAACTGACAGTTGGAAAATTGTGCATTTCGTGTGGCTTGACAATTGCTATAGCTTAATTCAATTCAATTCAATTCGACCTATTTCGGACCTATTCTTGGGCTGTTGGGCAAGCAAAACAAATTAGTGCTGCGACGTGGATTCTTACATAGCAAGGTGGTTATGTTCCAAAAAAAATAAGGACACTGGCTTGTTGGTTGCTTTTTCTTCAATCTAGTTTTGGGCTAGAGAACGGACTTTCTCGCATGAAAGGCGAATCCAAATGAAAGGCCCGAAATGACAGTGGATTAGTTTTCTAAACTGCCAGACAACTCGATGCCTCGGTGTCAAAAAGTATCGTTTTTAGGGGGGCATACATGCTTCTGTGTGTACACATTTACCGGCGGTCCTTCTGTCCAGAGGAAGCACTCCTGGCTGACGAGGATGATGCCGACCGTTTGTGGTTGTAGCTACTGCTGCAATTGAAACTCTCAACACTGGATCTTTTAAATTGCAGATATTTTTTGCTTACCTGTCAAATTTGCGGTGTAAATAGTTTCGCTCTTCGGAAGAACGCGAGGACTTTTGTGTCGAAAAAAAACGTATTGTTAGTGTGTATGCACCTATTTAATAACTGGTTTCCCACACTTACCATCTTTAAGGGTTTGTTTCCCTACTAAATTGCACAGCCAAATAGTGTTTATTAATTAAATGTTGGCTTGGTAAATGTTATTTATTCTGTCTGCGTTTGACAAGACGCACGCTTCGGCAGGGATGTCGATAGGCGCGGAAGTGTTATCGATAGTTACTTTAACCCTTGTTTGGCCGTTTTACTTGAACAGGAACGTTATCAAAATAATGTAATTCAAATATTATGCGCCCTTTCTTTTAATTTTAGTTACCTTCCTTTAATTAATTTAATTTTTACAAGGTGTATTACCAAAATATTTCTCTCTAATTTAAATGAAATTATTATTACCTTTTCAAATCCCTATATCAAATCCTTATACCTATAATTTTCTGGTTCTGCTAATCAAGATCTAAGAATGCTTTTACCTTTAAGGCCACATTTATTTAAATCAGTTTAAAACTAGATCACAGGGTTTGTTAAGAACTAATGGTTATATTGTCTAAACCACTTGTTTTTCACCATCACATAGTTATACAGCCTCTGCTGTTCCAGGTGATGCAGATCCACTATGGTCTTGACCACTCGCTCGTCATTGAAGTGGCTTTTGGGAGGTGTCTCCAGCAGACTTCCAGTGGTAAACCACTTGAGCTCCGAGAAATGCTTCTTTACCGCGACCCGTAGAGCCGCTCCACTAAACACTGGCGTCCGATACAGGTCGAACATGTTCTTCTTGCCGTACTTCTGGTGGATCTCATCCACGGTTTTGTCCAATTCCGGCTGTTTGCAGTAGTATATCACCCACAACTTTCGCTCTGGAGCCCGCAGATCTTTTAAACTGAGTACGCCAAAGAACTCCACAATGTATGGATTTAATGGAGCGGATTCCTTTGGTTTGATGTAGAAAATGCGCCTCAAATGGGAATCGATTTCCTCCTCCAGATCATAATCCGTTTCTGCAAAAGCAGTTATTAATCATCAGTGAAGTCCAACTATGTATGTATATTGTTTTGCTTATTTACCTTTTACTGCGTTGACTGTCATTTAATTTTACAATAAGGTGCCTCTAGCTTTTTACTTTAATATGCAAACTAATAATCCAAGCACTCTGCTTAAATAGCCAAACAATAATATTTCAACTCTTTTGTAAATGAAAAGCTTTTGTTTTGTTTACGATTTCCAATTTCACAATTGATAAAAGATAGCTTTTCAAAGCAACTCTGTTGGCTATCGAGAATCAAAAAGCTTTTTTTTTAAATTATTTATTTACGTTTTTAATGACGTAGTGGGGGTGGTTTCTGATCATTGCACCGCTTGAACCAATCGTGCTGTACCATTATATAGTCAAACAGCCTTCTTTGCTCCTTGTAGTGCAGTTCTGAAACTGTTTTCACCACCTTCTTATCATTATAATAACTTTTTGAAGGGGCTTCCAAAAGGTTTCCTCTACTAATCCACTTCAAGTGGGAGAAATAATCCTTTACGATCCGACGGAAACCCACTCCGCTGAATGTGGGTTTCTGATATATTTCATACACATTCTTCCGGCCAAACTTCTGGCGTACCTTATCCACCACATCAGAAATATCCGGCTGCGAGCAATAATAAATGTACCAAAGTTTGCGGTCTGGGGCCTGGGGATCTCTAACACTAAAGACTCCAAAGTACTCAATCGCAGATGGATCCAGCGGAGTGGGTTCTGCAACAGGATCCATATAAAATAGACGTCGACAGTACTTCTCCAATTTATCGTTAAATTTTGGTACTGGTTTATTCCCAGCTAAAACAACACAATTATAATCTTTTTAAATTTTTGATGATTCATAACCCTTACCCATCGATAAACTTGCGGTTATTGTCACTTCCAACCCAAACGAACTTTTACAGAATACTGTTTAGCATTTATTCGCAGTCTTGTATTTATAGCTTAGTAGAAATAAGTCTTAAGTAGTAATCAATAGAAGCATATGTTAAGCATTGAGATGTGTGTAGGTCCATGTCGTATATAGATTGTTCCTAGATACTAGATAATCATAGTATTTCCTCCTTTCGGCCCGGTACAAATCAGTGATTGTGTTAACCACCTTCTCATCATTGTAGGAGCTGTCGGGAGGAGCTTCCAAAACATTTCCCTTCACATACCACTTCAGTCCTCCAAAGTGGTTCTTAACCCGGGATCGCATTCCGGCCCCAGAATACACCGGCTTTCTGAACAGCTCGTACATGTTCCTTTGGCCATATTTACGATGGATCCGGTCCACAGTTCGACCCAACTGCTCCGTTGTTGCATAGTACATGTACCACAACTTTCGCCGAGGAGCTCGAACATCTATTAAGCTAAGAACGCCGAAATATTCCACTTCCTTTGGATCATACTCATTCGTTGTTTCGATTTCTTTGAGACAGAAAACCCTTCGCATATACGTCTCCAATCGCATTTCCAAGTCGGGATATGCACCTACAAATAAATAATGGTATCTTAGATGTTGTTATTTAATGCAAAATTCTTATTGAACTCACTGTTGGGTGTGTTTATAGCTTCTTCGGTAGATGTTGTCATTTCGAATGCCTTGTAATTCATAAAAATGGTTCTTCACCTAAACTTCTTTTATACACAATTTGTTCATTTCATAAGAGCTTTACCATTTCGCCACAAACTCAAATGTTTGTGAATTGAGCTTTTAGGGCGCAACGTTTAACATGAATTTAGTTATGGCTTTCAAAAAACATTGCAAGACGGTGTTATTGACTTTGTATATTTATTGGATTTTTATTTTATTAAATAGAGCGTCTACAAAAATACACAATTTTTTCGACCCTTCTCAACGCTTTTTTCTTAAAAAAAAATGTACTTATAACCAAGCATTTAAATTGTGTACTATATTCTGTAAGAAAATATTTCATATATAATATGTTATTTTTAAAATATACACCTATACACGTTAAAAACAAAAATTGATTACAGTATTAATTCATTTATTTTCCGAAAAATTACCGGATGGTGCGAAAGGTTTAACAAATTCTTCATGGTAGAATTAGACAATTCTGTTTTTGCGTTCAACGAAATAATTAACTCTGCTTAATAAACTGTGTTAAAGTAACTTAGAATACTTTCCATCTGGATTATAGTCATCGCCCCACTAGATAATAACCTCTGAAGAGTCGTCCAGTTCGCCCTTGATCTCCGTCTCCATGGGCGCCACGGTATTGTTTGAGTCGGGCAGAATACTTTCCTCCGGCTGCGAGGCCTGGTTGATGATAAACACATTCGGATTTGTGGTGCTGCTAAGACTCATTCCGGCGGGGCCCAGAGAATCGGCAACGGGAGCTACACCTGGGGCTGTTCCTGGAGTTGCTTTGGGTTTGGCCGGAGCTCGCGCAACAGGAGCTCGCGTAGCCGGCGATCGCGTAGCTGGTGGCCGCGTAGCATTGGTCTGACTTATTGTCCTCACCGGCGTGATCTTCTTCTTGCAGAGCACCGGTTTCTCCACTCCTGCCGAGGAATTAATCGGCAGTATTGGTCCAGGAGCTGTCCTCTTTTTGGCTACTTTTGGTGCTGGCATGGACATTGACACTGTTGTATTCAAGTTGACAATCTGTGGGGGTAAACGAATGGTTCATAATGCAATCTAGTTGGTTGTTTTTCAAATATAGCTACCTGGCTTGGGTTTTCTCCAGAAATTTTCCTGGCTCCCAGCGAACTTCGCGGCGGCACCTTAGCCGCTGCTGCTGCTGCTGAGGATGTGGAGGCGCCCAACGGAGTGCTGGTGGCAGCGGGAGAAGGCCTGTGCCCTGCAGTTGGTGTGACGCCTTTTGCTTTCCGTGTGGGACACTGGAAGCCAATGATGTTCTTCTCGGCATCGAAAAGGGGAATGCTGGCGGGGAGGGAACTGCGCTGCTGAACATGCTGCACGGACTTCTTGGTGGCCTGAGTGGGCGTGGCGGAGTCCGGGGTGGAGAGCATTGAGCTGCTAGCGGCGACTGAATTCGAGGGATTTGCTGGCGCAGCGCCGACAGAAGTCGTCGGCGTGACAACAGCGTTGTACCGGACCGGCGGCAACGACGTTGTCGTGTTGGTTGCCTTGTTCAAATAACGCACGTAGTTCTCCAACAGCTTGGTGCCCACATCCACGTCGATGGCCATCACCGAGCTGGTCCGCACGATCTCCTCGATGGTGCGCTGTCTCTCGGCCACAGTCAAGGTGGCTACACGCCGGCTGAGTACCTGCAGCACCATGTCAAACACCTGCACCCGCGTCTGCAGCTCCACGCGCTGCTTGTCCGTTGGACAGATCGGTGGCAACTGGATGAGGGACGGCGGCAGACTGGCCACCATCGAGGAGCTGGCTGTTGGCGGGATGGCTGCCCCTGGTGGCAGAACCTTCTTGGTCAGCGTGGTGCCACGTGGCAACTGTTTGGTCAGGGAATCCAACACAGCTGGAGACGCAACTACTGCAGGAGTTGCGTTGGAGGGAGCAATGCTGGGAATGCTGCAGGAAGCTGCAGTCGGTGGGACAGCAGGCGGAGGCAGGGCCAAGTCAACAGATCCGGCAGAAGGTAGACTCGGGATGATCGAAGTAGGCGCAGGAGTAACAGAACCAGCAAGAGCGCTAACGGGAGCATCTTCTCCAGAAGCCGGATCGGGAGTCGGAACAATTGGCTCTCTGGCGTCATGGTTCTTAGTTCTGCCCAGCAATTCCAACTTAGCCCGCACCTTGCTCGGCATATTCTTATCCGTCTTGGAGATGAACTTGGTGGTGATGACCAGGAACTGCGGCACCTCCAGCACCGGCACCTCAGCCGTCGAATGCAAACGCGTGAAGTCAATGGCCCGCATCGGTCCGTCCAGATTTGGGCAGCAGAAGTCCAGACCCACGTCGTCGTAGGAACGCTTGTAGCGCTTTGGATAGAGGAAGGAGAACATCTTGGTTTGGCCAATGGCATGGGGATTGCTGCTGGGGGCACTGGCCGAGGGAATTGAATGAGAAGCACTCGGGCCAGAGGAACCAGAAGCTCCCAAGTTGTCAATTTGGATGAGTTGAGGGCCAATGTTCTCAATCAGTGCCGGTGGCTGAGCTGCTACTGGCGCTGCAGCATCGATGGGCAATACCGCAAGGGGATCTTCCTCCATTGCCTCCGGAGGATCATCTTCTGGCTCCGACTTCACCTCCGGAATGGGCACTGGAAGTGGCATTGACTTGGCGTGAAACATCTGCACCCTTCGCTGGTTGGCCAACTTCTGCGCAATGGCCGGCATTGTTGGATTGTCGGGAAGATGTGGTTCTGGTAGTGGATATATGGCTGTCTTCACGGTTGCCTTGGCTGGCAGGATTACCGGCAGGATTACCGGCGGTGCTTCGGCAGAGGGGGCAAGGAGAGCAGGAGCTGCCGATGGAACATGAGCTGATTGGGGAGCGAGCTGAGTTGGGCTTTTTCTTACTGGCAATTCTGGGTCTGGAGCTGGAGGATTAGGTGCAGGCTGGGATTCGGCCACTGCCTCGAGTACAGCCACCGGCTCTGTCTGTGGTGGCAACATCGACTCGGACATTGACTCTGCCGCTGAATCCGTTTCCGAGGTCACTTCCGGTTGTGGTGCAGGTGGAGGTGGTGGTGGTGGTATTGTCTGAGAGGCAGTGGCAGCGGCAGCTTCTTTCTCGCGGCTCTTTTTCTCTCGTGTCTCTTGAAGCCATTTGTTGACGGTTCGCCGATTGATTTTCACGCGAACTTTGCGTAGTTTAAGTTTTGGTGGAACCACTTTAACTGCAGGAGGAACTGCCAAAGGATCGGCCAAAGCAGCTGTTATTTTCACTGGGAAAGCTACTGTCTCCTGGGCAGGATCTATTTGCTGTTGCAGCTCCTCCTCCTGCAACTCCCTGGGTCGCTTGGGATCAACGACTTCTGTGGCTTCCGCAGGTTCCTCCGCTTTTCTTTTTAAAGCGATTGGCATGCGCCTTTTTCGGCCGCCAAGCGAGCTCTGGGTCAGGGACTGCGGTCTCTGCTGGTCTGCAACAGGTTCAAAGCGCTCCTTAGAAGCATTGCGCTGCCTTCCGAACGCGGGCGTTGGAGTGGCAGCCAATGATCTATTGCTGCTGGCAGCTCGAGTCATGTGAACCGACTTGCCGAGGGCAAACTTGCGTTGGGTCACTGTCACGTTCTCATCTTGCCTATCCAGGCGGGGCTTACGCGCACTGTCTTCGCGAGAGGAATCCCGTGAGTCAGAAGCTGTATCGGATAGCCCAGGTTTGCCTCTCGACTTGCGCTGTTCCTGTTTGGTTTTTTTGGTTGCCCCGCGTCCGCTTGCTGGTGTCCCGATCTCCTCAGCTTCGACTGTCTTGGCAACTTCCCCGACAACATCTCCAGAAGCATCTTCCGAACTTGGTGTTTCGGTTTTCTTGGGGTCTTCTATTTGGGGAAGTGGTTTCCGGGCAACCGAAGCTAGAGCAGCTCCCTCTGATTTTCTGGCCTCGATTTTCTTGGATCGGTTGACTTGAGGCGCAGCTTTCCGGGGATTAAGTTCTGTTGAGGATCCCTCCGACTTTCTGCTTTCGGCTTTCTTTGGAGCCTCCGATTGTGGAAGTGGTTTTCGTCCAGTCACAACTGAAGAAAGTAATTTCTTTGATGTTTCAGCGGTTTCCTCTGACTCTAGGGCTTCATTTAGAGTGGCTTGTGATGTGATCTTTTTCTTTTGGTCCACTTTTTTTTTGGGCTCCACTTTTTTATTGGTCTCGACTTTCTTTATGACCTCCGCTTTCTTAATGACCTCGTCCTTCTTGTTGACCTCCACTTTCTTATTGGCATCCGCTTTCTTGTTGGCCTCCGCTTTTTTGTTGCCCTCCACTTTCTTGATGACCACATCCTTCTTATTGACCTCCACTTTCTTATTGGTCTCAGATTTTCTGGCCATCTTCTGCGTCTCCAGCTGCGTCGTTCGAGGCAAAACGGGTGATTTCGATGTTTCTGCTGCTGTTTCCTTCGAAGGAACCACGGAAACAGATATGTTAACCTTTCTTAGAGCAGCCGACGATACATCCTCCTTGAGAGATTCAGTTTTCTTAGCATCTGGCAAGGATTTCTTCGTGACCACAACGGAGGAGGTACTGCTAAGGATCGGCTGATCGCTAGCCTTGACTTTTTCTGTTTCCGACTTGTTCAGTACTTTTCTCGTGGGCGTAGAAGGACTATCCTCTGCCGACAGTGGCTTGTGCAGACTGAGAGTGGAACTCAGCAGTGTCTGCACCATAGGTTTCTTGGTCGCCGGAGTTGGACTGCCTGGGTTCAACAGCTTCTTGGCAGGTGGTGCTATGATGATATGTTTTGTGACCAACGATTGTTTTGGAGCCTTTACTGCCGACTTCTTTACTGCTGACGAAGTCATGGACGGCTCGCTTTTGGCTTCTTTTACGGGCGCTGTCGTGGACGACATTATGGTTTCATTACCTATAATAGAGATGAATTGGCGCTTCTCATTGGGTTTCGCCTCCGGTTCCATTTTTGAGCGTTTAATCGCAGGACGCTCTTCTTCATCCAATAGATTACGACGGCGAGCTGAAGTTAAAGTAATAATAATATCAATGTTTAAATTCTCCAAAGATTATAATAACCAAAAATAATATAGTCATTGCTCACCTGATTTTGCAGGTTCCTGTTTGTCAATGGCCGACTTCTCCCGCTGTTGTTGTTGTTGCAGTTGCTTTCGTTTGGCCGCTTCTAAAGGATAAAAATAAAAACAAAAGTATACATTAGATATGTTCCTGTACGAATACAAAGGTAAAATGAAAATATTGGGCAAGCTATTAACCATCTGGTTGGGAGATATCCGCATCCCGCTTGCGCAAGCTGCGCTTCACCACGCTCGACGACGTGCTGGCTTCGGGTTCGTCCGTGACACTAGTTGTTTCCGCTGAGTCTGGGATTGGGCTGTGAGCGGGTTCTTCAGTTTCGGGCTCAGATACAACTGATTCTACATTAGTTATTTCTTTTGGTGGGAGACTTTGTTCAGGTTCCTTCTCATTAGAGGACTCCGCTTTGGGAGCTGATTCCTCATCTGGCTTTTGTTCACTTGGGTTTTCTTCATTTAATGGTTCCTCTTTAGGTGTATCCTCTTTGAGGCTTTGCTCTTTTGGCGATTCGTCCTTTGTATCTGCCTCCTCTAGAGTCGCATTAGTTATTGAATTAGACTTCGATGTCTCATCCTTTGATTCGGTTCCCTCGATTGTTAAGGCGTCCTTGGAAGAACATTTTGGGATAGTTTTATCAACTTCGGCACAAGTTTCTTCATCTTTAGATACGTTCTCCTGATCTGATTCTAAAATCTCCTTTGGTTCACTCTCAGTAACGTTAGCAGATTTCTTCGAGGATCCTTTGGGAACTTCTTCATTTAGGATTTGCTGGGGTTCAGAAACGGAGTCAGACTCCGAAACAGAAGCCGCAACCAAAACAGGATCAGGATTTGACTCAGCCTGAGTGCTAACTGAGGAACTTGCCGGATCAAAATCACATTTCTCTGGAGATGGAGTTTTTTCTATGCTTTCAACAATTTTTTTAAAACGCTTCATTTTGGCTGGAGTTTTCAAGACGGATGATTTCTTTGTGCTTTTGGGCCAGTTGGAAGTGGGAGTTCTCTTTATCAAAACGCGAAGCTTGCGGCAGGATATTGAGGTAGTATCAAGTTTTCTTTGGTTTGTTAAGGTCAGAGATTCGGCAAAGGATTTGGGACTTTTTTCTGAGTTGTTGTCCGGTTTTCCAGCTTTCTTCGGAACTTTACGATTTGATTTCGAAGTTTCTTTAGTTGTAATGCGGGTCTTTTTGGTTTGATCACTTTTTGCAGGTGAAATGCTAGTCGTGGGAGTGTTCTCCGAATTTTCTGATGTTTCGGCGGGAATCAAATGCTCTGAAATCGATTCCAAATTGCTGGTGATAGCTTGTTCAGGTGCTGAGGCGGTTGAATTTCCTCTATCGCTGGTAGATTTAACTTCCGATTGGTTGGTTGGTTCAGACTCAGTTGGTTTTTGAACAATTTCAGAAGTCTCAGAAGTCGGCTGGGACGGTGCTTTGTTTCTTTTACTCGATAGGTATGTTTTCGTTGGTATTTTCAATTTAGAATAACTAGGTTGGGATGTTAATACTACTGTTGAGGGATCTTTCTCACAAGAATTAGGAACAGCATGTGTTTCTTTTTCGTCAAGTCCGGTATTCTTAGTAAGTTTACTATCTTCTGAGTCCTCAACGGTTACGGCTTGTCTACGTTTTCTGATTCTTTTACTTTCTATTCCAGAGACTTGGGGTTTGTCTTCCAAATTTACAGAGTCCTTTTCCGCGGAAGATGTAGTTGGAACTGTTTCTGTAATTAAGTGTGAGCCCGCCTCTTTAGAGATGTTCTCTTTGGGTTTCTTATCATCTATCTTACTCCTGCTCCTATTTAATTGCCTTGAGACCTTGGACTTAGCTGAATTCTGTGACGAGTCGTTTGCAATTGTATCCGAGTCCTTTTCTGCAGCTGGGGGTTTAACTGCTTCCGTGTTTAACACTGAACACACTTCTTTATCGGATTCCGTGACGTTCTCTTTAGGGTTTTTATTATCACTCCTGGGTTTTTCCGTAGAATCCTTGATTTTCGCTGAATCCTGAGACGGTTCTGGGTCCGCACTGGACTCAACGGATTTCACTATATCCAATTCAATCTCTGATTTGGCTGAAGGAGGTTCGTGATTTGGAGATTTAGACGCATCAATAATTGCCTTGTCCCTGCGACTTAATCTGCCAGAGGTTCGAGCCTTTTTATTGTTAAAAGAATCACTCTGTGGAGTTTCTGGCATCAACTCCGTTTTCCTGCTGCTTGTCGTACAAAGATTATCCTCAGATTCCAATTCTTTATTGTCACTTAACTCAACGGCTCCTATTGTGTCCAATTTAATGACTTGCTTTTTGTCAACTGTCAAATTTTTCTCAGAGTCAGATTCTCTTTGATTGGAACTGTCATTTGGTTGGGTGACGATTTCAGTTTTTACTTCACTATTGACGCTTTCAGTTTTTACTTCACTATTATTTTCCTTCTCTTTTTCTATTTTTTCCTTGGCGACTTGGCTAGTATCTGACTGATCTTCAGTCAGATCCTTTTTGGAAGGCTTTTCCTTTGAAAGAACTCTTGCACTGGAAGAAAGAGATTTGGCAGAAGACGATTCGTGGGGTTTGGCCGCATCTAAGATTGCCTTGTCTCTACGACTCAACCTGCCAGAGGCTCGCTCCTCTTTGTTGTTGACAGAATCACTTTGCTGAGTTTCTAACTTCACCTCAGATTCACTGCTACTTGTCGTGGCAGGATTCTGATCGGGCTCAGCTTCCATATGGTCAGTGGGGATTTTGCTTTCTAGTTTTTCTTTTTCTTTTAACGCTCTACGGAATTTTTTGGGAGTAAAGGGTTCTTCCTCAACATGCGCTGTGTCATTTTTCTCCCTCTCATCTTTCTGCTCTGACTCGCTTGAGGTTGAAAATTCTTCAGCACACTTTGAAATAGCAGGAATCTCATCGTTCAAGTCGGCAGTAGCTTGATTTTGTTCTGCTACACGAGTCCTTCGGAATTTTTTCGACTTCCGTGGCCTACCCATCACCTTTTTCAATTCAGTCTCACTGGAGCTCGATTGTTTTGTCAATTTGGAAGCATCTTCATCAACAGCACATTCAGTTATTTTGGTGTCCTTTAAGTCCTTAGTTTCAGTATCAGCTGAAAACGGTTTGCCTTCAGTTATTTTAGTATCCTTTAAATCCTTAACATCACTATCAGCTGGATTCGGTTTGCCTTCCAAAAGTGATTTGCTATCATTTACTGATGGGTCTGGAGGTAATAGGTTTTCCTCCTTTTCGTCTTTAAGCTCTGACTCGCTTGAGGTTGGCAATTCTTCAGCACACTTTGAAGTAGAAGGAAGTTCTTCATTCAAATCGGAAGTAGCTTTATCTGCTCCACGACTCTTTCGGGATTTTTTTGACTTCGATGGCCTTCCCCTACCCCTCACCTTTTTCATTTCAGTCTCACTGGAGCTCGATTGTTTTGTCAATTTGGAAGCATCTTCAACTGGAGCACCTTCAATTAGTTTAGTATCTTTGAAATCCTTAGTTTTAGTATCAGCTGGTAACGGTTCGCCTTCTAAAGCGATATTTTCTGTGAATAACTTTTCGTTGGACAACTTGGAAGAGATCACTTTTTTTTCCACCGTCGAGCGTTCTTGCGAGGATTGGCTTTCCGCCGGAGATCTTCCTAATCTGGGACTACAACGCCTCGATGTCTCATCCATAAGTTGCGTAAGTTCTGTCTTAAGCGGGCGCTGGGAGCGACTTTCTCTTAGCTTAATAGGAGTTTGTTTATCGGACCTTAAAGCTCTTTTGGAAACTGAAGTTTCCTTAGATTCGAGCTCTTTGGATTTACTGGGCGTATTGGCTGGCGAAGAATGATTTCTTTTCTTGGTTGGTGTTACTAGGCTAGTAGGAACTTCGGAACATGACAAGGACTCTTCTGCAGGTGTTTGATCCTGCTCTTTTGCAGCAGATTTGGGTTCTTGTGCAGGCGACTGCTCTTTGGCAGGAGACAGCTGTTTATCCAGAGACTGCTCTTCAGTCGGTGGCTCTTCTTCGGTAGAAGCAACCGACTCATGTTGAAGAAGAACTTCTTCAACTTGAGACGGTTTTTCAACTGGACATGGTTCAATATCTAAAGGAAGCTCTTCAACTGGAGCTATTTCTTCAGGCTGACTGTGCTCTTTAGATGCCACGACCTCTTGAATAGTTTCCTGCTCCAGCTCCTTGACAATTTCAATTACAGGGTTTTGTTCACCTTGTCCTGCCACTGATTCCTCAGTTACTTCAGGTCTTTTACCCACTTCAGCGGCCAAGATCTCTTCAGCCAACTTAATGTCCTCAGCCAGCTGGGAATCGCTTTCCTCAAGAATATTTCCTTTTGCCTCAATTGCCTCCACATTTGCATTGGTGAGCACATTCGGTAATCCGATTTCATCAATAGCTTCAATTGCATTTTGAATTTTAACCAGTTCCTTAATTTCATCGATATTGGGTTGCGCAACTTCTTCGGTGGTTGAATCTTTTTGAGTTTCTTCGGTTCCGGGAATTAATTCCTTGTCATTGGTTAATTCATTGTAATCCTCTGCGGTATCAAACGACTTCGTTGATGTGTCCAGTAAAGGAAGCGCTTCCTTTTCGAGATTTCGCGCAGACTCTTCATCCAGCTGCACATCCCTGTCCGGAGCACTTTTGAGATCCGGTTCGTGGGCACAAGAAGTCATAATGGTATCGTTCTGGGATATATTGTCAATTCCTGTTAACTCTTTGGCTTTATCTAACTCTGCATTTTGTTCATCCTGTTCAAGTGCCTTCTGCTCTTCCAGACATACAGTCTGCTTTTCCGCTACCGCTTCACTCGTTTTTACTAAAACAGAATCCTGCTCCAAGCTTTCGCCGGTATTTTCGCTAGTTTCAGCTTTAGACTTCTCCGCATTTGGAACCTTTTTGCGGGGCCTTCCGCGTTTTCTTTTGACAGAGTCTTGCTCCCCTTCACACGCATTTTGCAGCTTTTCCTCAGTGGTTGCAGCTCGACTTGTACGATGCTTTTGCCCCCGTCCGCGTCCTTGCTTTGAAAATGATTCGCTCTTTGACCGCCGCAGCTTGCTTCCTGAGGGCTCACAGTTTTCCAACCGTTCGCTGGAGTAGGTGAGCTTTCGCACGTGGCTCTTGGTCAGGCTAGAGGTCGGGCCAGGATCCGCAGGGATATGGGATCTGGATCTGCTACGAGTTTTGGAGCCGGAGCGTTTTTCGTACTCCTTAGAACGCTCAACATCGATATCCAAGATTTGTTCGGCCAGGTCGAGGCTCATGCGCTCCAGCGCCTCGAGCATGACGCTCTCATCCACGGCACTTAGCTTGCGACTACCGCTGACCTTACTGGCCGAGGATTTGGCACTACTGCTGGCCTCCGGTGGCACCAGCTCCCGCTCCTTTTCCTCTGCCTCCTCTTTGTCACTGGCTGCGAAACAAAAAGCAGAAAAAGTTACAAATGTAAGGGCTTGGCAGAGTTCGGGGTTCACGGGGGCGCTCATGGTCAAGAAATGGACGCCCCAATGGCCATCGGTGCACACTTACCCGCTGGTCGCTCATTAGCATGCTTAACCTGTTCGGAGGAAGAGGGTTTCTTTTCGTTGGAGCGGGATTTCCTAGCACTACTCTGTTTCTTATAGATTGGCGGCGCCTCGGCGCAACTGAGATTATTCAAGTACGACTGCAGGCGCTCATTGACACCGTTCAGTACCGATTCCTGATCATTGTCAGGAAGCTCATTCTCCTTACTCTGCGGCTCCTGGCCCTCGTCGTCGGAAACAACAGGTGTCACGGTGTCTACACGGTTTGTGTGTTTACATATTATGAATATTATCAGAGGGTTGGCAGTATCAACTAGTTAATTCGCTGACTTACCCGCCACCGATGTGGTCCTGCTCGTGTCCGTTGATATGTCGATGACCGGTTCGGCATCCTCGTCCTCTGAGTCCTGATCACCGTAGAAGTCAGATTCGTATTCGTACGACGAATCGCTGTCTGAATCCCCATAGTAGTCCCCCAAAGCTTTGGGCATTACAAAAGGGTTAGTCATCAAAATAGCTATGATGTAACTCAAAGCAAAACTTACTCAAAGGATCTGTTTTGGGTTCGTGCTGCGAAGGCGTTAGATCAGTCTTTTGTGCCTTTATTATGGTCACTGTCTTGTTTTTGGCGGTTGACAGGCCACTGCCATTTACAGAGCCCGACGGCTTAGATGCTGTTGGGCCGGGATTTTGGTTCTTAGCACTTACAGCAGGATTAGCGGCAGGTTTGCTTGTAGGAGCTGGCAATGTTTTGCTGCCGGTTGACTTGCCAATGTGGCTGCTGCTGCTATTGCTGCCGCTCCTGTGTGGGGCTTCACCGTGGGACTTTCTGGCACTTGCCTGGGAGGTACTGGGCTTGGGTACAGTCAACCTTTGCGAGGGACGCATCAGGGCTTCGCCTATAGTTGGGGATAACGTCATTTATTTTGTGGAATGCTTGATTTACGGAGCATTAAGGATACCCACCCAAATCGTCCACCGAATCAAAGGACGAGTAGCGTTCGCGCCGCTTGTTTGGCTTCGACTTGCTGCTCTTCCGGCTGAACAGGGCTTCCAGGGCATCGTTAGACTCGTCACTGGAGGAGTATGGGGTTGGGGATCGACGACGCCGGTCCTTGGACCTGGAGCCAGAACCCTCGTTAAGCAGATCGTCATCGTCGTACTTGCCGTGGAAGAGTTTCTGAAAGATGTCCGCATCGATCGACGACGAGTTGCTCGAGTCTGACGAAATGCGACGCGGACGGGAGATGCCGGACGAGGAAGCTGGCGGAGCTCCCGTTTTGATTCCTGGAAACACACAATTTACACAGTCACTTTACACATATTTAATCCGTATTTATAGCATTGCTGGAGGGATACTCACCTGGCAGCACCAAGTCTTTGTACTCGTCCAGATATTCTATGTCCTCCATGATATACTTTTCATGTGCGTCGGCCGATTTGCGAATTCTCAGATGCCACTCGGTTCATCAAATGAACTCCGCAAACTGTGACAAAACTTATGGGATGATTCAGCGGACCGGGCATATACCCATAAGACGCACCAAGCCAAGCACTTATTTCTCTTTTTCACAAAAAAAAACTCTTCGAAATCAAGCAAAAATGATGCCGCTGCAATTAAAGTGAACGTAATGCCAAAGTGCAAAAATGCCAAAGCGTGTATAGAGCCCGCGCTTCGGTGTGCCCGTTTTTAAGCAGTGCACCGGTTTTTTTCAGTCCCTGGTGCAATATTTAAAAAGTCCCATCAATTAGGGCATTCTAAATTACTGTAGATTACTAATAATTAAGTTAATAATTGTTTGATGAGCGCAAAGTTAATTGCGCTTGCCCGGCAGAAAATTCTAATAATACCACAATAACACGGTTGCAATCGATATTCGAACCAATCGGGTTTAGCGTTTATTTTCTGGCTATAAAATGTATATGTCGACTTAAATAATTATTATTTTCATATAATAATTAAACATAATAATATTAAAACATTTTACTTATATAGGATAACAATACTTTACGTTACCATTGTTGTACCACCTTGCTCTATGAAGAAAACCAAAAATTAGAACCATAATTATTTATACCAGGCACCGTAATCGTTATAAGCGATATTCAAAAAAATCATAAATAATAATTATTATTGAATTGTAATGCTTTTGCTTAGAAATAATAATTATTTTTGAGTTTTATTATATATATATAAAAAAACATGGTAGAAAAAGACGCTAAAGCGGAATTTGGTCGCTGAAGCAGAAAAGCCGCCTGTCTAAATATGCTATAAATTAAAGCATAAATATAACACAAGCACGTGTAAAATTACAAGCGCGTGCACCATAAGATTTTGAATTGCTTTAAACAAATATTCACAAATACACCATTATAAAGACAAGATATGTCTTTGTCAATTACAGGAATATAAATATATTACAAGTATAAAATTTTCAATAATTTAATATTAACAATTGAACCGATAGTTGAGCCTGTCTGTTCGTCCCATCCCCAGCTGTCTAATCCGCGATAGTTGACAGCGCTGACACACGGCCTATCGTTCGCGGTGCCCACCACCAAAGTGACGTGGAACGAAAAAAGACGAAGCCACACGAAGCCGAGGCGAGCACGTCAGTTCACAAGATTCAGATTCCACTTCGCCTGTTCACATTTTCCAGATCGGTCGGTCCAGAAAAACAAATAGCCCAAAATGGTGAGTTAAACTGAGAAGCAATTAGTGGCCCCGACTAATTACAAACGCATTCACAGCCCGCTCCTGCAAGTTCGACGTCCGTTGGCAGCGGATCGCGCTCGCCCAGCAAATTATCGGCGCCACGTAGCGCCGGATCCGGAGGCGGCAGCACCCTGAAGCAGCGCAAGACCACCACCAGCACTACGGCGGCCCGGAGCCGTGCACCCGGCGGAGCTGGAACAGGTGGCATGTGGCGCTTCTACACGGACGACTCGCCCGGAATCAAGGTGTAAGTACTGCTCTGCTGTACCATAACCATTATTAAAGACCCTCACTTATGACACTCTTTACTCTACCGAAATCCCACAGTGGACCCGTGCCCGTGCTGGTCATGTCGCTGCTCTTCATCGCATCCGTCTTCATGCTGCACATCTGGGGCAAATACAATCGTTCTTAAGCCATTCAATTCAATAGCCAATAAAATACTTTCACCTCAACGAACGTGAGCACTGTCGACGTCACCATTTCTTTCGCGGCAAGATAACAAGAGATCCATTCCGCTTGTTGAGGCATTGGTGTGTTTTCCGCATGAAATTAATTATACCTAAGCCTAAGTTAAAGACGTGTTTAAACGTAATGCATATTTTCAAAATTTATCGTATTTTTCCCGACCGCTCGCTGGGCTGGGAATCCATTCCACAATTTATCGTGGTCATGTGCATCTGAAATTCCACGCGCAGCCGTTGCAATTCAAAATTTGTAAGACATTCAACGAAAAGTGTTAAGAACAAATAAATTTTGTATTAAACAAATGTTTTGGTTTGTGTTTGGAGGTGGGCGTGTTACAATGGACTTGGTGGTGTGTATAAATCTATTCAACAAGTGCTAAACACAAATACATTTTGTACAAAACAAATAAATTTGTTTTAACAGTGCTGTAACAAAGTCGATGTACTAAAGACACTGGATGCTTGTGTCACCCATAAAGTGAAGTTCCCTGAAGTACTTTTTTCGTTGAGTGCATCTACGTTCCCGGTGATTTTTTTTACCGCACAATAAACATCCGTTGGTGTGCTTTAACTTTCTTTTCCGGAATTTAAGGCAATTGGTTTCAATGTGGCCCCGTACGCCGCACAGCCAGCAGTGTTGTTTGGTTTGGTAAAAGGAGCAGTTGTGTCCCTCTCTTTGAGTGCATCTCCTGCAATTTTTGCAGTGCACATAGTTGGGTTTTACGCAGGCATCACAGTACTCACAGTGCCTATATGTCTGGCCATTCAGCGAGGCGCATTTCCCGCAGCGATTGCAGTGAATGTTCTCCTTGGCTGTGTGTAAATCACACTTTTGGCAGTACTTATAGCCCTCTTCCGCGGGCAGGTGAAGCAATCTCAGAGGCACATTGGTGAACATCCTCACGGGTGATCCACAAAACCGACTTTGCTTGCCTACATTCGTGTATCTCAGGTGATTGGTGTAGTTTATCCTGTAGTCGCACATTTCCATCTCCGGCATTTCCTGCTTGATGTGATTAGCAGAATAGTAGGGGAATATAAAGAATATGGACAGTGGAGTGGAGGGCAACTGGTTGATTCTGTTGTGGAGTTTTCTCAGGCTGCGCAGCGTGTTGGAAATTAGTTCAGTGCGACAACCAAAGGGAGGATCTGTTACTATCAGCAATTGGTCCGCACTGGAAATTGGAATTCCATCGTAGGGGTTACCAATACTTATGGGTTAATATAAATATTACCTGGTAGCCTCCAGGAACTGTTCAAAGGGCTTGCGGTTGTAGAAAAAGTGATTATTGCACATGTTGTAGAGGCAGAACTCCTCTGGTCCTAGATAAGCGGCAAATCTCTCATCGAGGTCCAGAAGAAAACTTTGCAGTTTGTGGCGGAGGTGGAAATGCAAACGTGGTGCGCCCAAGCAGATTACCTTGCTAATTAAAGGTAAATTAAGGATTGAAAAAAAATCAATAGATTTCCTCACCTGGCTCCTATATTTTTACACTGATTAGCCAAGAAGTTGAGAGCAGCTTCATCGAAGAAATACTGGGCATTGACTTTATCCTGGGAAAGCGCGGTAAGACTTAATGTGGGATCAGGAGCAGCGGGATTCAGTGGTTTTCCGGATGAAGAGGGATAGTCCCTTTCAGGAACTGAGTTTCCCGAGCTATGACCCTTCCATTGATCCGCTGGCAGGTGAAAATTGCAAAGTTTCGATTCCCGGTGAGCTGAGCAGGCGTAGTATCCCTGCCCGGGAAGCTGGGATTCCCGGTAAAATAAAACCGTGGGTCCATGGTCGCAGCGGGGATGCTGATCGCCGGGATCAGCGTCATCCTCCTCCATTTCGAGCAGTAGTTTATCGCTTTTATTTTCAAACATTTTGCAAAACGTTTATTTTTCGTCAAAGTCGAACCATAAACAAATCGAGTAAGAAGAAGAAAATTACAGTGCTCTCTCTATAGAGTGAAAACTTGAATAGCACCAGCACCAAATACCCAAATACCCAAATAAAAAAAACAATTTATTTAAAATCTTTTTTTATATCATAAAACACATTTTTAAAGTATTTTTCTTAATGTTAAATAAGAAAACAAACGCCGCAACGTTTAAATGGCTAAAACTACGCTTCCAATATACATAAATTCTTTATGTATTCTCAAAACTAGGTACAAAATATTTACTTTACTACTAGGGAAGTAATCAAGTTTTAATTTCATAAATAAATAATTTTTTGACTTAATATAATTCCATAATTTTTTAGAATTAAAAATTAATGAGTGCATTATGCAGAAATTAAACATTTTAAGAGTGGAACCAGTGTTAAGTAACTGGATATCTTTCGGGGTGACCATTTCAATGTAAGATGAGTCAAAATGCGTTAGAGATAGATAACATCGATGACCGCTTGCAAACATCGATATGACCGATAATTTGGTATACTTTAGTTTACTCCTCTTGGCCACTCTAAAAGCCAAAAAAATCTATAAAAGCAACGACCAATCGCTCAGAATTTCTTTTAAAAAATTTTTGGTGCTGTCGCTGAGTGAAAAAAAAGAAGAAAGTAAAAACGATGGCGTCAGGGCAAAGCCATGTACAATTACTATTTTTTAAAGCGAAGAAAAGTTAATAAACCAGTCGGCTGCAAGCGCAATTAATGGATTAAAAGTAAGAAAAATATATTATTGTGTTTTCTGTTTTTGGTTTCTTGATGAATGTTCTATTTCCGAAGAGTCGAGTGCTAGGTCGCAAGATTTGGCACTCTTCCTGTAGAAAGAATAAGAACGGCCAACTGATAAACCAAAAATATTAATTAGAGTGCATTTAAAATGCAATGTGCAAGGCGGAAAATTAACCTTAATTGTCTTTGTTCTAGATGTAAAAAAAACACGTGGCCAGAGAGAGAGAGAGAGCCGGCATTGCCCTCCATAGGTATGTAGTCCCCTCTCGCTCTAACTTTATGAATTGTTTTTCATTTTTCTGATGATAAGTTCAATCTGAACAAAGTGCTGTTGATTTACAACTTAAAATTAAACCAAAAGGATTCTGAGAACTTATTTAATTTACTAATGATTAAAATCTTTGATGATGATATTAACCCCCAGTATTTATTTCTTATTTTTAGCCGCTCCATTTTGAAAAGCCGCCATTTTCATGGATCAGTCTGGAAAAAGTGTGATTAAGGTAATTTAAGTGTTATGTAAATATTTATTCAAATTATTTTCCTGATGATAAGTTTAATCTGAACAAAGTGCTGTTGATTCACAACTTAAAATTAAACCAAAAGGATTCTGAAACCTTAAAAGTTCAAATTAAGTTTAAAAGAAAATGGCGATGAAAACCTAACCTAAATTTTTTATTATTTTTAGCATCTTTCTGGAAATTTGTGAACGTTCAAACTAAAATTCCATCACCATGTGGTAAGTTAAATTTTAAAATAAATTTATCGAAAATAAAGTTTAATTGATGACAAGAAATTACCGTTTGATTTTCGTGATATAAAAACCCAAGGCTGCTATTTTATAGTAACTGATTATCTTTTTGATCAATAATAAGTTGCTTTGTTTGTGCATTTTATTAATTTAAAATATTCTTTTATTTTTAGAAATATTCCTGATTGATAGAAAACTCAGAGAAGCACACCTACCTATAGGTTTCAGATAAGGTAAGGAAATGTTTATTTGCTTTTTGTACATTTTTTTTAGTGATGAATATAATTACCGTACGACTTCTGTGATTAAAACTAAATGGCTGCAATTTTTGCAACTGAACCAAATTTTAATTTTAAAAATATGTTTTTGTAGTTGGATTTGCTAATCTATTTTCTCTTTTGCAGTTTCGACAAGGCCTTTGGAAATCAATGCTGAATTGACTCTATTAAACCAAAAAGGTGAGATTTATGTCTAGTTTTTCAAACTGCTGCAAGAGTTTAGATGATGAATACCTTTTATCTATTAACTTTCGTTCTACTGAGAAGAAAATGCGGAGAAATATTACTGATACATTACAACTCGAGCAGATTATTGTTAAAAAAAATGAGTATCAAATTATGACTACAACAAACTCTTCTTTTTAGAACATTCTGTTTGATGTTGTTGAATGGCTGTTTTCCGTCGTGCTCATACTATCAGTAAAGGTAGGTTAATATATAACATTGAATTTTAAATGGTTCTATGATGTTACTTCTAGTATAGTTCATTAGAAACAAACATGTTACAAACTTTTTGAAGCTGATTAAGCTATTTAACATTGCTTTTTCTGACATTTAATGAAATCAAATTAAAATGCATTTTAAATTATTTTAGATAATGTTGTGCTGCAGTTCAAATTCCGTATTAAAACCTTCTAGATTAATGTGCAACTAAGGTAAGCATAAACTTTGTTTTGATAATAATTTTTTGTTTTAATTTAATTTTAATTGAAAAGCGTTTGCTCTGATGATATTTTCCTATCTCAGGATTCCCTCTTCTGAGTAGAACCCTAAAACAACCGTGCTGTTCACTTTCCCTGTCTGAAAACAAACGCTTTACAAATAAAATGTAATGTTCAAATTTTTTAGACGTATAACTAAAAACAACTATTTTAATTACAGCTCGTCTTTCTGGTTAATTTCGAAGCTTGCTAGCTGTATAAGGTGAATACCCTTCTTTTATTTCATAACTATTTTCAAATGATGAAATTTTCCGTCCGTGGAATTTTTACAAAGAAAGAACCATGCTGACTTATTATGTCTTCTTTCCCCAACTGATCAATTAATAATAAAGCATTTTAATTATTATTTAATATATCAACAAAACTAATTCATTTTTTATCTTTGTTTCAGATTCGTAAACATTTATCTTCGGCATTTAATGGCTTCTAAACGTGGGCTTATAATCTGTAATGTTTATGGCAGGACGGCTTTTGGACTGTTTTGATCTAATGGAAAGGTAATTAATTACATTTAGAAATACTTTTAACAATTTTTGAAATGATGAAAATAATGTCCGTAATTTAAACTGAGCAACACCATGCTGTTTGAATGTCATTTCCCCAATTGATCAGTTATTTAAAACAATAAATATTTGTCTTCCTTGAATATATTAACTAATTTGATTTCGTATTCTTTTTTCAGGCTGTCCCAGAAAATGTGTTACGACTAAAAAAATTTAAACTAATTTGTCAAATAAAAGCTATAAAAGTACCTAAATTAATGTGTTTATTTAGCAACCTTGGGTTTTTATCTGGCTTAGACTTATTTATATTTGTGACGATATACAATCGTGCAAAATGGGTATCTAAATAGGTAACAGTAGAAGCAATTACAAAATATTTTTTGAAGAGGGTTTATAAATAAGTGAAAAATAGGTTACCAACAGAAAATGGTTAACCATTTTTGGCGCCATCAATTGGCTGGCGTGAGCATTTTGTGTTACGCCATCTAGCGTACTTAAACTGAAGCGTTTTATTTTGGAGAGGTGGCAACGTTGTTGTGATTTGTAGCAAGAGCTCGTTGCTATAAAATGTAATTTAAATTTACGCGGGTACTATTTTTATTTGTTTGTATGTATTGCTTGTATGAAAATAATAATCTTTTGAATATTTAAACCATTTTTAAATAAAGCAGAATGAAATGCATACCACTCTGTTCTTTTCACCAGAACAACAGGATTTCATTGCAGCTTTAAATACTTTCTCGGTTTGGTAGAACTTTAGTTCTCTGTTAAACTACTTAAATTTCGTTTATAAATAAGTTACAAATTAACGCATTTCTTTTCGGCAAGAATTTGAACAATATTTATTTTGCAAAAATATAACCAACTCGTGCCCTGCCATCCGTATGAGCAACAACAACATGAGCTAGAAGATGGAACGCCCCCCTTTCAGGGGGAACGAGGGGCGGTGTCAACTATTTTCAACATTGTGCACACATTTCATTCATTGAGTGCATGTTGAGCATGAGCGTACTATATTTACAACAAGTAACGACTACAGCAACGACGATGTGTGCGTTGCACTTTATGCGCTTTTATGGGATTTTATGGGTCATTTTAAATGACAGTTAGTTGGTTTTTTATTAAGTTGATAATTATCTCGGGTAAAAGGGGGGTGTGCAATCAAAACGCAATGTATTCAATTGAGAATTTTCCTTTTCCCATTCAAACTACAGTTATTTACAACTTCACTTGAGACTTCAGCAAAAGAAAGAAGGTTTTCTATGGCTGGTTTTGTGTGCACTAGAAAATACAATGTTCAATTAATAATTTTTTTTAATTTTTTTGCAATACAATTAAAAAAATTAAAGCTTATTTTAAAAAGTTTGAGATATTGTAATAATATATGTATAAATATAAATATAGAGTTTTGATATTTACAAAAACTTAATTTGAATGTGGTTTTAAATAAGATATTATATTATATTTAAAATCATGGAATAACTTATAACTAACTTTCTACTATTTTCGAATGAAATTAAATAAATTATTATTCTAAGTTAATTTTAATATAATAATGATTAATCTCTGCAACTACATGATTTAAGAATATTAAAAAATTGTATGAAAACTTAAAAACCTTTCATACGTACATAAAGTCATATCTTGAAATTTAATGCTTTATGTTTAAAACATTTTTGAACAATTTTAATGATGTTCCTCTCAGTGTTTTTCGTGGTTTGCTAAAGGCTGGCAGGAAGTATTGGGTGTCGTCGTCGTACGCTGCCAAGTCGTCGAACTTTTTGCACTCGATATGTGACGACAAGGACATCGCTGCGCTTTTTCACTCCCGAAACTGATAAAGATAAGGCCAAGGAGTCTGTCGCCGCTCCACTCTGAGTGGATCCTGCAGGAAACTTTGCCTTTCTGCCTGTCTTGGTTCTGGACTCTGTCTTACGGCCCTCTGGCCCTGGTTTTTGCGGTTAACTGGCAAGGAGCGGGCCAGCTGCTCAAGTTGGCCAGCATTTCAGTGACAATTTATTTTCTGTGCTTTGGCATTCGCTTTTCAGCAAATCGAAAAACTATTAAATTGGGCTGAAAGCCAGCAAACGAACGCCAAAGAGCCAGAAGAACAAATAAACGCAAAAGAAATGAGGGGGAAGTATTTATTTCCGCAAAATATAGAAAGTCGTATGCCCTATTTGTAGGATAATTAGGATTCCAGGGTGCTTGTCCTTTGAGGACGATTACTTTTGAATTTCCGATAGACTTTGTATTGCGTTTGGGTTGAATTATAATAAGTCCAAGAGATTTAAGAGCATGCATATTCATTATTTTATTATTCAGTGAAAATTAGTGTTAACTATTAAGAATGGAAACCTTTTTTATCTCATGACCCCTTGAACTGATTTTAAAGTGTTGAATCTGTAAATCTGGGTTACCCATGTGAAATAACGCATTTAAAAAGTAAATCCTTTGATGATTCCCCTTGTGGGATTTTAGCGCCCACTTGCCACATTCCGTGTCCTGCTAAGAGTATTCAAAGGCAAACTTTTGCCGTTTTTTGCCACGACTTACACTGGCAGAGATTTCGCTTTGTTGACAGTCACGCGACTTCTCTATGCTTTGGCACATTTGATTTGGCTGCAACTTTTCACCTCGCAAAGCAAGAACGGCGACGACATCAAGTTAATTGGATGGCAAAATTGGGGACTGGGGAGAGAACTCGCATGTTTCAAGGGGGGTCGCAGGACTAATGGACCAAAGGACCAAGGAATGGATCTCTGTGAACGGGTGACAAGTGTGGCCAAGGCAACGGACCCCGATTAGTATCTAAGCCAGAGGGAAACACACGACACACATGGCATTCAACCATTTTGAGGCGAGGGCGAGCAAACAGACATTAACACGTGAGTGCGGTTATCTCTGTGATCTCGCAATCTCTGGATCTCAAAATCTCTGAATCCCCGAGTGTGTTTGCTATTTGGCACCTCTTCAAAACAAATACCCTACAAATTCAAAGCGAGGCGGGCCTTTCGAGTGACACTAAACTAATTAAAAGTTTGTCAGACCCCGGGTTTTGGGGTTTGGCCAGTCCATATGGCCTCAGCTAGGCTAGGCTATGGGCTTATTGGCATAAATTACGCATTGAAATCACGTAAGTGTCGGGGGGTAAATTTAATCAGAGAGTGTGAGTGCGACGGCTAAGCAAGAATTAAATTTAGCAACATAACCAAATCAAAAAAGGGACCTTTCCGAACCCGGACATGGCACACGGACACGAACCATTTCCCCCTGTGAACGGAGCAGCAAAAAATTTGCACACAAACTACGTGACTTCAATTCCTCAGTGCGGCTGAAAAAAATGCAAAAAAAAAAGCAGGGTGTACAAGCGTGTGTATCTATGTGGTTACCTCTCAATGGCTTTTGTTCGGACCCGTGTACAACTTTTAATCCTTTGCACTTTTGTCAATGTCAGAGACGAGATAGACTCAGATTTAGATTCTGCCCAATGACAAACAATATAAAAAATGTCACACCGTCTATAAACAACGAAGTTGTAATACCCTTAAATGAAATTGTATTCAAAATAGCTTAAGAAATATATTTAATAATAATTTATGGCTTAAGCTAAGTCAGAAGAAAAGAAACCAATACCGATTGGTGGTATTGAAGGCATTAACTTATGTTTTGTCGTTTTATTTTGTTCTTAAACATAATAGTCTTGCTTAACGAAGCTAATTCTATTATTAAGCTATTTTCCTTAAGATTTTGGTTGTCTACCCAGAAAAACATAAACTAATATATGCTTTAATGCTATCTAAGCGCTTCAAAAAGTGGAGTATCCAAAATAAACGCTTTAACTGTTTTAATTTATTACAAACCCGGTGTAAATGCTAAGCCATAATACCCTCACAGAAAGTGACAGCACGAAAAAGGTCGAAATAAACGGGGAATTGCGATCTGTTTGGGAAATAGTTTTTCACCACAATGACATTTCAGTTTTCCGCACACGGACAGTTTTTCAGGGCACGGGAAGGTGGCCAATAAAATTAATTGATTTTGAGGTTGCTTTTTTTTTACGGCTGCTGATGCTGTAGCTGCTTTTATTTTTTTGGTTGGTGATTTTGATTTCTGCTTCTGGGACAGTTGACCGCATATGATTGGCGGTGCTAGATGCAACCGAATAGTGGCTTTTATGGCTTTAAGGTGACCCAGGGATTTCTAATTATATTAGCATTGATTTTAAAGAAATCTCAGCATTGAATTACAAAGCGAACAACTAAAATAGTAGGAAAATAATTTAATTGATAAGGCAACATAGTAAAATACTATGAAACAAATAAAAAAGGGCTGCATTTTGAAATTTCAAATAAATGGCAAATAAATAAAATATGGCATGTAATTGGCGTATCGAAATTCGGATTAAAATTTTACTTATTTCCTTCCTCTCCATTGAGTCCTTGGCCAAAGGAAGGGGAAGCCAGCAATTTTGAGCGTAAACGTAAACGAAAATATAAACGTAAACGCTTTCAACAACTCTCCCTTTGCATCTGGCATTGATTTCCATTTTCCATTTTTATTAACAAGCATTTAAATGCAATGAACTGAAATGCGAATCTCTCAATGCGAACGCACTCTGTGTATAAATATTTCTGGCTGCCCTTTGTTAAATTATTTTTATGGCTTGCCATAGTGTAGATGGCATTTCATGGCTGATTTAACCCGGCTGCCTAACAGTTTCGTCTGGGGATATATAGTATATTTTCTGTTTTCCCTACCGTTTTTCCGATTGCGATTCTTCTGCTTCTGTTATTGCTGTTGTTATTCATTCGTTCACATTTTTTCATATGTCAGTGGCGTAAATGAAAACGCAAACGGGGCGTATGATTAATGTGGTTTACATATGAAAACGAGACTCTGTCCCAGAACTCCATTCTCTCCGTCTCTTTCTCCGCCTCTGTTGCTGTCTCTTCCGGCTTCTGTTGCTGTTCTTGCTGTTGTTGTTGGCAGTGCTTATTCAATAATTTATTGCTGGCAGCCTCAGCCACTTACAATGTCAGAAAAATATGCGCGAAATATGCATAAAAGTATTACATGCAGGCTTTTGTCAGTTGGGCGGAATGTCACACTTCCGCCCTTCATATTTATATTTTTCCACTATGTAGCAACCCATCCCTATCACCTTGCAAGCCGAAAGTGAAAGCTTAAGCCACAATAAATCACAAAATATGGGATTATCAATTAATAGGCTGCCGAGAATTTTACACGGCCTTTAAAATTGATAAGCAATTAAATTTAATGAGACTTAAAAATAGAAAGGTTGAAGGTGCACATACATTAAACTGAAACTTTAAATGCTTACAAAAATTAATTGTTAGATTTGGGAAGACATTAAATAGTTTTGGTTTTCTTAAATTTCGATGTGCTTGGTCAGTATTAATGTCATTGTTATGAGTAATGAGTAATGAGCACAGTCAGTTTCGCTTAAACTATTGAATGTTTGCATATAAGAACAATATTAATTTCCGTTTTCCTAATAATTATTCAGCTTACACTTAGAATAAGCTGATATAAGCTTGATAAAAGCATATTAGCTTTCATACATAACGATAATAATTTAAAATGATAATTCCTTAATAAAACCCTTTCCCACAGTGTACGTTCATAAATAAACAATTCATTATCAATAGAGAACCATAATGTCGCATGACTGATGAGATTGCTGGCTGAACTTGAACCCGGGGCGATAAATCTGCAGTTCCCGTTCTGATCCGGAACGCCAAGTCGGAATTTCGGAGCGCTCGCATGGGGCAGTTCGAAATGAGTAGCCAGAAGATTGGGATTGTGGGCAGTGGATTGATTGGCAGGGCCTGGGCGATGCTCTTCGCAGCGGCTGGCTATCGAGTGCAGCTCTATGACATTTTGGAGAGCCAGTTGTCCTTGGCATTGCAGGAACTGGACAAGGAATTGCATGGTCTGGAGGAGAAGGGTTCGCTGAGGGGAAGTTTGCGGGCCTCGGAACAATTCGCCCTCATCGAGGTGACCACTCGACTGGAGGAACTCACCAGGCAGGCGGTGCACATACAGGAGTGTGTTCCCGAGGTGCTGCAGCTGAAGAAATCCCTGTACTCGCAGTTGGACGAGCTCCTGGAGGAGCAGACAGTGGTGGCCAGTTCCACGAGCACCTTTATGCCATCGTTGTACAGCGAGGGACTCAAGAGGCGGCAGCAGGTGGGTTAGGTTTTTGTCTCAAATATCAATAACTGCGATTTACTCCTCCCAAACAGATGCTGGTGGCCCATCCACTGAACCCGCCGTACTTCATCCCCCTGGTGGAGATTGTCCCCGCTCCCTGGACTTCCCCTCAGTCCGTACAGCGAACTCACGACCTCATGCTCACCATTGGCCAACGTCCGGTGACCCTGAAGAAAGAGATCCAGGGCTTTGCCACCAACCGCATCCAGTATGCCATCCTAAACGAAGTGTGGCGCTTGGTGGGCTCCGGCATACTCAGCGTGGCCGATGTGGATCGAGTACTGAGTCAGGGACTTGGGTTGCGATACGCCCTGCTCGGATCGCTCGAGACAGCCCATTTGAATGCTCCAGGCGGTGTTGCTGACTATTTCCAGCGATTTGGCGGAGAAATCTCGGCCGTAAGTGCCACCTATGGAGAAACCCCAAACACGCAGGAGGATCGGGAAACGCTGGAAAAGATTGCCAGGCAGTGTGAGCAGCTGGTGCCCCTCGAAAGTCTCGAGGAAAGACGCGCCACCCGCGACGAGTTCCTCACCCAGCTGGCCAAACTAAAAAAGCTGTTTGAATAGGAAATTAATTGCTGCGTTGTGATGTTCCCTGAATAAACTGCGAATCAACTAAATGGGTCTGTGTCATCTTGCTTCTCCTCCTTCGTTCGCTTCTCCAGTTTCGTGCATTAATGAAATTAATTTTTGCGGCAACCGGAAACGCTTTTCCAGGCGGAGCATTCAAGTACAACGTGTCACATTTCCGCATCGGCATGCTCTCGCCCTCGCTCTCGACGCTTTTCTTAGTTTTTCCATTACAATTTTCCCCGTTTCGGCACTTGGCCTGATGAATGCTGGCGGCCTTAACTCATTTTTCATTTCGGGCGCTGCTGAATTCTCCCCGGACTAAGAGCTGCTTAAGTGAAAAATCTCTATTTGAGCGCCGGATTTGTTTTCACTGCGAATTGCTGGCGAGCTCTTTAGCAATTGCTTTAAATATCAGAATTTGGTGTGTTTCCGCCTGAGTGAAAATTCCTATTACTAACTTAAAATGGTCCTTTTTTTATGTTACTGAACAAGAACTACGAGTTCAAAGATGCGCCTAAAAAAGCAACACTAAATATAACATCCATCTGTGCATTTCGAAAGTAAACACGTTTCTGAAAATATTAAATATTGCACCAAAAGTTAATTTTTGGAAAGGTTAAATAAATTTGATCGGAAAAATAACAAATTTGTTTTGTGAAATCTCAAACTTTGAATTTTAGACTTTTACATTGCACAAAATAATTCAATTTAATAATACAATTAAAAAAATAACAATTTTTTAAACTTCGGGAAGCATTCTCTAATAATCGATCCCGTCCAATTAAAATGTAATTTTAATTTATAATTTTATTTAATAATGTTTCCATTTTTAAAAAACCCTTTATCTGATTGCAATCAACTTTGCGAAGCCATCTTGATTAAAATGCTCGCCACCAGACTGTCGGCCATATTTCAATGCGAAGTATTTAAAAGAGTGGCTATGGCCATATAACAATTAAAGTCGCATAATTTCAACCAGCCTGCTCCATGGAGCTGGATTTTTAGGGGGTAGGCTACTGGGGAGGATCCCGAATCGTCGGCGGCCCTGAAATTGTTGATGCCGGCGGCGGCGTCGGCTAAAAACTGCAATGTCATTGTTGCGAGCCAGCGGGCGGTGGACAAAAAGCATGTGGCTAGTAATTCATTACCCAGACCATCAGCCATTGGAATTTCATAGAGGGGAATGTAAGGGAGCAAAGGGGACAGGACAATTGCACATGGCGCTGGCGAGCCAATGCCATTTAATGTGCAAACAAAAGGCGTTGACAAAAAATTACATTCGACAAAAAAAAATGACAAAAGGCAAAAAGAGTTGGCCAACGTTATGAGGTGGTCGTAGGTATTTGTAAAGTGCAGACAGTGCACAATGGCGATGTGGGGGGTGCTGCTAAAAGTTAAAATAACGAACGATAATTAATGGAATGACAACATAAAGCAGGCAACAATTTCAATGTCCTCTCTGCCTTACTTTGGCTTACAACTCCTTGTTTTTTTTTCTTTTCATTTTTGCAGGTTTGAGCCAGACGTTAGGACCTGCTGTTTATTGAACTCTGTGGGTGGGTGTTGTTGGCAAAATGGCGCTAAAGCGGAAACGGAAGGAAGCCATGTGTCGGGAAAGAGCGGAAATGCATTGTTTTATGGCCAATTTCATTTGTGTGTGTTTTTCACAAGGGACTAAAAGAGAGACAGAGGTAAAAGCAAGAGCTGGAGGAATGGATGGATGCATGTAATTAACGCCAGCGGAATCAATGTAATTAATTTCAAGAGAGTTTGAGATGGAGTAAATTGTCAAAAAAAACGACTAAAGGATACTTGGAAGGCATTTGAATTTGTTCCAATCCAGTTTCGCCACCACCAAGTTCAAAGGGATTTGCTCGACCACTAATTAAATTCCGGACACAAAGAAAATCTCCGATTTCTTTGTCCTGGCAGCATCATTAATTATATCCACGCTGCCTTCGCTTTTCCTCACCTTACAAAAAACATAAAACAACACGTAGACAAAGAAATAACAATTTTTCAATCCCAACGACATTTGTTCTTGTTAGCTCAGTTGTTAACAATCGATTTGACGTGTTCCTTCGGACCTTCGGGTCAAATAGGACCAGCAGGAGTAGCAACAAATAAGGGGCCATGTTTTATGGCCTAGGGGCTGGGCCACGCCCCCGCAGCCAGCAGACAGATAGAGCCCCGAATAATAAATCATTCCATAAAACATTTACGCCTCGAAGCGCACAAAGTTGATTCGAACCGAGAACCTAGTCGATCCGATCCATTCCATTCGATTCGATTTGATACATTACATTCAAAGTATGTGAGGATGATAAATAAATAAGCAGGTTGTGAGGGGAATGAAGATGTCAAAGCTTCGGATGCGGGTGAGAGGACTAAGAAGGCATCCTTAAATCATCAGCTAACCTCTTTCATTTATCATCGTTGGAGGCCAAAGACAAAATCATCCGGGGAGATTCATTTAACTTCAACATCTCAAACGGGCGACCCAAAAATCACAAAACAAACCATTGCAAACAATGGCAAACAACAGCAAACAATTGCCCGGAGCTTCAAGTGTCTTCGAGGCAATTTCCCATTTTCTTGGCATCGCTCTCCCGCTGACATTTATCTTGATCGACCTCAGTGGCATTTTTTGCACCGCAGCAAATTCAATTTGCTTTATTGATAACACACAATGGACACACAATAAGTACTGAAACAGATCAAAGTTGAGCGAAATAAAAATGCTCTAACTCGAATAAAATTTTTTAAAATTATTTCAAGCCAATACTAAAAAAAAGAGCATCATATAATGGCCACAGTTTATGTCTAAAAAACTCCAAAGATGTCTGCAAAACGTTTTAATTTTCTTAATCTTCTTTCGTTTTTTTGTGGCATTTGTTGTGGTCAGCCAATAAATCAGTGCCTTTGAAATAATTTATGTTCTTCGACTGGAATTTTCATTTATCTGTCGAACGTAATGCCATTACTCGGGGACCATGGGCACTTGGCTAATCGAGGAGGCCAAGAATTCGACTTCATTATGACAAATTTGTGTGCTCAAGAAAATTAATGTCCTTGACCCAAACTGGTTGCATTATTAAATCGCTTTAAAGGATTGCATGCTGCATGCCTTTATCCTCGCCCAAAAGTCACGTCCGCGTCCTTTTCTAAGGTTCTTCGTCGTTTTCGCCCGTCAGCGCTTTTTGTTGCTTCTCGCTTTTTTGTGTCTGGAGCGGCGGTCAAAACCGCAGACGCTTCGCAGGCGGACGATGGGCAAATTGTTTGGCCAACACAAAGTTTATTTAATTTCTCACAGAATGGAGATCTACGTGCCCCTTTTTTGACTTTGTTGATTAAAACAAATTGCGCCCTGTCTCAACTACGCCGGCAAACGTCAGACGGTCAAGAAACTGGTAGGAGGATATTGGGATGGATTGCAAAATACTCGTTGCAAGTGGAAAGAGATAGCATTTGAGGCTTTGCAGGGCTCCCCCAGATCTTTTAAGTGTTTGTTCCTGTCTAGACTTTAAAGACTACACTACTAGTTGAATATAAATGGTTAGGGGAAGTTTTTTTTTTTGTATCAAAGTGACTAAAGCCAACTCATAAGTCTTCATATTATAATGTACTTTCTGCCAGCTTCTTTGTTTGCTTAGCAAGCACAACTGCACCCAAAATGCACCTCTCTCTGCGCTTCTCATGTATTTAAGCTCGTAGGGCAAGTCTTATCTAATTAGTCTCGTTCTGTATTTGAGTTTGTTTTCGCAATCACATTTCGTATTTGCTTTTCCGTTTTTTTTCGCCAACTCAAATTTGCTGGCAATTGTCATAACTCTAATGCAATTAACCCTTGCCCAGCCAGAAAAGGGCTTATCAGATAAAGACGAGCGAGCAACAAGGGCGAAACGCAGAAAACAGGAATGGGGCAGCTAAGTAAATACAGCCATAGAGTAAACCTAAATATTTAATTAGGATTATAACGAAGCGAGCTTATCGCGGATGGCGACAGCATCACAACTGAAAGTGATGGGGGGGGGCGAGAGCGATGAATGTCAAAGAGGAGTGTCCTGCGGGCAAAGGCTTCCTGCTCGCAGGATAACAGGAAATGCACAAGTGTGTGGGGATCGGGTATCCAGCGACTATGTGCGTCTGGCGTTTCACTTTTCGTTGACTTAATTTAATTAATTTCCTAGCCCAAAGGGTCCATCCTGTCAGCCAGTCTGTCTGCCTGCCCGTCTGTCTGTCTGTCTATCTCACTCTCTTCCTGGGCTTTTTTATTTGTTGATACGTATACGCAACGTTGCATGGGAATAAAGTCCGACCCACCTACTTGATGCATATATAGGCACATATGCCTATCGATACACGATCCACAACACACACAGGCAACAGGCAACTGAAGGATGTGTGTGTGTAATATGCTGTAAATAATGAAAATCCAATTTTTGTTGCTTCTTTTTACCCTCACCTGGAATGTGTGCTGTGGGCGGCATAATGGGTTCATCATCGTTGTGGCGGAAAGACGTTTGCGATTATGACCGGGCACGTAGGTACCCTCCATACTTTGTCAGGGGTCATCTACCACTGACGATGGATGGGGGCATTAAGTTAATAAAGTGTAAAGCCTTTGTTATTGGCAGAACCAAAGTCTGAAAAATTCAATTTAAGTTGCTTAGCGTAAGGTGGTGAGGTAGCAACCAGACTCGTAGAGGGTATCCCACATTCTTGGTGAACTGATTTTTGGGGCTCTCCTTTCTGGCTTCTTGATTGCATTACATTCTCAGCCCTCCAATCGTTTCGTTTCGTCTGCGTGGCGCATTCCATTTGCCCTTTTTTCGTTGACTTTGCCTCCTGGAGATTTAATTTCGTATTTCGTGCATTTTTTCAGCTCTTTTTTCTTCCCATCCACGCAAAAATAATCAAGTAATGAAACTTCACCGACCGAAACTTAAGGAAATTCGAGAAAGAGTATTCCCCTTATTTGCGCAAGGGATTGAAACATGTTGCTGTGTTTTCACTGTTGCTGATGCCTCAGAAATTATGCAGAACACAACAAGTTTTCATCAATATTAATGCCGTGCCGAAATGTGATTAAAATCGAGAGAGACATCTATAGAGAATGGAATGGAAATGCGACTCGGACAGAGATGGGGCCCGAGAATCGGAGACAGAGAAGGCTAACCATTTCTCTCAGCTGCCGGAGCGGCAATCAAATTAAACTTGAAGTGATTTTCAATTGGAAATTCTCGTAACTGCTCCCTGGCACACCGCAACACACTTAAGTGTATTCAAATTAAACTGACGCAGACCGAACCAACAATGCGACTACGACAGCAACAGTCACGCCACGAGATGGGTACGTGAGGCTCGAAAAAGTCGCAGGAATGGGTTTAATTTTAAGTAATTAATGCAAGCTTTAAGCTTGCGATTTAAATAGATGGCAAAATTATATATTGCTAGTTCACTTAAATTGGTAAATATTTCTCTTAATTAAGTTGAAATTTAAACTAGATTGTGACAAATACACCAATTTTAAAAGAGTTAAAAGGAAAAGTGAAACACTTAACATGTACTGCAAATATTGTCGGTTCATTTAACTGTTATAACCTAGACTAGATGTGTTGTCCAGTCATTTTAAAGATAAAAAAAGAAAAAAAACTTTTTTTTTTTTAGGTAGGCTCATGACATGTTTAAATATGCTTAATTTTCATTTTCTTTACTTTTCAGTTGAATTAAAACGATTTGCTTTGAGGTAGGTAAAAGCTCATGACCTGTTTAAAAATGCATTCTTATACTCTTTATTTGAATATAAACGTTTTTCTTTAAGGCGGGAACAAGCTCATGACATATTCAAATAACCATTATTGGTTTTAGTTAACTAAGCTTCGTTTTATTTTAACAAATTGCTTCATAAAATATAAAAAAGGATTTAAACAAAAATATTCATTATTTTTTTTAGTTTTCATTATTTTTCTTAAAAACTAAATGCAACATTTTGGTTAGTTTCTCAATTATTGCCGTGCCCTGTTCCCAACTACGTGAAAGTCAGCTCTCACGCCATCTGCGCTGGTTGAGAAAGTGGATCCCATTTTCCCCATTTCTTCCCTTGGAGTCAGCCCCCCAAAGCCCATCAAATAGTTGACTCTGCCTCCGCCTGTTTCACTGGACATTTTGCCTTGTAATGCGATTGTTGTTTGGTGCCATTGTTGGCATTCTTGTGATTGCTGTTGTTGCTATCTGCTCGTCTATCTGCGTGTTTAGTTGTGCATAGAAGGGTTTTTGGGGGGCTGTCAACAAGCAGCCACGGCGTCAGCAATTGTGGATCTGTCACCACCCACTCGGCCACCCATTATGCCACCCGCAGCCCACCACCCACCACCCACCACCCACCACCTACCACTCACAATCCAATACCCACCAAGCTGAGCTTTCGTCCTGTCTGCGGTCCTCGCTTTTTGGCAACGTTTAGCGCGTGTGCAGGACGCGCGGTTTTTGAGCTGCCGCCTGCCGTTGATTAGATTGTCTGATACTTTAATAGGATTGTAAAAGCATAAAAGCACACATCCACCCATGGGGCAGCCCACCCAAATACCGGTGGCGTTTGAGTTCGGCTTTTGGTGTGCTAAAGTGCTCAGCCGCCGGCACACAAAAAAACAAAGCTAAAGAGTTGAAGGTGAAGTACGACAAACGTTTGCTAAAAGCGGCTAAAAGTGGGCTAACTCTTGTGGCGTTTACTTTGATTCAGGGGTGTTTACTTTTCCAAATTTATGTTCTATATCTAGAGTCTAAAACTGTAGTCTAAGGCATTATCTTTAAGCCATATTTTCTTGGTATTAATAAATACAAATTTTATTGAGAAGTTGTTCATGCCCAATAGCTTAAAATTCATGAAACAAAAGTTTCTATGATCATTTTATTTTTGGGTTCATATTCAATTAAGTAAAGTAAAGCTTAAACTCAATAAACATATAATACAATAAACATAATATATAATATTATAATTTAATATATACCAGACAATTCTTAACATTGCTGCAACTCATACATAAAACCACTTATTAATTACCCCAAATGAAAGCTAATTAACATCTACAGATGTTTACTGCACTAGTTGCAAAAATTTCACAGTTCCTGCCAGTCCTACACTCATTAAATTTTCAAATCTACCAAACTAATTATTCAATTGTACCAAAGTCAGGGGAAACTTTCGGAAAATGAGCAAAAGCGGTAAGCGGCTTAAGTGCTCTGCCGGATACGCAGTTATCAACCGATTGGACCGAAATGTGGCACACGTCGGGCAGGTTTTGGCCAGCAAATAAACAGTTAAGGGCTTATAAATTACATACACACACGGGCACATAGCACTCATATTCCGCCTCCATTGGGGAGTGTCATGCAACATGACAGACTTCACTCTTCTTCGGGGCCAATGGGGAGTTGAATTGGGGCGAAATCTGTATTAAAATCGCATTATGTCCGCCTCACTTGATAGAGGGACTGAGGAGCCAGGGAACTGCAGCTGCCGCAAAGTTGAGCTCCGAGGAGAAAGAAAATTTGCCAAATGTACTGTCAGGACAGCAATGCCCCGGCAAGTTTATAAACCGAACTCTCGGGCTGAAGTGGGTTAAGTGTGGGGGCACAATGTTCGCCCTTCGTTTGGCTGCGAGCATTAACCTCAGAATGGAATGCATTTGCAGCTGGCGTTTTCCGGGGGTCAAATGGGGAAACTGCAGCCTGCACTCCTGCCCGGGAAAAATGAAAAGTTCTCCCTTGGCCAGAACAGCAATTGTGGTTTCTAATTGTTTGGGGCATTTTGCACTAACAATTGACCGCAACTATGCGTTGTAATTTTGAACTTTTTTTCGTGTCTGTTTCGTTTTTCATTCTTCACTCTACAAATTTTCTTTTTTTCCCCACAAAATGAGCAACTATAAAATCGATAGCTACAATACAAGTCGTCCCTCGATTGCATTTAGTTTCTGGCGTGTTGTTCCCACCAACAACTTCTACTGACACGTTAATAGGGCATTTTAAGTTTCGCTACTTATTGTTCGAGTGGTACGTATTAAAAGGCATTGAAATAGTTTACATGGCATTTTAATGCTCCCATTGTTAAGGTAATAAAAGGAGTGGAAAGGCATTTATAATGTACTTGTTTTTAATAATAGAGGAATGAAATAAGAAAATCACATCTGAATTCAACTGTTAGCACTCTGAAGTCATCATCAACTGGTAATAACCTTTTTAATAACAAAAGTCCTGCATAAATACGGATTGTAATTCAGCGACTGAGTTCAGCAGATCTAAAATATAAAAATTATTAAATATTTATGGTTTGCTTTGCGAGGCGAGAGTTTGGATGTCTTCATCACCACCAGGTCCTAACCGCTTTGATCTAAGGCCCTCACCATTCATTCCGAGCAAAGGTTAACTAAGGAATATAAATAAAATAAAATAAATCATAACCAGTATTCTTAATTTTAATTTTATTTTATTTTAACTTAAACATTATTATGTTTTGGCCTTTTGTAACCATTTTTTCTGCACAAGACAAGCACAATTTAAAGCCTCCACTGTCAGTCAACAAGGGCTTTTCGTAAGTCTGCCATTCACATCCTATTCTCCTTCACACCCAGCAAGAGTGACAAAGAAGATATATTAAAGTGGTTTTTAATCATTTTCCGCTGTTTTTTAGACTTGGTGTGTGTGAGTGTGTGTGTATGGAAAATGAATTAAAGGACGCCATTCAGCTGTATAAGCCCTGTATGAAGCTTAGGAGGGAGGGAAATTCAGCGAGAGTTTATTAAAAAAAGAGACGAACGAGCCCCTTAAATAAATTTATGTGTGGCAAAAAAGCATGAAAAATGCGTTGCCTAGCTGATAAACCCGTTTTGTTAGCCCACACAGACTCGCTTAATGCAGATTTATGATTTTAATAACAGGTTGCACCCACATGCACACACATTTTTTTTAAGCACATTAGGAAATTGTGTTTCTTTATAAAACAGCTTTAGCGGATGGCCATGCATTTATTCCTCCACGACATTGTTAATTATGGAAATGTTTCTTTTAGGAAGCTGCCTGCAGTTATTAGCCGCAAGGCAGCCAAGAACATTCACATTTACATTCACATTCCTGTCGTAAACATCGTCGTCACAGCAAACTGCAATCTCGATTTGCCAACTTTGCAGACTCCTGCCGCAGCAACAAACATTTTCAATTTCCCAGCGACGCCAGGTGTGTGGCAGTGTGGGCGGAAAATTCCAAGGGTATGTGTGTTGGAAAAACTCAGGAGAAGCGCCGCGAGCATTCCGAACCGAAACAAGGTGATGTGGCCAGGATGACGACGATGCTGCAAATGTGGTTCACAGTTACCGTTGATGAGGAAATTGTTTCGAAAATCACTGGGGAAGTGTAATAAGATGGCAGGCAGGGGAGTGGCTTCAAAGATGTTTTCGGGCTTACGATATTAAGCGTACTTTGCACTCCAAGCCTTGAAGTATTTCTAAAATTTAGAAATGCTTAAGAGTGGAAATTAGTTATGCTATTAGTTAGTGGAACCCTTTTTAATAAAACCGCTGCCTCTGGTAGTTTTACAAAGTTTTTAATAAAATGCGAAGTAAGTTTTATAAATTATTGGGAATAGAAAATTTAAAGAACATTTGAATTCATGTAACGATTGAGATTATTAAAGAATACCTTACAAATTTATGGTTTTTAAAAAGAATATTTAAAATATATAATCAGCTATAAACATTGCTAAACATACATATTATAATGTTATGCTAAGTGTTTATAAATAGATTAGAAAATTTGTTTAATACTTTCGCTGTTTTAACAAATAATTTATATGTTAAACTGATTGGTCATCTAAAAACTATTGAAAAACAAGAAAAAACCCTTGTGTTGTTTGTGCAATTTTTTTGTTTTTATGGCTATCTTAGCTTTTTAAGTTAATCGTATAAACACAACAAATAAATTACCGTTTTTAAATATTTTTGTAAAATCACGAAGTAAATTCGGAAAACAAAAATGCATTTTAATCATACATAATTAAAAATCCATGATAACATATAAGTATGAAAGACAGTAGAAATCATATACAAGAGCTTTCTAAATCGATTTTCTGGTCAAACTTTTCAGTCAACTCTCGTTAAAATCCAGACCAGCATTAAGTTCATTGGAGAGGTGGATGCAGGACCAACACCCCACGAAAACACCTGCTCAGGTAATGCAAATTTGGTGTAACTGCCACGCAGCACGATCGCTGTCATTTTGCCCAGCCACATCATCATCATCAAGGTCGTCGTTGGAGGAGGAAGGAGGCATCCTGGTGTATTCGATGCCATTTGGGCCATCAGCGATGCTTTTGGAGGAGTGGCAAAGTGTTCGGAGGCAGTGACTGCAGGACGCCCAGGTAGTTGAGGAAGTCGGCGTAGCTGAACACCTGGACAGGTGAATTTGGTTTTGGTTCGTGGTAAGTTGCCAAATTGTGACAGATGAATTCTCGCGGCCGCGGCAGTGAGGAGATCTTTAAAATCTCCCAGTACTCCCACGTTCCGCCGTTGAATTGCATCACCAATTGATCGAAGCTAATGAGGAGGTACGGCAGTTAATTGGCAGTCGGAGTAATTAGAAGGACAAATCAAATGATGCACTCAGAAAAGTTAGCAGTTGTTAAATGCGAGTAGCCAAGTAATGTAGAATATATATTTAAATATATATTATATATTTAATTTGGTATATTTATATTTTTTACATATTAAGAATTATATTAAATTTAAGCTATTAAAGACATATGCAAACTCTTTTCAATTTTGAATTTAAACATAATTCATTCATTCATCCTGTTTTAATATGTAAAACTTAAAACTTTTAGGTCCTGCTTTTGAGAAATAGCAAATTTGTTTTAGTGTACCCACCTGGCCTGCTCCATGTGTGCCTTTAATTCCGACGACTCGGTTATGCGGTCCACACGTATGTCATCCACCGGCGACTTCAGCATTAGAAGCAGTTGATTGGGCATCCAGAAGAGACGCACCTTGTCCATGACCTCCGTGAGATGGATCTGACGGGATGGCCACTTGTGATTTAGCCAGCGGATGGCGGCGTAAAAAACCTCCGCCTCTGAGTTAACCCTTATGTCGTTCGAGGAAAAGAGGTGACATAGGCTTTTAAGCGGCAAAGCAAGATACTCATCTGAAGCTACAAAAGTCAGAAAGAAGTATTGAATCCTATGCAACATCATGTAGTGCAAATAATGCAGTTTCTTAAAGTTCAAAGCATCTTGGGCCACCTGGGCAGCCCAATGTTCACCGAACAATGAGTCCTGATCCAAGCAATGCCAAATTTGATGGGTCAACTCATCGATCTTAAGATAAGTTGAAGCCGACAGAAGATCAACAATGTTTGAACGTTTCAGCAATGGTTCCTTGTCCATCATCCAGCGATAAAGTCGTTCAAAGATCTCCGGCTTGACCAAATCCTCTGGTAATCGTAGCTCTAATTTATCCATATTCTGCCTGACTCGCTCTACATAGACCATTAAGACCAAACGATGGCAGGGAAAAACATACTGTCCAATCCGCACCAGAAAATCGGTATTCTCGTTTTCACTCCAAAATTCCTTGAGCGTTTCCAGTGTGTCCTTTTGCTTGGGCAAGTGAAAGTACTTCCCCAGCGGATTCTTTCGGTTGCTCTTGCGAAAATCACGAAAACTGAGTTCCGGTAATTGTGGTTCCATTGGTAAATCCTCCTGATGGGCCACATTGTCTAATTTTTGCTTATTCATTTTGAAATACTTCAAATTTTGACAGTGTTTTTAGATAGTACAGAAGCCTACACCAAAAAAACTGAAAATTTAGTTTAAATAAGTGTCTTGAAAAAAAATACATAAAATAAGACAGTATTAAAGACTATACTAAGTTCAATAGTAGATAATAAAACCCTTATACTCTTAATTTTCATTTCTAAAACGAAGAGTGTAAAACATAACATAAAATAAGTTTAGTTTTGATAATTTCGCGGTATTAATTTAATACTTATCTTATAAAGAAATCGCTTAACATTCATGCAACAATAGTTTGGTTTCTCTAAAAATTTATGTTTAGATTATATTTCCTTTAATCTAAATTTAATTTTAGTGATCATTTGTAATGATAGACTAGTTAAACTAAGAACATTTTTAAACAAAGGCAGGCTTAGAAATCTCTTTAAATTTTCTTAAATTTGAATGTGTTTTCATGAAAACTTGACAACATAAGCTAAAACAACAACAAATAAAATCTACTTATCCTTTCATTTCCCAAATCAGTTTCAAAACATCCTCTGGCAGTGACATTGGAATAACGCGGATGAGTGATGTTCACGAACATTGAAGTCAACAAGCGGCGGAAATACAATGTGGCTCAGTTGAATAGGGACGTCTCGCACAATTAGCATTTATGGTCATGCAATACCGTTGATAATATAGAACAAAACCTGTCTAATACGGGCAACACCCGATTTTGCCGCATGTCTTCGGGGCTTTCACTTTTTCCTTTCCTTTCGTTGGCCAATTAGACGCACAATGCGCCTCAAATTATGCAACACAGCGCGACAAATTCAATTTGCTACGCCTACGCTCTGTTCCGTCCCGCTCCCTCCCACGCAGCTAAACACGTGACCGACAACAACAGTGCGAGTGGGACAGAGACAGAGCGAATGGAACACGTTGGAAGTTGTGCTGAAAAATCCCAGGAGAAATTAGTTTGATTTATGTTGAGTTTCCGGTGCAAATAAATTGCCAAGTTTAGAGGGAACTTCGGACGCACTGCAGACGCATAATTGATTATGCGAGCGGCGTACACACAATTGGTGGGCGGAGGCCGTCGGAGGGGGCGTGACAACCGGGTTGGGGGACCCAAGGAGGACAGGAGTCTAGCGATGACTGTACATTGTTAATGGTGAGTGGGCAAGGGGCTTATTACTAGACAAGCTAGTCGTCAATTTGACACCCGATTGTTTGGGATTTTCAATGCCCCCGAGTGGTAAGATTTCAAAAGGATTTGTAAATTCCACCCTCAAGTAAATTTGGGTGCCACTAAAATCTCTTCTATTTGATCGAAAGTTTTGAAAGCATAAGTTCATAAAAGGGTTCTTTAGGTAGCAAAAATATTTTACCAAATATAATTGTACATTTTTTTTGGCAATATTTTATAGGAAAAAAATCTCAAAAGCTCAGCCACTGACATTATTATTTGTTTTCCAGTATTTTTAAATGCAAAATGAAAACTTGTTCACATACTTCTTTGACATACAGTTTGTATTGCCAACAAAACATTTTTATTTCATTTTCGTTGCTATTCACGAATCTTGGTGGCCCAAACAACATCAATAACTATACATTTGTTATTCATTGAAACATCTGTTAAAAAGCAAAGCAGGAGGAGTAAATCATACTTGTTTTTCCCGCTCACTTTTTCTCTCTTTGCCATTCAGTTTTATCGTTACCTGTTTGTTTAATAAACTTTTGTGCGATGCATTCGCAACTAAAGTACTTAAACATTTTTTTTTATCGCCGGACTTTGTCAGTTCAAATTGTTGCCCGTTTGCTAAGCGGAGTGAGAGAGATAAAAACAAAGCGAGTAAAAGAGAGAGAAACAGAGCGTTGTAGAGAGAGGGACATATGGGTGGAAAGTTTGTCGCATCCAAAGTTTTTGTTCGCAAATTGCAGTTTACTTGCTGCTTACTGCAACATCATAACTGCGGGCTAAAAGGGGGCAGAGCATTATGTGGGCGTGGCCGAAATGCAAAATTCTCCAGTCGGTTCGAGGGTTTATTGCACTTGACTTGGGTCGGCCGGTTGAAATGATTCTAGCAACTGAGCATTGAGAACTGCGAGTGCACCGAAAAATATAGTTTTAAGAGGTTTATGGAGAGGCTGTTCATTTTATTTTTAGTGTTTAGTGTAAGCGTGATTAGCTGTGAATACAAAATATTTTATATTTATTTATATAGTGATCCTACCACTATACATAGTTAAATTTGACTAAGTTTCTCAGTATAAAGTTATAAGTACGTATAACAAATTGATTTATAAAACTCTTAAAACAACAAGTTTGATTTGATTTGATTTGATTTTATCATGGCAAACTGATATTAATTTTTTTTTGAGTGTAATAACTATGCGCCGTTAGCTTTGTGCACTGCAAGTTTGCTTTGACACTTTGACATTGACAATGATGTATGTGCTTGCTTTGTTTGAGTGTGCGGGTGTTAGTCTAGGGGGCGTGTTTTTGGGTGGGTGTGGGTGTGACTAAGCTTTGTCATTAAATATCGATTTGTTAGCTATGCTGCGCCATTTAATAGTTCCGACTTAAAGTCAAAGATTTCATCTGAGCTTCAAAAACTCCAAAGTAATTGCTGACTACAAAAAAGGATACCATAAAGCTTAAACCGTATTTATTGCACTCGCTTTTGATGCCTTTTCAATTGCTTTTTTGGAGCACACTTTTCCGCAGTTTTATTAGTGCGAAATTTATGGGGGCAGTGAAACGAAAATTGCCAACGAATTCCATTCATTTGTCATGCTGTTTTATCGCCAACCGATGAAATGTTGAAGAACAGTAACAACCATAAACAATTTCAACGGTCTACAAAAAAAATGGTTGATGGCTAAATAAATTGGTTGTTTGCGTCGATTGAATTGAGCCATTTTCCTGGTTGTGATTTGGCTAACAGATCGATGTAAATGTGAATAGATTGTGTTTGACTAATTTCCGATTGGCACTCACTGTCTCTCAGGGGAAATGCAATCATAATTCCGCCTAAATTATTCAGAGCTCCTCGAATGTTTGCTAAATTCGTGCATATTATCCATGACCTTTTTTGGCGGAGGATGAAGCGCTCAATTTGCTGTTAACCAGGGGCGATTTTAATTGTTTTATTTTAACATTTAAAACCAATTTATATTTATGAAATTTTGTAAATTGGCAATGTCATAAAACGCACACACATTCAGGCACTCGTGCCCTCAGGTCGTATTCGCAACATTTCCCATTTAGCGTGACATGCTTTCCCTTCCCCGTTTTCCACTCACTCACTCCACTGCTCGGGAATTTCGCATTTCCCATTTCCCAGTTGCCATTTGTGGCCCGCTGCCTTGTTATGTGGTAATTAAAACGACTCTTGGCCCATCTCCTCTGCGTTTTTGGACAGCTTTTTACTGCCACTCAGTCGATGCGTCGTATGCGTAATGTCTGGCTAAATTATTAATTTACTATGGCCCCAATGAGTGTTGTTAATTAATTTGCATGCATATACAGTGAAATCGAGACTGGGAGGTGTTGTGGAGTCCATTTGAGGCTTCTGGAATGAGTGGCAATAATATGTTGAGCCGCCTCATTGAATCGCTTCAAATGCTCGCCAGCAAATCTCATTACCACCGACTGTATGACGTGATGTATTAATTAGTACGAAATAAATATGGAAAGGCAGGAGAAAAATCGTTATGAGATTTTTGTTCCTTTCCCAATTTATATTTTTTTAAGTGTTTTAAAGCAAATGTAAATACACTACATTGTTTTGTTGTCCTTATTTTCTCTTCAAAACATAATTATAAATAAATTATCAAAGATCTTAATCTCGAAAGCTTTTAAAGACAACGAGTTAATTTTGTAAGAAGTAATGGATGCTTTTGAAATCATTAATTTCTTTTTTGCATTAAATTGCATTCCATATATTATACTCCTAATCACGTCATGGTTGCAAGGTGCAAGGCTTAGCTGTTTCCTTGTTGCCTTTTGGCGAATTGTTTGCACTGTGGCAACGAGCCGTATGATTAATTTTAGCCGGAAAAGCCTCCAGCCAATTCTGCCGCCTCTTTTGTCACAATAAAAATTCACAGGAGGGTAGAGCAAACAAAAACATATAATAAAAACAGTAAACATTTAATTGCCTGACAAATATTTGCCCTTCGCCCCACCAGCAAACGGGTTTAGGGCCAAGTTTCGAGAGCTCGGCAAATAGGCGCTGATGAAAAACTTTAATAGCAAAACTTCCCCATTTGGCTTATGCTTTCATTTCTCCTCCTCCCAGCATCTGCTAGCCATTTCTCTTATGCCATTTCTCCGTTGGCCCTCCGACTTTTCTCTTATGCATTATCGGCATACGCTGCTCATATAACTTCGCTCGACGGCTGCTGTTGAAAGTTTTGCGCAGCTTGACAAAATTTTCAGAGCCCTGCGATGGCCGCATATACTATATGCAAAAATCTTAAACGAAGTATCGATTTTGCCGCCGGCTAAAAATTATTTACAAGCGAATAAACTTTCAAAGGAGGCAACTCCATTTGAGTGGGTTGTCTGCGGTTGAGTTTTGTTTGTCTGCCAGCTCGGCAGTCCTTTGCCAATGCCGGAAGGCCCACTACAAAGGACATCTCTTGGCGGGCTTTGATATAGGCAGATAAACAAAGTTTTGCCCATTTGGTGACTTGCAAAAAAAAAATATGATTAACCAAGTACACAAAATAACGCTGGAATAGGAAGATTAAATGTATCTTAAAAAATTATTGAAATATCGAATATGGTTATTTGACCAATGACCACACTGTTAATAATAATATGAAATGAAAAGAATAAATAGACTATAATGCAATTTAATTTTACAAAAGTAATTGATAAATGGTAATGTTTATTTATGTTATTTTGACATAGATAGAATAGATTTACTTATTCAAAAATATATATTTTTCGCGGTTCTTATCAGTTGTTGTTATCGATAAGTAATAATCGATCGCCATGCCCATCGATCAAGGTAACATCGTGCACGATTGTTGGTATTCATCGCATAAAAATACTAGCGATATTATGATCTGACAGTGTTGCCAGATCAGCTGTAATCCCGTTAGATCTGGCTATCTTTCAGCTGTCAAAGTAATTAGAAGAAATTATGTTAGTGGTTTATTTTATATAATTTCTTTAGTGTAGTATTATAACACAATATAAAACTAAAAAAAGGTTATAAATATGCACAATATATCAACCTTTCAAAATATGTATATTCTACTCCATCAATAGTTAACAAATAGTGATTAAATGGTAATTTGATAACCAAATATATAGCAAGCTGCATCATACAAAAGCACACAAGCGCTTCGTGACGTTTCAGCTTTTTTAAAGCTTTTCTCGCCCTGAGCAAAGTAGCTTTTTTTTCTGTACCGCTAGAAACAGCTTTTTTTCTGCCAGCAAACTGGCAACACTGGCGTCAGGCGTCTCTATGCGCATTGTTATTGTCATCACTATTGCATTGACATTGTTGCTGTGCGCTGCGTTTTAATTATTTTTCATTGCGTTTGTTGCTGTTTAATTGGGTAAGAAATGAAAATTTACAAACAGAAACTGCGCGACGTGTGGCTGCAAATGGAGGAGTTCCGGGCGTGGTTGCGCCGGGATCCGGACGACTCCTACCGGGCGCACTGCCGCTTCTGCAAGTGCTGCGTTAACACCAAAATCAGCGATCTGCGTGCCCATGCGGCGACCAAGAAGCACATGAAGCACCTGGACCTGAAGACCTCCAATCTGGTAAGTGGTACGTTATATTGTTAAAATCCCTTGTTAACCGGAAATTACCACACCAGCATAAGAACACAGACGAAATGCACAGGTCTCCGGCCAGCAGTTCCAGCGCCACTCCATACAAAGTCAAAGTGAAGGCCCAGCCCAAAACTGCCACGGTGAAGAAGGAGAAGATCAGGGCCTCGGACCAGTCCGTGGACTACGAGCAGATCATCGAGAACCTGGCCCTGTACGAACCGGAGCAGGTGATGTTCTCCAGTTGCTCCTTGACCGGCGGCGGCGGTGAGCAGCGGCTGGATGATGAGGTCGAAGGCGAGGGCGAGGTGTCCAACATTAGTATCATTGACGAGGACATGGTCAACAAGGCGGTGGCCAATGCCCTTCGCAACCAAAAGGACACGTCGCAGATTTTCGGCGACTTTGTGGCCGACCGACTCCGTCAGTTGAACGCCGACGCCTCCGAATTCGCCAAGGACAAAATCATGAAGGTAATTTTGGAGGCCGCTTCCATCGATCGGGCTCCCACCTACAATTAATACAAAACGCATATATAATTAGATTTTAATATTGACTAGAGTTTGAATAAAACATGAATTGTACAATTATGATATATTGAACTTGCCATGTGTTCAAGTTATTCATTTCGAAGTGTTCAAAAGGTAAGCACCAGTCCCATACTGATTATTTAATTTTGGGGTTAATTTGTATGGTAACTGATTAATAATAATAATAAATTAAAAAAATAGTTTTCAGTAGAATTTATATACTTTGTTTCAGCTGATCCCAAAACTGACCTGTTAGAAGGGTTAATAATAAAAATTTCTGAGTTTAAACGATTTAAATCCGTCTAAAAGTACAGTTTGAATTAATAAAAGTAGTAACAGCAAGTTCTAAAAAATATTGCATCGTTTTTTAAAAAGAAATTTGCCCTAAAGGGTTGATAAACAGCGCATCTATTAAAATAAAAATGCAAAATTGTTTTAATAAGATTTCAGCTCATGTATTAACATTAAATAATATGAGGAAACTTTAAGCAGGCTAAATGGAATATAAATATAAATTGCGAAAAGTTTTAGGTTCATTGGCCATGCATTAGTTATTTAACAATTCAACATTTGGCCCTTTTCGCTTTAAGCATTAATCTCGCTTGCATTTTTCTTTTAGCCTATTTCTCTTGGCTCGGATCAAAGTTTTACTAGAAAGTAATTTAAACTTTTGCTTTTACTCTCCTACTGCCTGGTTACACTTTTACATTTTCCGTTCAGCTCGAACTGAGGCGTTCGTTCCACTCAATAAACGCCAGACGCAAATTTTGTTTAACACTTTTTGCCTATTGGCGTTGTAAAATAAGAATAAAATGCTAAAAATTTCTAAAAGTCAGGGTGGGTTTCGATTGTCTTTTGCATAAGCCGCTTAGGTGCTTACTTTGATTTCTGTGTTTTCCCGATTTTCCCTTTATTCGAGAACTTTATGTGCCGAGCTGTAAACTCGAGTTTTATTTGAAGTTAGTAAGTAATAGCAATGGCAGAATGCCAATGAAAATCTGCTTACATTTTTTATGCCCGACTATTTCAAATTTGATTGCCAGACAAGCATTCGGTTGCCCTCTCTTTTTCAATAATTAAACGACTTTACCTGGTGGTCGACGGCCAAAGGTAAAAGACATAGACATAAATCAAGCTGCCATAACTTCCTGCAAATATCGAAAGTCCATTAACAGTAAAACATTTTAGCATCTAGCTTGGATGGCAGTTGAGTCCACGCAGAGAAATTGGGTGTACAAATGGACAATTTGATGTTTTAAAAGTGGGCATTATATTTATAAACTCAATAACTTTTTGAGCTCTTTAAAAAAATGGATTTATAATATAAATCTCATTGTATCCTATTCAAAATGTACAAAGGATCTCATCATTAAAACCACATCATTTTAGTTAATACTAATTACTTTCGATATAATCAATCAAAATTTGGATTTGATGCATCGCAGTTGGGTATAGTGGTGTCAATATGAACATAGTCTAGGTGTCTGAATATGGGACTCGATGTGATCCTATTTTCTTTCTGTGCCGCTTTTACCCTTTCCCATTGTTTAGTTTTATTTTTGGCACCGGATAGTGGGATGGTGGGGCGTTCAGGTACACGTCCTGTCTGCATCTGATAAGTGCCTTCGAAAAACAGGTTTAATTAAAATACACACCCATTTGGCGCTTAGACGTCAGTGGCCATCGATGGGCTTGTTGATTTTTCAGCACAATCGAGGCGTAAGCATAAGCAAATACAAATACAAGTGCGACAGGCGCACCCCCTTAATTTTCCCAACCCCTTTAGTAGTTTTCCTATTGGCAGTGGCGTTGTTGTGGCTTCTTGTTTGCTCTGACATGTTGCTCAAATAGCTGATGTGTGTGTGCGAGTGCTAGTATTTGTGTTTATATTTGCCAAAGGATATTATTAATGCGCTACGTTTCGGCGGCAGCTTATGCAATCGATGAAATTAGTAAATTCTAGCATAGAGATAACAGAAGAGACTTTCAAAAGAGGGTTCAATAATTAGTGTTTTTTATAAGTTTCCAATCCTGGATTTGTTTGATGAAAATTTCTTAAATTTGTTTCTACAAGACTACGTTTAAACTTTGAACTTTTGAAATGCGTCCTGACCCTTTGATCCCTATTAATTTTTGTATTTCTAAAGGCTTTCTGTTGGTAAAAACCCTTGATGATCTTAAGATTCTTCTGCATTCCAGCATGTCCTTTGAAAAGGACCACTAAGAGCCAATAGGCAGGAAATATTGGTCTAATTGGCTCCCCGCCCTTTGATGACAAACTAAAAATCCATTTTCATTAACGTTCTCTTCCCACTGTTGTGCGAAAAGCGGGGTGAAAAGGACCCAAGTGTCCTGGGTAGGCGGATTGATGTGTTCTGTACAGTTGTCGTCTGCTTCGACATGTTCCAGTTTATTTTTATGTCATTGCAGCAATCCTGGGAAGCCGTGGGAAGGGACTCGACGTTCGGGCCTCGCAGATTAACAGATTATGATCTGACATGAGTTGAAATGTTGTTAGAAAACTTCATTAGCAACATGTGTGTGCCCTAGATGTGCGAGCTATAGTATGTTCGTCGATCCTTGTTGCGCTTCGGTGCGCAATTAAAGCAATAAAAGTGTGGACGACTGCACACTGAATGGCCATGGGCATGGCCGGCTTCAGCTCATCCAATCCTGGGCATCAATTCGGACTGGACCCTCTGCAGCCCATTTACCTCACCCCGTGCTTCAGTCCCCACAAGCTCAGGAACTCAAAATAAAAAAAAATTGTCGAGTGGATACAGGGCAAAAATAATTGAGAATGGAATTTTGTTTTTGCACGGCAACTTAAAGTTAACTACGTTAATGCCCTAAAAAATTCAATATGAATTTAAGTTCATATTTATAAAATAAGTTTTTCTTTATAAGTAATTAAATGATCGATTTATTTCATTACAATTAGAGTACAAAATTTGTATCGAACATTAACTAAAATTTTTGATTTCAGATTTATGTAAATTAATTACATAAATTTCCATTACCAAATTTATAAACGTTAAATTTAATTCTTAAAAAGAGTATTAAAAGTACTGGGCTCAATGTTTTCTTTTCAAGTTTTCCCTTTTAATTCCCATTCGAATTGGTTGGGTTTATTTCAGTTGTTGTTGTGGCAACTCTTTGGCACTGTGATTGTGCCACGCCCCCATTCACTGTCCACTGTCCCCTGTCCACCGCCCACTCGATAATCCCCACTTTGGATGGCCGAAAGCCTATTTGAAACTTTATTTAATGCAATTTTCGTTTAAAAATGTATGTGTTTACTTAATGGATAGCCTGTTTAGTAGATTTCGGGCATCTGAACCACCATAATAGGAATTAGAAATTAAGTTCTGACCGTGTGGCGAGTATAAGCAAATACGTTGATGCGGTACAGTCCAGAGAACGGAAATCATCGCTGCGAAGGCTTTTCCCTCGCATTTTCAGAGCCGCATTGCACTCTATTAAATGCACTCGGACAGCGAATGAATGACGTTATATAAGTACAATGGGTGTGTGTGAGAGAGAGAGGGAAAAGGGGGATAGTGGGGGAAAAGAGACAGATAGACGGACAGAGACCAAGTGCGGTCACACTGTAAATTAAATATAAAATGTCCTGCGGACTGTCGCTCTTTATGCCATGCGGCTGGCCAACAACGATGTCGACATTGGTCAGCATTGCAGACCGGGGCACAAGTTTCCATTTCTCCACATTTTCGAAATGCTTTTCCCGATTCTGGTTGGGGAGGTTGGGGGCAACTAAAATGCAAAACAAAGGGAAAAGTTGACACACCAAAAAAAAAGAAATGATAAAACCGAAACAAAACTTTAAGCATGCGGATGCAACCGTCGGCGAAAAAGAGCAGGAAAGTGCTGGGAAAAAAGGATATTCCGACGCACATACAAGTCAACTCTCTTTGCCCATCAACAATTTCAAGTGCACTCCTGTTTTGTTCTGCTTTTTGCCCTTCATGTTATAGTACATAACATAGAAAAACAACAACAGCAAGAGCAAGGACAAAAAACGTCAAACAAAAGGCGTCCTGGCGACCATTTAAACTAATAGGATTAAATTAAGTTATTATGGAATATAATTCTTGTTGTTATGTGACTAAATTGATTATTTGTTTTCAACTGGAATAACAATTTCATTCATTCAATTACATAAATGAAATTATATACATTTTATTATTTGATTGATTTTAATGTATTAAGTTAAAATCATAATTTCTAATTTATAATTCAAGTGACACCTAGCATAAACATATTAATTACTTAATTCAATAAGGTGGTAGCAAAACATTTTAAGTCAAATTAAATAAAAACAAAATACCTATATTACTGAGCAAGTATATTTTGGTTGGTTTTTAAAGAATTATTTATCATCATAATGCAATCCACCATTTTGTCTGGTGTGCGACGAGGAATTCGCTTGATGTTTTTTGATGAAAATAATTGTAACATACTTTTCCCAACGAGCAGTCGCAAAGGCCACGGTCACGTTGGCCCAACTAGACAGCATGGCGTATACGTAGTCCGGACCACCAGTCACGCTACTGTTGGTGGCCCGGCTCTTGAGACGGCTTCCGCTCGACTGCATAGCATTTGAATGTGAAATATAATTTGCTTTATTATATGCACTCACTCGTCACAAATTGGCCGGCACAACAATAAAAACGTACAGCGAACGAAGGAGTCCACGGGTGGAAGTTCAGGGGAAAGGAAAGCGTCTGGGGGAAAGTGCAGGATTCGGATTTGATTGCAAGCTCCATGGCGTAGAAAGTAAAATGCCAAGTCACATATTAATATGCAGACGCCGTTGGCCGAGTCTCAACTTGGCCGTAAATCACCTGAGAAGCCGCAGAAACCCAGGAACTTGGAAACTAAGGAGCTCGGAAGCTCGGAAGCTCAGAGCTCGGAACCACAGCTACGCAACAGCTGTTAATTTGCTACCAACTCCTCGTTTTGGCCGACGAACCGCCGCAAAAGTTCAAGTCAAAATGAAGATTTATTTGTCTGGCAGGCGGATGTAGTGGAGTCTCCATGATCACGTGTCT